CGTCGTCCAAACTAACTATAATAGATGGGACCAAAACTAACAACTCGAAGCAAGTCTACATACCACATAGAAAGCACCCAGCATTATAAGAAGAAGAAGCGCAACTATAGACGCTTCAAGAGGCAAAACAAGAGCCTTCTTCTTCGCAATCTTGGACTTGACAGAAGGTTTATCGGCAGGTTCTCTCTCTTTCTTCTTGCCCTTTTTCGAGGAACGCTCCTTTGCAATTTCTTCACCCTTGTCAGTCTTACCAGCAGAAGCATCATCTTTTTGGGCATTGTTTGTAAAAGTGTTGTCCTCTGCCTAGCAGTCAAAAGACAAACCATTATTTGTCTAGAATTTGGCTAGCACAGATTCATCAGACCGAATGAAGTAGAGAGAGAAGCATATTTACATCATCTTTGGAATTAGACGATCCACCTAACTGGTATTTGATGGAAGCCGTGAAAACATCAAAAGCTTGAGAGAGCGCAATCCCAGACATGATGCATGCTGCTGGAGCAAGCACGAGCATAAGACGAACCTAAGAGATCAGAAAGGCAGGTGAATACGGGATTGAAGAAAAGAACTAGGCAATGGAAAGATGAAACTGCAATTCGTAGACGCACAACTCACCATAACTCCAGAAAAGTATACAGACATTACAATATAAAGGACCACAAAAGAGCTGGCATCAGATAGAGGAGAAAAGCACGCCTACAAACAGAAGAATTAAAAAAGAAAAGAATTAACAGTTAATATATGTAAAAAAGTGATAATTGTTCAGTACAAAATCTATCGATGCTAAAATTTTAACTCACAATGATGCCAGCAGGGACCAAGAAAGCCAAAACATTGATATCCATGAAATAAGACGGCCAAGTTGGAGGTTGATGTTCACTGACACTTGCAATAATTGGAATATACTTGCTTGCATAAGTTCTGTTGTAAGATAGATAAAGAAACCAAGAACAAAGGAGTGTCAGATATGTAACAATAATAAAATGATAAAGCAGAATTCCTGAAATGTGGACAAGGACATACTCGTATTTGCGGAAAAAACTAAATCACTAGGAGAAATAAAGATAAGAAAATAAGAACCACTCACGGATCAAGCAGACTCAAACTCCTACCACTCCATCCTTTTGTTGGACTTGAAGCCACCAAGGCCACAAGAACTGCCACAACTATGAAACACACAACCCTGTAAAAAAATAGAGCAGAGGTAAACTTTTATTCCCATGACACATAAACCAGGAAATTTAGAGGTAATCGTGGATATGTCAGAGAAAAACAGCATAAGAAATCTTACAGGCCGATAGACACAACAAGTGTCACAGCAACTTTGAACATTTTAGGAGAAAGAATGCCTTTGATGTAGTATACGAGAGCTACAACGTGGATGATGATGAAAACCTGCATAGGTTACAGGTAAAATAATTTTTTTAACAGTAGAAGCAAATCAAGAGAATAAGTACTTCAAGATTCTGTCCACTTAATACAAGTAGCACAAATATAAAGCTTAAACTCAACATATCCATTTCTATGCACCGTACTTCGTATTATCAGTTTGTATGGTGTTAACATACCTCACATGAGATAACTTAGAAATAAAAAGCGGTTCAAATTTCTTGCTTAGATAACTCAACAGGCACAAACTAGTTTACTCGCATCCAGAAAACTAAGCATCGAAAGGACTAATCCACGGTCGATATAACACGCAAAATTAAAATCAACAAACTATGCATGAAAAGAAGAGGCATACGTAACAAAATTATGGGAAAAAAACTCACCAAAAACGAGGCAAAATGTTCAGAAGTCAGAACCGCATTGAAACCAACAACAGGTACCAATGCAGCCAACACCGTGCCTAAAACAACCTGCATACGCATTCACACACTTGTGTCAATAATTTTCCGAATATTGTCATTTCAGCTATTGTTCAACATCTTTCGTGATAGAAATTACCACTCCGCTCCAACAAAGACAGAGAGAAATAATTTCAGAATAATACGAATGGAGATTTCTTTTATTGTGAAAACCATATGAATCGTTACAGAGCTTCCTAAATAAGCGTCCAGTGGACAGCTCACCAAAATTTAGGGCTTAAAAATAGTAATGTCTCTTATATTTCTCAACACTATATGAATATAAGTTTTGTGTACTTTGAAAACAGTTTGGAAATAACTAAAAGCTAGAGTTCAAACCAATATACATGACTCTCACTTGTACATTCAGAAAATTCGAGGAAGCAAGCAAAGAAAGGCCTTCTCTAGTATTGATTGTTAATATATATTTTATATAACACCAGAAGGAAGAATTTTCTTACCAAAGGAGCATAGGCAATGTACAGTCGGGGAGAGTATCGACCAGTTACAATGCACAGAAGTACATGCATTGGTATTAGATTGATAATGAAGGTGTAACCTCCCCAAGAACATACCTAAATGATGAAAGAGAGGTGAAAATTGAGCAGATAATGGCTAGTAAAGAGGAAAAGAGAAATCTTGGGAATTATCTGAAGTCGTACCATGTAAAAGTATGCAATGGCAGTCAGCGTGGCATAAAACAAGGAGCCTGTATTTAGTGTCTGCATAAAATTAATGATAAAGAGTAAATTTAACAGGAAATTGTGACAATGGTTGTTGAAGGCACTGTAATACGCACATGCTCGACAGGATGAAAAATCAAAACAACTTTACACGCCATTGGAGAAAACCCTAACCTTTATGTAAAGATAAAAAGTGAAGATCAAAGCAAAAATGGCAACAGCTTCATTGTCATAGCTTCCAGCCACAGATCGGGATATATATGAGGGAACCTGCAAAGATAACCATTTAGTAACAAACAATCTAAAGAATTGCATCAGTAAACATTTTTGGCAAATTCCACTAAACGTTGTACCAATGCTGAATCATGTACATGACATCCAATAACCAAGCAATAACCTATTAAAAATCAGAGCCAGTTGTTCTATGAACTTAATCTATGCTGTTCAGAGCTCTTCCGATACATCACTTGAAAAAAAAAATCCACATATCCCAACTGAAGAAATTACCATGGCCAAAAGAGCAGCAGCCGCTAGTCCTGCACCGGAACCCTTAACTTCCTGTTAGAATACAAATACATATTGTTGGCTTAACTGGTTCTGGAACTTACTAAAGAATTCATGCTAGGAAAAAGACAAACCTTGGTCAAAAGGTACGTTGCCCAGGATGCGAAAGCTGAAAATACAGGTGCAGTGAAGACACAAACAGTCTCTACTGACAGAGGGATGTTTATTGAATTCAAGACCCTGTGGCAGATGGAAATATATATTAGAGTTTTAAAGTGATCCATACGTGTGTATAAAATAATAGCTGATTTCGGTGAAACTACACTCACCACCAGATGGTTCCAGCAGTCAACGTTAACCCAGGGTAAACGGTTCCTCCAATCACACGGCCAAGAGGATACCTAAACTCAAATAAAGTGAGGAAACAAAGTAAGTACAATGCAACTGAAGATAGCAAAGAAAATAGACCAAGAGATCTAAATTTCTGATCCTCAAATTACCAGGTCCGATCATCAAACCAATTCCAGAACTCGTATATTCCATTCTTCGATAAGAACTGATATAAACAGAAAATTAAAAAGGATCATAAGTAGATAAATTAATAGGAGAACTCGCCCACAAAGCTGAACATAGTATCCTAGATATAAGAAAAGAGAGCGAACCTGAGTGACTCTATAATTGAAGTAAGGATCAAACTCATGAATCACACTCTCATACTTTATGACCTGAGAATAAAAGCAATGAATGTTACCAAACAAACAAAAATCAAACACTGAAAAAGTATGAAATTGCTAAATTCAAAGAAGAATTAGCATCATCCGAAGCATTATTTTTAATAAAACAAAGTAGAGATGATAAGAAAATCTCTGAGCAAGCATTGAACGAAACCTCAAAGCTAGACCATTTAACATCTCTACTGGGATAAAAGAACCATCCATCATCATTCAAAATGGTCTGAGCACAAGGGCAACTTTTCAAGGCACGGATATGAAATACACATTTTCGGTTATCAAATAACCAAGCAACCCAAAATAGCAACAACAATATGCAGCTTCGACACACAGAGAGTGAGGGAGAAAAGAAGCTACACCGATCAGTCGCGAATCATGAGATCGGATCCAGAATAGTCGGATCTAGAGTAGTTCAATCGGATCTCGAGCGTATCATATTGCAGAACACTTTTATAAAACAAACGAGCAGAGACATCAGTGAACTCACGGAGAAGAGTCGGATCGAGAAAGCAAGGACCCCAATGAGGAGGAGGATCAGAGCTGACAGAACAGTCCCGAAAGCATGCCTCATCGCAGACGACGTTGCCGGAGGTGGGCTCTCTAGAGCCGCCATTTTAACGCAGCGACGGTGAGCTCACCGGCTCGAAGAATCGGATTAAAGAGAGAGAGTGAGAAGGGAGAGAAACGACTTCAAGGTGGAAGACTCGAAGGGTTTTTCGAAGCAAAACTATCTTTTCACGGGAATTACATGTTAAGCTGCGGTAACTAGTAGTAATCGACTGGCCTAAGAATAGCGCCTTCGTGGATTTAACACATGTCATGTGTTCATTCGCCCACACTCAGCAAAGCTCTCCGTTTTTTATTGCGTGATGTAAAGTAACAACTAAACTAAACCAAACCGAACCGCAGTTGACTTTGCAAACCGGTAACATCCCGTCAACCACGTCAACTAAATCCTCAGATTAGGTATTCTCGGTACGAATCAAATATCGGTTTGGGAACATGGACTATTTTTTTTTAAAAGTGTCTGATAAAATGGAGAATGTTGGGAGCTCTACCCGATCTTTACATGTAAAAGTTAGGAATGATATGAGGAATTAGTATCAAATGCACTTTATGATGAGACTTTTCTCGGGATTTTGTTCTGTTTCATTAGCTTCACACTACTAGTAAATTTTTTTAATTTTTTTATAACTGGTACAGCAAATTTGTACGGTTGGTTAATAAACGAGTGCTTTTGTAGGCAAAAATAAATTAGTAGCAAAAAAATTTATGAACAGTAGTAACAAAAAGTAGTAATAAATCTGCAACATAGAAACTTATCAATGCTGAACAATCTCATGAAACTAAAAAGATAAGAATGACAGGGGCAACGTCAAAGTATTCAAGTTACTGTTGGTTGAAACAAAGACAACCTCAGACTCGGGATTCCCTTTTACAGGCAAAGTCACACATACTGCTTACAGACCAAAAACATGTTTTGATTTTGCTTCCAAGGGATCACGAGTATTTCAAAACGTTTTCATAAAATATCGATGAAGAGAAGCGAACGATTTGGTTTGCTCGTTTGCACTTCTTTATGGATAAACAGCAGACACATGTATATTTCAAGACATCTTTGTTTTACCTAATTTCTTGGATTCGATGCCTCTGAAGTCTGAACCATGAGGAAGCAGGCTCTCATAAAACGAGCACACGAGGAACATCCTTCTCTAAGCAAATAAGTTAGAATCTATTTGCTCCACATTTGGGAAGATTTGTCTGAGCACCGCAACATAATCGGAAGACTTGGCCTGAGAAGAGATAGACAACACAAAATGATATACATTAACTAGATATCGAGCAGAAACTACAAATTTAGTTGTGATGCTCAACTTCTGTTCCTTAATGCATTAAATGATCTATCTAAAGTACGATGGGCATTGAACAAGACCAGCAACTAAATCATGTGTGTATCACTAAACTGACATGCCCATATCGAAAAGCAAATCCAAGTTAGGGAATCCAACAACAATAAGTAACAAGTAAATGATGACAAGTGCCTAAAAAGACCTCATTTTATGGTTAAACTTACACAAGGGTTATTTTCGAGATAGATAGTGGTAAGCTTCTCTTTAGAGCCTGTAACAGCTTCTGTGATTGCTTCAAGTGATTCTATCTGGTTGTCATTAAGCCACAAATCTTCCAACCTACACGTTAAGGTAAAGTCAGGAACTGGATGGAGAAAAAATATCACCAAAAGACATATATATCAGTCTGAAGCAAGGAAAAAGTGAAAAATACTTTGTGAGGTTCTGAATGTCATCAACTGACGTGAGTTTGTTGTTCGACACGTCCAATACCCGTAGGTTAACCAATGCACTCAAGCCTTCCATCTTTGAGATACCATTATGGCTCAAGTATAACTCTTCAAGAGCAACACAGTCCTGGGCACATATTTTTTTTTCTCATGCATCAGAAAGAATAATACAATGCCAATAATGAGGATATCTGCAGAAAAAGGTTAATAATGCACACCTCAAATCCTTTCATAGAGGTCAAACGATTGCTCTGCAAGCTGATCTTCTTTATACATTTGAGCCCACACAGGTTGACAACTTTGATACGGTTTCTTCCAAGCCACAGTTCTTCTAGTTTTGTGAAGTTTTCCATATTTTCCATTACCTGAAACCTCAAAAATGCTTTCACATTTCATTTCTGAAGCATTGTAAAGCGATTAGAAAAAAATATCAAAGGTGGTGGGACAAACCCGCAATCTATTAGACCCCAGTTCGAGAATCTGCAGATCGTCCAAGTGTTCGATCTCCGCAATCTTGTTAACTTCATTTTTAGAGACATAGAGTTCCTTGAGTGTGCTAGAGGCCTTCGATAACCCTTGCAACGAGGTGATTTCATTGAAAGATATGTCGAAAACCAAAAGCTTTGAGAATATTCTGATATCTGGAACTTTTGCGAGCTTGTTATCTCTCAGAATCAGCTCCTGCGTAAATTAAGTTGTGCAAGTTATATAATGATGATCAATTCTAAGGCCTCTCAGAATATAAAAAAAAAAATCATTGCAAAAGGAAATTAGCCTATACATTTGGTTCTACGGCCAACAACAATAAATCAGAGAGTGGAGAATTACCTCGAGATCGGATAAGGCTTCCCAGAGAGATAAAGGCTCGACGGCGGAATCATCAATAAGGTTCTGGCGAAGAGAAAGCTTCTTGAGCATAGAGAGCTGAGCGATCCTCGAATCCAATCCCGACAAACGGTTCGCCGTAAGGTCGAGCTCAGTCAGGGTCGGAGGCAACTCGACAGATTCGAGACTGTGAAGCTGACAGCTAGTGAGATCGAGAACATTAGCCGAATCATCGATCTCCATCAATGGTTGCTCTTCCTTCTCACTGTTCATGGCTTTTTGGTTCAAGCTCCGGATGGACGACGAGCTTCGTGTGGGAACTGGTCTAAGCGAAATTTCTCCTAAGCTCAGAACGTCGACGTTTCAGGTCCAGTACTAAATTTTGGTTCCATATAGGGTTCTTATTGTGGGCCGAAAGCCCATGAGCTGATCTCTGATCAAGATCCAGTAAGGCTTAACTCAAAAACTGATTTGAAACGAATCAACAACATTTGAGTTCATCTGATAATCAAACTTATGAGCCAATACAGTATTTACAAAGGTCAACACTGTACTACACAACACAGACAAACACACATAGGATGGTCTTAATCTTCACCATAAGATAGTAATATCATCTACGCTTTGCTTGGAACACTCTGTTATACCAAATAGAATGCAAAACCATATGAAACAGATCGTATCTCTCCGGTTTAGCATGCCACAGAAAATGCCTTTGCGCCTTTCTCACCGCCGTCTGCATCTTCACGTATTTCTCTTCCGGTATCGCCAACAAGATATCTTTCAACCTCGGGATGTCTTTCTCCGCAACAACGACCGAGAAGGCGCTCCAATCAAGAACCTCAAAGAAAGGCGGCACAAAGTTGTCGGATATAATCACAGGGACACACTCGTAGAAGATCGATTCAACCACCCTCGGGCTGTTCACCTCGTACCCTTTAGGACAAATGCAGTACTTGCTGCTCTTCATCTGGTCGATGTAGTTCATCTTGCTCGCTACGCCAAGCGGCATTCTCCCGTAGATCTTCATCTCGGGATCTTTGTCTTTCCAGTGCTGTAGCAGGATGGGACGTAAGTAACCGTGCATGCTCCCAGCGTAGAAAGCCAAGGTCCGTCTCTGAGACGGCGGTTTTCCACCCAAATCACGAAGCGGGTTTTTGGCGGCTCGGACATATGTTTCGGGGAGGGAGATGTCTCTTCCGATCTTGAAGCCTGCGGTTATGTCTGCGTTGCATAGAGCTTTAATGCAATGCTCCATGTGGTGCCTTGTCTCATATGGTGCCTGTTTAGCGAAAACAAATTAATATTGGAGAAATGGTTTTAGTTCAATCATAGAAGAGATGAAGGAGATGCATACCCAATCATGACAGGCGACAAGAAAATGATCGGCTCCATCGGTTCTATTGAAGAAAGGGTACTTGGAACTGATGTGCTCAGTGTATTCCTTAAGAAACTGGCGTAGGTTAGTTCGGTTGTGAGAGTTACGCACGTAAAGCGTGTATTCTAGCATCCGTGCACTAAATGGCATATAGTACAAGTGAGCCCTTCTTGGATCCTTTACAGTGTAGTGCTTGTTTCCTTCCATCAACTTCATGAACCATCCCTCTGACGCATACAACCCCTTGAGTATCGGAGTATGGAAAATGGGGCGGTTTCCCTCCTTATATACATAAACCTTGAGCATCCGTTCCATAAGTTCGTAACTCCTGAGGCATATAACTGAATCGAGTATGTCAAGATTACCTTTTATAGCAAAACACTACCAAACCGAGCAAGTTTGTGAACTAAACAGACCATTTCATCTCAACTTAGTAGTACTAGTAATAAACTTTCATCTACATAGGAGTAATGACACTAAGACAGGAATGTCGAGAGAATTCATAAAATCATATATGTACTAGTTTTCTTAACCAACAAACCAAGTTTAGAATAAGGTCTAAGTTGTTCAATTGTACCTCTTAAACATGGAAACATTACGGAAGATTGGAGGGAAGAGTTCCCGGTCAATAGGTGCGACAGGAGCATTCTCTATCTCCTTTCTTGCAGCCAATATCTCATCATCTCTCCTAGAAGACCAACGCGGTCGCTAACATTGAAAGCAGTATTTTTCTCAATTGAATAATAACTACAAGTAAAAGAAAATAAACTAAAAGGACAGCAGCAGCACGTACCATAGCGCGTGAAGATTTACGGTGCCTAGCTAAAATCCGATTCATCTCATCTATTGTAGTCACAGTTTTTGGTGGAAGATCACACCGCATCTTCTTCTTCTTCTTACTCACTTGCTTAATAACAAGCAACGAGCTATTTCCTAAAACATGAGAAGTTATGGAGGAGGAGCCTGAACTTAGCTTCGAGCTCTTCACGTTCTCCTGGCTTTGCAATGACACATTTGGCACCCGATGCTCATGATTACTGGTCAAAACTCCTTCATTCTGCATTACAATTTTCTCTGAAGGAAACAGACTGTCATCGCTTTCAGCCACATCTTTGATGATGACACTATCCTTTGCGTCTTCAAAGCTCTCAAATTCAACACTGTCAACAAACCCTTCATCATCCTCTGGCTCATTCCTTAGAACAGAACCCGAAACATACCCATTTTTCTCCAAGCCTACAGGAACCTCAGAAAGGTTAACTGCAAGTGTGTTCCTGAGAAGAGCGTTTTGTGATGGAGTCTCCACCAAAGCATTGTTCTCGCTGGGTAGTTTAAGTCTTCTTCCATCAGGCAACAGATATCTTCCATAGGAAAGTAACAAGGACATATGAGTAAGAGCCAGAATCCCAACTAGAATAGCCCATTTCCGCTTTCCACTTCGGGAAAATTTTCGGAGCTCAGATCTAATCTCCATGAGAGGAATTCACACAGATTCAAACCCAGAAAACAGTCGAGCTTCAGAAACTTATCCTGCCGACACATACAAGAAAAAGGGAAAAAAAAAATTTATCTGAAATTGGAATTCGAAATCGTTGGTCAAATTGAAACTCTTGATTGAAGTTACGAGCGATTTGATGATACAATTTATCGTTGTGGAAAAGTTGCTAAAAAGGAAAACAATTCAAAGAACCTTGAAGTGGAAAAGACATGGAGATGATGGAGTTGAAGACCAAGGCAGACGGCTCCGACCCAAGTGAAGTGACTGTGTAATTTGGTCTTCTTTCCTTATAACAATGGAGGGACACATAAGTTAGTCAAAAATAAAGTCAGACGCCTCGGTCATTAAAGGTTGGGGCGGTAAGAAAAAAAAAACAAACCGAATTCATCAATCTAAAACCAAACAATAACCAATACCACCTAAACCATTCGGTTTGCTATGCTTAAGCTAAACCAACCAACCAACCGGTTCGAAAGTCACTCCAACACTGCTGTGTGCCTGTGTTCATCATTGTGCTGCGCCCAGAGACCAGAAAATCAAATATACATATGAGTGAAGCACTTTCCCCAGCTACGGCATGTGCGTGTGCGAATCTTGCTATCGATCCCTAATTCAACCATCGCCATGAAGGTGTCTGCAGGATTATTTGGTTCCAGATCCTCTTTCCTCGTCATCTTCCTCTCCGTTTCTCTCTTCTGGCTCCGTCCCAGCACTTTCCGTCCCCAGCACCAAAATCTCAATCCGCAGAACGTAACTCGCTCGGAGTCTGAGATTGCAACGCAGACAAACTACATAATCCGATTTAAGCAGTACAAGCCGGCGAAAACCCATCGAATTTACCTCGAATCGGAGGTCCGATCCGGTGGTTGGGGCTGGATCGAGAGGAATAACCCGGCGGCGAAATATCCGACGGACTTCGGTGTTCTATGGATCGGGGAAAGCGGGAAAGAGGCAGTGGTTGGGGAGATTGAGAGGCTAGCGATGGTGAAAGACGTGAACGTGGAGTTTCGGTACCAGAGAGTTTTGCTTGGAGGATCTTTTCTGGACGGGAAGAAACGTCCGGGAAAGGTTTTCACTTCGTTGTCTTTCGAAGAAGGAGATGATCACTCTGCCAAGGCCGCCACAAGTAACACCACGTTAAACTGGAGTCGACATCTTCTCGCTCAGGTGAGAGATTGTCAAAGTATCTTGCATTTGTTTGCTCATTAAATGCGACTAAAATAGTGTAGCGGCATGCTGATACCAAAGTTGTTCAGTACTCGATCTATGTGCTAAATTTCATATCGTAAATTGTGAGTGAGTTTCTTTTACAAGTTACACTTTTTCCTATTTTGCAGAAGACTCAAGTCACGTCCATGTTTGGAGCAGATGTTCTCTGGAAGAAGGGGTACACTGGTGCTAAAGTCAAAATGGCCATATTTGATACTGGAATAAGATCTGACCACCCTCATTTCCGTAAAATCGAGGTACCACTATTTGGAGAAAGAGATGAAACCAATAGTATTTCTCGAAGAATTCAGATAAGAGTACTGTAGTGTTGAAAGCTACTAGTTGTCGTTGATCTTCTACATTTCTCGTTAAGCTCTGAAGCTGGTATTGACGCAGTTACTTTCAGGAGCGTACAAATTGGACAAATGAGGACACTTTGAATGACAACCTGGGGCATGGGACATTTGTTGCTGGTGTTATTGCTGGTCAAGATTCAGAATGTCTTGGTTTTGCCTCCGACACGGAAATCTATGCTTTCCGAGTGTTCACTGATGCCCAGGTAATGCATGATCACGTAACAGATACATCTTCTTATGTGGCAAGGGGCTTAACGTTCCTTCAACTAAACTTACTTCACTCATGATCCAATAATTTCTGTTTGCGTTTCCCCAGTTACAGTTACTAAGATAATGATATTGGTTACAGAGACCTACACGTTGATATTTTATTTTAGTATAGTTGACGGCTATATGTTTGAGTGTATTCCTTTTCTCTTTGTCCCCTCTTCACCTTTACTCCTGCCATAAATATTTTACTAGATATGCAAGTTATCTTAATCAAATAGGTTATAAGAAGTTTGCGCTCAGCTTGTTGCAGGTATCATACACCTCATGGTTTCTTGATGCTTTCAATTATGCAATAGCAACAAATATGGATGTATTGAATTTGAGCATTGGGGGACCGGATTACTTGGATCAGCCTTTTGTAGAGAAGGTAATGGTTCCTTAAACTCTTGGTGTTGAAGTTTGCATTATATTGTTGAGTCAAGTGGTGAGGTATTTCTCTCTAGGATATATGAACGAACAGTAGTGTGTTCCAGAAGCACTGATTAACTTCCAACAGGTGTGGGAAATAACAGCCAGCAATATCATTATGGTGTCTGCAATTGGAAATGATGGGCCACTTTACGGAACATTAAATAATCCAGCGGACCAGAGTGATGTCATAGGTGTTGGTGGTATTGACTATGATGATCACATAGCTTCATTTTCATCTCGCGGCATGAGCACCTGGGAGATTCCTCATGGGTACTTTATTCATTTGCTGCTTCTACATTCCCGTTTTACACAATCTTACTGATAAAAGATTTATAATGTCATTCAAATTCCCAACTTAAAACATTTTGCTTACAGATATGGCCGTGTCAAACCAGATGTGGTTGCATATGGCCGTGACATTATGGGGTCCAAGATCAGCACTGGTTGTAAAAGCTTGTCTGGAACAAGTGTCGCTAGTCCTGTTGTTGCTGGTATTGTTTGCCTGCTTGTAAGTGTTATTCCTGAAGCTAAAAGGAAGGATCTGCTCAATCCAGCAAGCATGAAGCAGGCATTGGTCGAAGGTGCTGCTAAGCTTTCAGGTCCTAATATGTATGAGCAGGGTGCAGGAAGAGTTGATCTGTAAGTTAATTTACCGATTTCGGTAATCGCTATTTGATTCTTTCTTTTTAATTTGATACTACTTCCTTACTTTTTTTAGTCTCTAATTTTTCGACTCTTTGTCAGATTAGAATCATATGAAATTCTAAAGAGCTACCACCCCCGAGCAAGCATTTTTCCGAGCATTCTTGACTATAGTGATTGTCCATATTCCTGGCCATTTTGTCGCCAGCCACTATATGCGGGTGCTATGCCTGTCATTTTCAACACGACAATTCTAAATGGTATGGGTGTCATTGGCTATATTGAAAGTCCACCGACATGGCATCCTGCAAACGAGGAAGGAAATCTGCTGAGCATTCACTTTAAGTACGCAGATGTGATATGGCCCTGGACTGGTTATCTAGCTTTGCACCTGCAGATCAAGGAAGAAGGTGCGCAGTTCGCAGGTGAAATAGAGGGCAATGTAACGGTTAAAGTCTATAGCCCATCAGCCCCTGGAGAAAGTGGGCCTAGAAGAAGTACATGTATTCTTCAGTTGAAACTGAAGGTGATTCCCACCCCACCACGAGCGAAACGAGTTTTGTGGGATCAATTTCACAGCATTAAGTATCCTCCAGGTTATATTCCAAGAGACTCTTTGGATGTGCGCAATGACATTCTTGATTGGCACGGTGACCACTTGCATACAAACTTTCACATCATGTTCAACATGTTACGCGATGCTGGGTACTATATTGAGACTCTTGGTTCTCCCCTTACATGTTTCGATGCTCAGCAATATGGAACCCTTTTGATGGTTGACCTTGAAGATGAATACTTTCCGGAAGAAATTGAAAAACTCAGAGATGACGTTACCAATGCAGGACTGGGTCTGATTGTGTTTGCTGAGTGGTATAATGTCGATACCATGGTGAAAATGAGATTCTTCGATGATAACACGCGTAGTTGGTGGACTCCAGTCACTGGAGGTGCAAATATCCCCGCACTTAATAACCTTCTTGCATCGTTTGGGATTGCGTTTGGAGACAAGATTCTGAATGGAGATTTCAGTATTGACGGCGAGCAGAGTCGATATGCTTCTGGAACAAACATAGCCAGGTTTCCTGCTGGTGGGTTTTTGCACAGTTTTCCTTTACTGGACAGCTCTGAGAGTGGCGCTACACAGAATCTACTGCTAACTGGGTCATCAAAGGTATGAGAAACCACTCTCTTTGCTTCTAACTATGCCCTGCATTTTTTTTCTCTAAATGGCATTGTGATAATGCGGCTCTGTTTACAGGAAGACCCTGCTGTTCTTGGGCTTTTGGAGATCGGTGAAGGTCGAGTTGGTGTCTATGGAGACTCAAATTGCCTGGACAGTAGCCACATGGTCACCAACTGCTACTGGCTCCTGAAGAAAATCCTAGATTTCACCAGCTCAAATATCAAAGACCCTGTGCTTTTCTCAAAATTTTCAAAGAGACTTTCACCCGTAATCATAGACGAGAACCAACTGCCATCTCGAAGAACTGATGTGAATTTTTCAACATACTCTTCTGTGATCGGAAAGGAGCTAATCTGCGAGAGTGACTCCAGATTTGAAGTGTGGGGGACAAAAGGGTATAACTTGCATGTCAGAGGAAGGAACCGTAGATTACCCGGATATCATGGCATTGATTTGGGTCGAGGCTTGAATTTCACATTGGAGAACACAAAACCAACACGTTGGAAATCATCCAGGGAAGGAGGTGAGCTTAGCTCTTCCAGGAGCAAGTATCTGGGAGTTTTCAACAGAGACGAGGTGATTCATGTTATCTCTCTCTCAGTCTTTCTAATTAATTTTTGGAGGGACCAAAAGGTTGGTTATATTATTTTCCTCTGATTTTCCAGATTGACTTGCCATTTCTTGTTGCAACTCGATGGATCGTACCTGCTGGTGTTGCAGCTAGTGGTAATATACCCAACCTTGTTAAAGATTTTGAAGTCTGCTAAACCTTTTTAGTTGCAGTTTTTGATTTGATTTTTGTACCCTTTGATCGTTGTGTGCTACAGGAGTTTTAGTGTTACTAAGCATTTGGAGAATCAGGCAAAGGAGGCGTAGGCGGAGAAGAGCATCTGGATCGAATCGAATAGCCTAGCATATAGCCGTGTGTAGCCGTTTCTGCCTGCGTAGAGCCACACCACCCATTTAATTTTTGTAGCCTTTTTTTACTGTCACTTACACTGACCACAGAATGTAGTTTCTCTTTTACGTTTCTACAGCTGGAAATCATTTTTTTTTTAAGGAAATCAATTTTAAAAGGTAAAAAACTTTTCACTTCAAAAGCCAAAAAATACATTTTCGGTTATAATTTGGATTTTACAAAAGGACTTTACTTGGTTGATAACTAAATGCATAGCCAAAAGTGGAAAAAAGATTGGCAACATTTTCATGAATAAAGTGATGTGTTTTTTTTTTTATAATATATTTGTGTCGACAAATAAGTGATCACGCGTGTTTGAAGAAGAAAGTAACATTTTGTAAATATGGATGGTGTCTCTCTCACTCTCATCAATGAAATAACATGAAGTTTTCAAAAACACAAATGCATGTTATTTTTAATAAGATGCAGGGTAAAAAAAAAAAAAAAAACCACGTCCATTATTAAACCTTGGAAAATTAAAATGAATAAAAGAAAAACTATTTATTTGAAATACATCCTACAAACATACCCAAGAATAGTATGAATTTGAAATTCAAATAGTGGCCTGGAACCAGGGCTTAGCCTAATATAGGACGAGGCTGCTAATATGGTCCCCCAATTTGCCACCACACCCCAAACCTTACTTTTACGTAAAAAGGGAAATTAGATTAGCCAATACGCATTCACTTCCATACCATCTGACCCTTTTTCTGAATTTACAAAACAAAACAAAAACTAAAAAAATATTGTCCTTAAAATAGCATTAGCCAGCTCTACCTGCTGAAATTAACCCATGCTATTTTCCCTTTTCTTATTTTGTTTTCTTCAACATAAACAGAATCGTTTAAAATGTTCATTAATTAATACAGACGTTAATTATACGACCCTCGAATTTCAATAGTTACTACTTCTTCTATATGCGACATTGATCTTAAGAAGATTCGAGGTAACAGACTCCAACTAGTGTAGGAGCGAATATACTAACAACGCGTGGTTCGACCCCATGCCACTAACAATTCCTTTGCTTTTACTGTTGTACCCGTAGGACCTTCATTGGTCGATTTGCATTGTAAAAATATGCAAATCGTTAATTGGTTTATTATCTTTTTTTCATTCTAAAAATGACGCCAGCAAAAGGCATACGGGGAATCTAGGAGATCATGTGAATGTTTGCAAAGAAACATAGATACAATGTTTAAGTTGTTAAATATTAGAATAGACCGACTGTATATTGTTTTTTTTTTATGTTTAAAATTTAAAATTTTCATTTTACTGTATTAGTTAAAGCAATGTGCACAACAGTTTCATTACCCAAAGTCATGGCGAATAGACGGAATGTTTTCCTTTTCAACTAGCTATTGAGGTTAAAAATAATACATCTTGTTAGCAACTTTTGGAAAAAAATGGCTTATTGGTCTCCTTTTTGTGAAAAAAGTCAATTTTCTTTATTAAAATATCAACATCATAGTATTAAATATTTTACTCATGCACATATAATTTGACTTTTAGTGATCGTCGTGCACTACCTTTCTGCATAATTTTTCGTTTTCAATCATTTAATTCGAATTTCACCTTTGCCTTTTTGAATGAAACGATCACACTCAAAATTCAATAACCGATGCACGAACTCCGGGGAGAAAGTTTCAATTAGTGATGTTAAACTAAAGGGAAGGATTGTCATTTTTACAACTTTGACGATAGATTAGATATTGTCTTTCACTAAAAAATATTAGAATACACATATAGAAGCGCTTCAATTGCAAAATAATTAGCTTTATGAAAAAGAATAATTAAGAATTACGAAACAAAAGAAAACACAAAATAATAAAGAAGATATACAAGAAGAAGAATGAGAAACTAAAGAGATATTCTGCTGTTTACATATTACAAAACTTTAAAACTGCTTAATACTAATAAAGAATTCGAAAAGCTGAAGAGAACTGACTTTTACTAGATGACAAGCATTACAAACGCAGTTTATGTCAAAAAATATTTAAAATTTGTGGAAAAAAACGAGCAAAGAAAGGTCAAGCGTCTGTAAAATAAAAACAGAAAGAAAAGAGCAAGAAGGAAATTCCAACGGTATATTTTTGGTGTCAGCTATTCGAATAGTTTGAGTTAAAAGACGACAAAGAAAAGACAAAAGACACTGCAGAATGAGTAAACGTAAAAAGTTGTAATCATTAAATTTATCATTAATATACGAAATATGCAAACCAAAACAAGAAATGAGAAAAATAAAGAGAATTTATCTCTCCTTCCCTGAAAAAGTCTTTTATATGACACTCCTCCTTTAATACATCTTGTTCAATGGTCACTTTCCCTCTCTTTACCTCTCTCTCTTCATCGATATTCTCTAACATGGAGAAAAGAATGAGGCTCAGGGTTCCAAGAATTGTCCGGTCATCTCTAAGCTCTTGCCGACCACGAGATCTATACGACGTCGTTGAGACTAGTGCTGTTGCAAGTCACACAACGTCTTCCGAGAGGTTCTTGCTCACCGAAGCTAAAACCAAAAGTCCACGCGTGCACAGTCACAGAACGAAGTCTTATGCTTGCTCTGCGTCGCCGATATTCCCTCCAAACCCTTTCTACGAAGAGAGCCGTTCGTTTCGAGATTTGAGGAAGAAGATCAAGACAAAGAGGAAGCAGAGAACGCAGTTTGGTTCCGATTCTCTCCTTGCCTCTCGTTTTAAGTCGAGTGGTTCTTGGTGCTGGTCTTGTAGCGAAGAAGACGAAAGTGACGATACAGATACACTCTTTTCTTCTAGAAGCTTCTCCTCGGACTCGTCCAAGGCGGAGAGTTTTGCGGTGGTGAAGAAGTCAGAGGATCCATACGAGGATTTCAGGACGTCAATGGTGGAGATGATAGTTGAGAGACAGATATTCGCAGCGGCTGAGCTACAAAAGCTTCTTCAGTGTTTTCTATCGTTGAACTCTCTTCAACACCACAGTGTCATCGTTCAAGTGTTTTTAGAGATTTATGCCACTTTGTTCTCTCCTTAATATTTTCTTTCTCTATCTGTCACTTTTAACATATGTTACTAAACGTACTATGTTCAAGTCTCTAATCTTGCTTTAGTGTTTGGTTCCTATTTTCGACTAGATTCGCTTTTTAGTTAAGCTTTGTTAAAGTCTTTCTCTGTATTTTTGTTATCATGAACCAGAATGGGTTAAATCATAATTAAATTTGGAGTAATTAATTATCAGTAGAGGCCTAATCTTGCTTTAGTGTTTGGTTCAGCAAACACTAGAGAAAATAACAAAACAGAGGAATCCGTAGATTCTTCAACAACAAATCTAATATGTATTCATTCATTAATCTCTGTTTTCAACTACCCCTAACTAATAAAGATATGCTTCTACCAATTATTCAACTAGAAAAGAAAAAAACCATTTCAAAAAATAACTTGTCTCTAAAAAACTAAAACTCAAACATGGTCCAACTCTGAGATAGCCTTCCGGTTCACACCAGTTCCCTTGATGCTATCTTCATCATGGCTTATTGGTTGGTACCATTTTGCAAATACCAAATAAAACACGAAGTCGATGGCAGCTAATATAGCAATCAGAAAATAAAACCGATCCATATGACCCTCGTTGAGATCTTCCGGTATCCACCCGTGGCTCGAGCCTCTCGCCGTTATGGCCATAACGACATTCACCATCAAACTGCTCACGTAGTTACCTAACGCCATCGAAGCCATACACAACGAGCTTCCTAAGTTCTTTAAACCATCCGGTGCCTGTCCGTTGAAAAACTCTAACTGTCCAACGTACATGAACACCTCACTTGCTCCCACGAGCACGTACTGTGGTATTTGCCATAAGATTGAGAGCTCGCTCTCCTTTTGACCCGGGACGATTCTTCTCAGCCGTTGGATCTCTGTTAATCCAGCAGCCACCATTGCCATTATCCCAATGATCAGACCTATCCCCATCCGCATAAGTTCCGTGGGTCTCACGTATGGGAATATGGCGTGGCGGTAGATTCCAGTTGATATCAAGACGCTGCATATATCGAAGACCGACATGCTCGCCGCCGGGACGTGGAATTTCCCGAGGTATGCATCCATCACATCGCCCTGCTCCACGAACAGAGACGCCATTTGTGTGAAGATCACTGAGTATATTATAGTGCATAGCCATATCGGAAGCATCTTCATCACACATTTTGCTTCCTCTACTTGAGTTACACTGCACAACCTCCATGCATTGATCCTTGTCCCATTCCTATATATACAATATTCACAAGTTAAAAAATATGCCTATTATATGAGAGTATGTGTGGTTAGATTTTTGTATTTTTACCTGTCATTATCTGTAATCACCGCTGCTCTATCCAAGAAGACAAATTTGGTACTGTGAAATATCTTTCTACTTCCTTTAATAGCGGATTCAGGGCCATCGACCTCGTACAACTCCTGGTGGTTATCGGGTCGAACAACACTCCACTTACGAGCAGTTGCTACGAATACTTGCGCCACACGTGGCAACGGGTTCCCACAGGCCTTAACGTAACGATAACGTTTTGTCGGGCCGAGAAAAGCCGCCAATGCGATAATCGCAGAGCCTAGTGACACCAAGAAGCCTTCAGTCCACAACCCTTGATCCTCAAAGTAAACAAGGATCGTGTTTGAAAAGAGAGATCCGACGTTGAGGGCAAAGTAGAAGTAGCTGAAAAACGCAGCTTTGGAGGTTTTATCATTCTCACCAAACTGATCCGCACCGAAAGTAGCCAGCGTTGGCTGGTGACCGCCGTATCCAAAGGCTACAAGATAAACGGATAAATAGAAGATGGCAACGCCGAGGGAAGACGTAGGGTGGCAGGTAAGGTTTCCGTCGCCACAGCCTCGAGGCTTGATCAAGAAAAACCATGAAGTGAAAGAGAGGAGGCCCACACCGATGACGAAGATGACTTGGAAGATCGTGCAGGTCAAGTAACGTCCCCAATAGGAGTCGCTAAGAAATGCACCAACGAGTGAAAACATGTAAACTGTTCCTGTCCACTTGCTTACGTTGTTCGCAGCCTCTGCATTGCCTTGTCCTAGAACACGCGTCAGGAACAACACCAAGTTCACTCCCACCCCAAAGAAGGCTAACGTCGCTAACCCTTGATTTGCTGTTCAAATGTTGAATCATGCAAGTTTAGTTTTGATCCGTGGGATATGACACATTTGAGGACAATAATACAAACTAGTAAAAGGTCAAACTACGTAAGATTTAGTTTTACAAATTTCTTTAGGTACAATAATAATATGTCATGCAAAATGTACCTAGCAAAATGATTGCGTTTGTCCAGCGACCCTTATCTTTTGTCTCCTCCTTCTTCGTCTTCTTGTTAAAGTCAGAATCGTTTGACTTGTGAGACACCACACTTTGATTATCTTGAACCTCTATCACCTCACCAACTTCAATATCTTCATCTCTCTCCCGCTCCTTTGAAATTATGTCCCATTCAAATTATAGACATTTTTGTATATCCAAAAACAATTAGTTATTGATAGGGATCGTTCTTTTCCACTCTTTCCCTTTTATTATAAGTGAAGTTTTGACACTTCACCATCTGATTCTTGAACAGATGAACTTGTTATACTTTATAAATTTTTTATTGATATTTAATATGGTATAAATCGAAACAAATAAAAAATCTAGAACAGAAAATAAGTTTCAAAATCGAAGCAACGTGAGAAACTTATTCGTTAGAATCTGAGGCAGCTAGCGTGAGAATTTACGTACATTTAGCGGAGCAACGTAGCCATTATTTCTCGGATCCATAGCGGCCATTTAAGGTATCTGTAGGAAGTAACATGTGATTATTAGAACAATGACAAATTAGAACCAAAGGATTAAGGATATATAGAACTACTAAATTGATTATAATATGGTACAAGGTGTCATGTTATATATGTTTTAGGAATTAAGCGTTTCAAGCCTGTCAAATTCTACAATTCACCACAAAGGAAAAGTACAGTATTTATAAAACAACTAAAATTTATGTACGATGATGTATATATATTCAAGCATGTCGTAAGCAAAAGATTTTCATCCCTAAATCTATTCGATGTAAACAAAAGTTACTTAATCTTTGCAAGCTAGGTTACATAATTCGTCAATGAAGCAAACAGTAACATGCAAGGAGCGATCATCGATATAAGAATAATAATCGAACCGTTTACGCAGAATCTCCGGCGAAGGAGAAGAAGTTGTGTCAACAATCAGAACTGGCCGAAGAAACACTTTCGATGCAGGAAAGTTAGAAACACCTTTTGTCATTTATGGTTGAAGGATTAGTGTTTTGTAACTTTTCTCGCGTTTGATCAACCTTGAAAGATTAGTGTCTTTTTACTCAGATAAAGCGAGAGCTAGGTGAATCTAACAATGGTTAACTTAGTGAAAAAGCTTTTTTTCTTTCTTTCTTCCCTACATATATAGGTTTAATTGGCCTCACATGATAAAGAAAAATTAATTAAGATGACAACAAATCTCCTTTATAAAAGGGTAGTTTACCGAGGATTTATATAAGAGGTTACAATAAATATATGAGAAGTGAGTTTACCAATTCTAAACTAACGTTGACCATCCAACTTCTTCTTTTTAGGAATTTTTTTTAGCCAAATATTTTTCGTCTCAAAGTGAATATATATTGATCACAAGATTACTCCTAAATGACAGGAGTTTAGTTAGCTTTGAGAAAATTGACCCAAATTATTGGCAGAAAAATGAGGAATTGATCGAGTCAAGGTCCAAATTCACTCCTAACAAGACAATATATCGTGACTTAACATGAACAAACAAAAAATATGTTAATTGATATATATATATAATCATTTTCGACCAAAAAAGAAAAATAGATAGATTGTTCACAACAAAAAAAAATTATAAAAATGAAAAGGAAAATGGCTGAAAAAAAAAATCCAACTAAAACAGTAAATAAACGAGGCGGTTACTAATTTGTTTAAGGTTTATCTAATGGGTTTAATGCGAATAATACTTTTTGTTTTAATATTGGCAAAAATTCGTTCTTAGTCTTTGTGTTGTTGGGAAATGTCGTTTCTAAATCTCCTTCCGAGTATAAAGGAAACCCAAAAGGTATCATCATCTCTCTGAAAATGTCGTCGTCAAACTTTACAGTGGAATCGTGTAAAGTCGATTCCGAGGAAGGGGTGAATCTTCACACGAGAATCTTCAAACCCAGAAACGTGGAAGCTAGCCACGATGATGGGAATCTGGTGATTGTCTTGGTCCACCCGTTCTCGCTCATGGGTGGTTGTCAGGCTCTGCTCAAAGGCATAGCTTCTGAGCTGGCCTGTAAGGGTTTCACGTCCGTCACCTTCGATACAAGAGGTGCCGGAAAATCAACGGGAAGGGCTACTCTCACTGGCTTCGCCGAGGTCAAGGATGTGATCGCTGTTTGTCGGTGGCTTTCCCAGAATCTCGGTGCTCATAGGATCCTGCTCGTGGGTTCTTCTGCCGGTAAGGTTTCTGTGCTTTCGATTTTAGAAATTTTCTCCCTTTTCCTTTTTTTGATGATCTGGCTTAGTTCCACTTTTTGACTGTCTTTCTAGTGTAATTCTAAGTTGAATCTGCTTATGCTGGCTCGATCTGGTAATGCAACTTTTGCAGTTTATCTGTGAGAATTGATTTTCGAATTCAATGTTATTATGGATTTTTCTGAGCTAGAAGTTAAATTGAGGCATTGCTTTCTCTTCAAATGGTGTGGCAGGTGAAGAGTTTACTCATTTACTTGATGTGTATTAGCTGAGATAACTTTGTTCCGTAATTGGTCTTGGTTATGTCCCCCAATTGAAATTATGATTCGTTGCCTCTCTTGTTCATCTAGTTCTGTAGATTAAGCATCTTTCTTGTTCCTATTTGGTGTTTTCTACATTCGGAGGAATCTCTTCTTGAGGGAGTATATACTTTGCTTTCGTTGATAACTTGCAACTTTTATGTGTCTTTATCATTACATGGTGCATCTTCGTGCACTAATCGTACTTGCCTTTATTTTCCATTGTGTTAGATTTAGTTCCTGCTGAGTATAGAACAAAGAGCAAAGAAGTCTTTTAACGGACATTGTGAGGGAAATTTGATGTTCCATGTCGATTTGTTTATATTGTAAAGGGGGAAAAAAATTGAAGTTAGAGTCTATTGGCAGGTGCACCAATCGCAGGATCAGCAGTGGAGCAAGTAGAGCAAGTGGTGGGTTATGTGAGTTTGGGGTACCCATTTGGTCTAATGGCCTCGGTTTTGTTTGGTCGGCACCACAAGGCCATTCTCTCATCCACTAAACCAAAATTCTTCGTCATGGGAACACAGGACGGTTTCACTAGCGTAAGCCAGCTCAAGAAGAAGCTGAAATCTGCAGTGGGACGCACCGAAACACACCTCATTGAAGGCGTTAGTCATTTCCAGATGGAAGGACCTGAGTATGATTCTCAGATGGCCGATGTCATCTGCAACTTTATTTCATCCTTGTAAGATATATATCATATATGCGACTTCATAATATCCCATGTAAGAGATAGACTTAATTTGTACCACATCATACACAAAGAAGGGAAGCTGTGAGCTGAGGAGTTTAACATTGAGAGCAATTTGATCGTTTGTGTTGGACGACAAAGATTAATGGCATTTCTCAAGACGCCTTCAAGTTTCAGCTCTTCCCTTTGTCATTAGATAGAGGAGCTTGTGAGCTCTCCAATACTTTAAGGTACAATGGAATCCTTGCAAAGAAGGTTTTTAGCCAAACATATCACTTACATTATCGCAGAAAGCCAGAAACCATTTATAAATTATTTCGAAGTTTTTCAATGAATCTCTGAGAATGGTAAAATAAAGAACATCTGCATAAAAAGCATTCAGATTCGACATTTAGATGAATACAACCAAATCAGTGAGTTATCTAAGGAGATAATATAAATCACTAAAATAAACAAACATTATGTTAGATGACTGAAATTACAAAAAAAGGCAGATGGGGAACTGGGAAGATTAGTTCCGGTGGCCAACCCCAAAGTGAAACCTTCCGGTGTGTTTATCATTGAAGGCATATTCAAGGCGTAATGGCCCCAACGGGGAATCAACACGCACTCCAAAACCATACCCGTAACCACTTCCAGGCTTCAGCCTTGCCCCCGCAGGATCACCTAAAGGGCAGAAATATAACAACGATGATGGTCACTTGTGAGATTCTTAAGCTTTTACAAGTATATGGAAAGACTCGGAAGGAAGAAAAAACGAAAGCCTAGTATGTACCTGGGACAGTGGGTCCTGATCCCATATCAGTACCATAATCCGTAAAAAGGACTCCCTCGACCGGTCCTCTCTGCACAAAAGGGCAAGAATGAGAGTCATATAAAATTCACACCATCGGGAAATGAGATCTTGTGAATGTCAGAGAGAAATCTCACCACTGGGAAAGAGACCTCCCCGGAACCAACTACATACGATCGACCAGATCCTACAGCGCCCTCTTCGTAACCTCTTACGCTGTTTGTTCCACCGATGGCGAATGCTTCATGAGGTGAAAAGTTTCCCACCACATGTCCACCAGACAGACTGTAAACATGAACAAGGTAAGATAAGCTATATACAACTAGGGAAATGATGACTAGAATCCCAAAAGGTGAATAGAAATTAAGGAAATTGTTTTCTGCAAGGAGATTAGCATACCTAAAAAGAAAACGAGCTGGTCCAATGTGTATGCCTTTCCTGGTACGAGCATTCACTCGATTGAAAAATAACCATTCGGGTAAAATAGGAAGCCCTTGTTCCATATTAAACGCAAACTGGTATACAAATACAGATAGGGTTAGGCATAGAAAAAAAAGAAGAAGGGGAAGATGTAACTACCAACAGAGGATTGAGACTCACCATCGTTGATCCATGGTCACCTGAGCCCGTATAAATGCTTTCAAATTTAGCTAGCAAGGTCTCATCATGGCTCTTACCACTACATGAGCAAACATAGCATGTATCAAAATTCAAATGGTCAAAATATAGCACTGGTAGAAACAGTGAGCGAAACCAAAGACATCTCATCCTTTGGATGTATTTATATACCTTGCGGTTAGAGGACTACTGTAGAAGTCCTTGATGATAGGGTTTCCTTGTTCATCACGAGCACCAGCATGCTGAAATATTAAATTTAAAGCGAAAAATGAGAATAATGTCGACGTAGACACATGTGCAAGATCCAGTGCAGAGAAATCTTTTGGTGGTGCATGCATGATGATTGTGTTCAACAGAAACTTAAAAATATTGGTAACAGTAGTTACCTGAAATATAAGTCCAGCAGTACCACTCCACTTTGGCCTGAATGGCCGACTGTATTCAATACCTGCAGTAACCCGGCCAATTGTGAGACTACCATTGTCTGGTTGATTGCCGTGAACTAGATTCCCCGGTGTTCTTGAATTCTAACAAATTATGAAGCTAGTTAGTCTATTAGTCAACTTAGCATTCTCATTGAGTTACATTAAAAAGCTAGAACCAGTAAAGGTCTTTACCTGAACCATAACAGATCTGGATGTCCTCTTGTCGTCTCCTTCAATCCATGGATCAGTGTAGTTTATACGAAATATAGAGTCAATTTGACCCCTCTCTAGGGAAACGTTAAGCTTCTGGTTTCTTCCAAATATATTTCGGTGAGAATAAGCGAAGCTGCATGAAATAACTACTTCAATTACACCCGTAATGTCTTTACTAAATGAACCCAGCTTGGGCCCGACTAAAAAACGAATCGTCACAAATAAAATATACATGAAAGTGTCGCATGAGTTTACCTTCCAATTAGTCCAGATAGGGGGCCACTCGTGATCCTACAAATAAGAATGGACAAACTTTGTCGTCAAGCTACCAAATAAAAATGTGAAACGCTTTATGTAGTAAAGAAACTAAAACTTACCCACTAGATATCCCACCACCAGCAGAGAAGCCTCCACTGGGACGCTCAACACAGTTCATGATCAAATCTACCTTCCCACTATCTAACATTCACAGGAGAAAAAAAACAAGGGAAAGAACAAATTTTTCAGTATCATACACTTTCAAAACCTATTGATTTTGCGCATGATGGATAAGGCGTTTACTTTCTCCACCCATGCTACAAAGTGAAACTAACACCATTAGCTGAAACCGAGGGAATACATTCACTCACCTCCTGCGGGTTGAGGAATAATACTAACATCTTCCATGATTCCCATGGCTAGCACAGTGTCTACATCCCTCTTCCCTTGAAGCATGCTGTAGACCTACAACGATCAAAAGCTAGATTAGGCAAGATCTATATGTAGAGTTCCATAGCATCTTAGAGGCTCATGCATAAAAAAAAAGAAATTAGGCCAAAATTTGCGAAGAAGCTTTCAGTTTATGTCAACTGAAGAATGCAATTACAATATAATACTATAGAGAGTGATCAAACTTACTACAAAATAAGATTTCCTAAAGGATTTAATGAATAGATGATGCCTCAGAAGTGGTTTATAACAGCTCAAGTAAACTATGATGTTCTAGTTACCGGCTTATTCTTACATCTAATCTGAGAGAGTCCAAAATATACCTGTCCCTTCTTTGTTGTAAGCTGCCGTAGTATTGTCTCAACCCTTGTCTTCCCTTTTGTTGGTTCGCCACTAAATATAAAAGACACCATTATCAAATGAAAACTCTAATGTAATAGTTGAAATAAAAGGAAGCTGTGCAATCCAGAATCACCTGCAATTTTAACCAATATGAATTACATAAAGGTGAGGGATTGGCACCAACTTACGTCTTACGATCAAGGAACCGGATGGATATGTTGTTAACCTCTGCTTCAGCAACTTGAAGCCTTACTATACCTCCAGAAAGCGTATCGATATCAGAAACCTGCAATGGCAGACAACAGGATGAAGATTTTAACCACAAAGTAAACGATTGAATCAAGGATATAAAAGATTTTTTTTGGAAAACTTGTTACGGTGTGCAAGTTCAAAGAACACTTACAATCCCGAAAAGACCACGCTCCATGTACCAGCCATTAATGGACGTAATAGCTTCCTCCAGTCTCTTAATATTAATCACTTTCCCTACATAACTTCAAACCAACATTTACTAACGATTACCCGATCCAATTAAACAGACACCGAGCACTGAGGAACCCTAACTAACTAGTCTCAATAGATTTACATGTAAACTAAGAGCAACTTCAAATGAATTTCATATGCTCATGTTCATAGCAGTAACATGTCTGAGAACAGCTAGTGATCCTGCATTGCGAAGCATGATTGCATGAAAACAATTTGGTCATACTACCTATCCGTAATCTATCTTCTTCATTCAAGGCTAAGAAAACTCATTTTACACCACGCGTTGAGAAAAGTTTTGGCTTCATCAGCATTCGAAATTTTGTCAAGTTCCAGTATCAAGACTCCATTTTGACCCTCAAAGTGGTAGATGAATTAGACGATATATGCATTACAGAAGAAAGAACACAAGCCAAAGTAGAGGAAGCGTACCAAATCCATCTTGGAAAGCTTCCTGTATGAATCTCGACGGAAGAACATTTGCGTTTTCGCAGACTAACCCACGAAATTCTTGGTTTGGTTCTACCTTGTGGCAAGAAAATGAGAATTATTCATAGCCAAAAAACAACATAAAAGAGAAGTTTTTTCTCCGAGAAAGTTTAAAAAAAAAAGAGTTTTGCAGAATACATACCTGAAACATCAGTCGGATTCCGTCGCGTGTATCAACAGCAACAGGCGTACAAGAGCAGAAGTAGCCACTTTCTATAATCCTATGCACATCCTCCTGTACCTCCCGAATGGTTAATGCTGAATTGGCTCGACAAGCCTTCAAAGCGGCCAATGCCTCCATTTCCAAGTCCTTCCTCTCGAGTTCCTCTCCATCCTTCGTTCTCACTAACACCTCGCTAATCAGAACTCGCTCCTCCGCGTTGCGACTCACCGAGTGACCCTTCTGAAGCTGCTGCTGTATCATATCCTTCCCCTCCACGGACTGAGTCGACTCGCCGGGCCTATTCAGAGACAAAGAGGCGCAGCAAAGCAGCGGCGAGTGTAGTCCGGCGGTAATCCCGTTATCCTCAGCTCCAGGGTCAGACCAAATCGACTGTGTTGATTGGATAAGCGAGAGTGAGACAGAGGTGGATAGCGGAGACTTGCCAATCATAAGCTGGGTGACTGAATTGAGCATCTGAGTCGGTGAGTTGGGACGAGGAACCGGTCGAGTCTGGGTAAAACGTGGAGAAATGTGGCGATTCTTCAGCGATTCAAGCAGTCGACCCAGAGAGAGCCGAGTACTTGAGAGCTGAGAGACTAAGGTGTTGGAGCAGGATTGCAGATTGGCAAGGAAAGACTGTTTCTGAGAAGACGAATGGATCCTGATAGGTGATGATGAGAAGTGAACATCATCGTGGCCTGAATGCATTGTAGTCGCACTCGGCGAGGAAATGTAAGAAACAAGAACAGCTAGGGTTTTTGATTCGGAGTAGAAGACGGGGAGATTTTTGATATTTTTCAGCCTATTTTATTTTCCCCTTTCTTTTTCTACCTATGATTTTTTTAATGTTATTTTTGTCTTTTTAAATAATCAATTTGTGAAAAATATATATTGATTTTGCAATAATATGTAGGAAATATCGGAAATACACACATTTGTATCTTTTACCCAATTTTTTAAAATTTGCTAGATTTTTTTTAACAATAATGATAAAATTGCATCTAAATCATTGAAGCTTATTTAATTTTGATAACGCTATCTTAAGCAATAGAGAAATTTACGGTGGATGATGGTGATTTTTCCTAGATGTGTGAAAAGACAAATGGTTGAAACTCACTCAGCCACTAAAACTTTTACATACCAAATATAGTTGTTGTGTTTGCACTAACCAAGGGAAGACCATAGAGAGACAAAAATAAAATCACGAAGAAAGAAAAGAAAAAAGCAGCTCAGCTCCTAAATGTTTGTTCTTCTTCTTTGGTCGGTAACAAGAGTGAGAGAAAATGGACAGAGCCGTGGTGAAAGCAAGGCGGAAAGAGCTAGGGATATCGTGCATGCTTAACACGGAGGTTGGTGCAGTCCTCGCCGTTATTCGTAGACCCATTTCGGAAAGTAGTTACCTTTCTCCGCAAGAAATAGACCACTGTGATTCATCAGTCCAGCAATCTCTCAAATCTCTGAGAGCCCTTATCTTCAATCCTCAGCAAGATTGGCGCACCATCGACCCTTCGATCTACCTCTCTCCTTTCCTTGAAGTCATCCAAAGCGATGAGATTCCGGCTAGCGCCACAGCTGTCGCTCTCTCCTCCATCTTGAAGATCCTTAAGATCGAGATCTTTGATGAGAAAACACCTGGTGCTAAAGACGGTATGAACTCCATCGTTTCGGGAATCACAAGCTGTCGTTTGGAGAAGACAGATTCGGTTTCCGAAGACGCAGTGATGATGAGGATTCTTCAAGTTTTAACCGGAATCATGAAACATCCAGCCTCGGTTCGTTTGTTTTTTTAAGCTTTTTTAACTTTCAACAAACCCTAACAATAATTATATAGAATTGGCATTTGAAACTATCATAAATTGTGAATTAAACAGGAATTATTAGAAGATCAAGCGGTTTGCACAATCGTCAACACCTGTTTCCAAGTGGTACAACAATCCTCTGGAAGAGGAGATTTGCTGCAGCGTAATGGGAGATACACGATGCACGAGCTGATTCAGATCATCTTCACAAGATTACCTGATTTTGAGGTTAGAGGAGACGAAGGTGGCGAGGATTCAGAATCTGACACCGACGAAATCGACATGAGCGGCGGGTATGGGATCCGATGCTGCATCGACATTTTTCACTTCTTATGTTCGTTGCTCAACGTTGTTGAGGTTGTCGAGAACTCGGAAGGGACAAGCGTTCACACCGCAGACGAAGATGTGCAGATTTTCGCCTTGGTTTTAATCAACAGTGCGATTGAGTTAAGCGGTGATGCCATTGGACAACATCCAAAGCTTCTTAGGATGGTTCAAGACGATCTGTTTCACCATTTGATTCATTACGGAGCTTCTTCAAGCCCTCTTGTTCTCTCCATGATCTCTAGTTGTATACTCAATATTTATCACTTCCTCCGCAAGTAAGTCCTCTGTTTTTTTTATGCCCTAAAAATTCCTCTGTTTTTTTTTTTTGGGTGTTTATAACAATTGAGGTCTTTGATCTCAGGTTTGTGAGGCTACAGCTTGAAGCTCTCTTCTCCTTCGTGCTTTTGAAAGTTACAGCTTTCACAGGCTTTCTTCAGCTACAAGAAGTTGCTCTTGAAGGTCTAATCAACTTTTGTCGACAACCTGCGTTCATAGTTGAAGCCTATGTTAACTACGACTGTGATCCAATGTGTAGAAACGTTTTCGAAGAGACCGGGAAAGTTCTGTGCAGGCATACTTTCCCAACCTCTGGTCCATTAACCTCTCTGCAGATCCAAGCCTTTGAAGGTCTAGTGATCTTGATTCATAACATCGCTGACAATATGGATAGAGAGGAAGATGAAGGTGAAGAAGAAGACTCTAACGCTATAAAGCCAAGCCCCGTTGAGATTGATGAGTACATACCCTTTTGGATAGATAAGCCAAAAGAGGATTTCGAGACGTGGGTTGATCATATAAGAGTGAGGAAAGCGCAGAAGAGGAAGCTAGCGATCGCTGCGAATCATTTCAACAGAGATGAGAAAAAGGGTTTGGAGTATTTGAAGTATAACCACTTAGTCTCTGATCCTCCTGATCCAATGGCATTAGCTTCGTTTTTCAGATTTACTCCCGGTTTGGATAAGACAATGATCGGAGATTACCTTGGAGATCCTGACGAGTTACATCTCAGTGTTCTCAAAAGCTTTACACACACATTTGAGTTCACGGGTATGAATCTTGATACAGCGTTGAGGACATTCCTCGAGTCGTTTCGGTTACCAGGAGAGTCACAAAAGATTGAACGTATGATTGAAGCTTTCTCTGAGAGATTCTATGACCAACAGTCATCTGAGATCTTTGCAAGCAAAGATACTGTCCACATTTTGTGCTACTCGCTTATAATGCTCAACACGGATCAGCACAATCCTCAGGTTAAGAAGAAAATGACGGAGGATGAGTTTATCCGCAACAACCGAGCAATCAACGCGGGAAAAGATCTTCCAAGAGAATACCTCTCAGAGCTTTTTCAGTCCATTTCAACAAACGCATTCGCGCTATCGACACATTCTGGTCCGGTTGAAATGAATCCAAACAGATGGATCGAGCTGATGAACAGAACAAAGACGACACAACCCTTCAGTCTCTGCCAGTTCGATCGGAGAATCGGAAGAGATATGTTTGCAACCATTGCAGGTCCATCAATAGCAGCTGTTTCCGCCTTCTTCGAGCATTCGGACGATGACGAAGTGCTTCATGAATGTGTTGATGCTCTGATCTCTATAGCAAGAGTTGCACAGTATGGTCTTGAGGACATTCTTGATGAGCTCATAGCTTCATTTTGTAAATTCACGACGCTGCTAAACCCTTACACCACACCTGAAGAGACTCTGTTTGCGTTTAGCCACGATATGAAACCGAGGATGGCTACTCTCGCGGTCTTCACGCTCGCTAACAACTTCGGGGACTCCATCAGAGGAGGCTGGAGGAACATTGTGGATTGTCTCTTGAAACTCAGAAAGCTCCAGCTTCTTCCACAGTCCGCCATTGAGTTTGAGAACACAGATGAAGAAGCCTTAAACAACGGTGGATCAGAATCTGACCAGAACATTGTTGCGAGCCAAGACACGAAGTTTAACCGAAGACAAGGCTCTAGTTTGATGGGCAGGTTCTCACACTTCTTGGCGTTAGACAGTGTGGAAGAATCCGTGGCTCTTGGAATGAGTGAGTTTGAACAGAATCTTAAAGTCATAAAACAGTGCAGGATCGGTCAAATATTCAGCAAAAGCTCTGTGTTGCCAGACGTTGCTGTGTTAAACCTAGGCCGTTCTTTAATCTACGCAGCTGCTGGAAAAGGACAGAAGTTTAGTACGGCGATAGAGGAAGAAGAGACGGTTAAGTTCTGTTGGGACTTGATCACGGCCGTTGCTTTATCCAACGTCCATCGATTCACCATGTTCTGGCCAAGCTACCATGACTATCTACTCAATGTCGTGAACTTCCCGCTCTTTTCTCCCATCCCGTTTGTGGAAAAAGGGATCCCTGGTTTATTCAAGGTCTGCATCAAGATTCTGGCCTCTCAGCTTCAAGATCTTCTACCAGAGGAGCTGATTTTCAGGTCCATAACGATAATGTGGAAGATAGATAAAGAGATCATCGACACATGTTACGACACGATAACAGAGTTTGTCAGCAAGATCATTACAGAGCACTCTGCTAATCTCCAAACTCAGATTGGGTGGAAAAGCGTTCTTCAGCTGCTTTCTTTGTGCGGAAGACATCCTGAAACCAAAGATCAAGCCGTGGATGCTCTCATCGGTTTAATGTCTATTAACGCCTCGCATCTCTCGCAGTCAAGTTACGCTTATTGCATCGACTGCGCTTTTAGTTTTGTAGCCCTAAGAAACAGCTCTGTTGAGAAGAACTTGAGGATATTGGATCTCATGACAGATTCAGTTACAATGCTGGTGAAATGGTACAAAACCGCAGCTACGGAGACCGTGAATAGCTACAGCGTGGCGAGCAACACGAGCAGCTCATCATCCGCGGAAGAAAACAGCTTGAGAGGGGTCAACTTTGTTCACCATCTTTTCCTCAAACTCTCCGAGGCTTTTAGGAAAACGACACTAGCACGCAGGGAAGAGATAAGGAACAGAGCAGTGACGTCTCTAGAGAGAAGCTTCATCATGGGACATGAAGATCTTGGATTCACGCCGTCCGGGTGTATTTACTGCATCGACCATGTCGTGTTCCCTACGATCGATGACTTGCATGAGAAGCTTCTGGACTATTCCAGGCGTGAAAATGCGGAAAAGGAGATGAGAAGCATGGAAGTGACGTTGAAGTTAGCGATGCAAATGCTCAAGAACGTCTTCTTGAACTACTTGCAACAGATTGTAGGGAGTGCTGAGTTTAGAACTTTTTGGTTAGGAGTGTTGAGAAGGATGGATACGTGCATGAAAGCGGATTTGGGGGAGTATGGAGATAACAAACTTCAAGAGGTCGTGCCTGAAATTTTGACCACGATGATTGGTACGATGAAGGAGAAAGAGATTTTGGTGCAGAAGGAAGACGACGATCTCTGGGAGATTACTTATATTCAGATTCAATGGATTGCCCCTTCACTCAAGGATGAATTATTTCCTGATGAAGATATTTAGATTTTTTTTATATAGCTAAACGATACAATGGAAAAAAGAAGAAGTTAATTAGTACGTAGATGCAATTTTGATTAGACGGTTTTGGTTTTTATTATTAAAGCCTACTTGTTCATTCTTCTGGTCCTGATCTGATTTATTAAATGGTAATTTTATACATGCAAGAAATAATTAAGAAGACTCGCATACCATTGTTACACGTCAGATTTTTTTTATTTTTTTTTACTTTCTGATTATTTTATAATTTATTAGAATGGACTTTAAATAATATGTATTTCCTAAATTGGTTTAAAATGGACCATAAAATTTTACACACAGATTTGAAAGATGTTTTTTTTTTATCTAATTGCTTAATAATGTACTATATATAGAGAGATATTACAGATACCGAATCAACTGCTGTATAGATAAGACTACCAGATTTATTACCCGAAAAAGACAAACCCTATTTACTCATCACGTTGAATAAATCTCTAGCATCATCTCCCACTTTCTTTGGCCATTCTCCTATATATACACAACCATACTCTCTAATTCTCTACAAAGAACTGAAAATATAGAAAAAAGAAAGAGAAAGATTTTACCTCTTGCCTTTGCTTGTTGTGTGTTTTCATATAGAATTGTTTCTTCTTCTTCTTCTTTTCTTTTGTAACGATGGAGAGTACCATACCAAACTCCTCCTCGTCACCGAAAGGTCGAGGAGTAAACTTCTCGTCCCCGAGAAACTTTGTTGTTAAGTTTAAATCGAAATGTAAAGAAACCTTCTTTCCCGATGATCCATTCAAACCGATATCGCAGGAGCCAAACGGTATGATGAAAACAAAAAAGACATTGGAGTATTTTGTTCCAGTCTTTGAGTGGCTCCCAAAGTACAATCTGCAAAAGCTAAGGTACGATGTGCTTGCCGGAATCACAATCACCAGCCTTGCCGTTCCACAGGGTATTAGCTATGCAAATCTCGCCAGTATCCCTCCCATTATAGGCCTATGTAAGATCCATTTTCCTTTTTTTTTTTTATTATGCAACATTTATTTCACATGATATCAATATTGCACTCTATAAATATCATTAAGACACATAAAAGCTGTATGTATATATTATCTAAAAGTGATTACGCACACATGTGCAATTTCGGTTTTGCAGTTAAAAGGAAAAAAATAAGATTTTGGGGTTCAATTAAATATAAAATAGATTTCCGTCTTGCTAATTTGATTTTACACTGTATATTCATTCTACCGTGCCGTCGTCAGTCCACTATAGCACTATGGTACCAATAATTTTCTCTTTTCTCCATATTAAAAAAGGTAGCATATATTGTAAAATTATTACTGATCAATCTGAATATACAGTATGAAGCCACTTTGAGTTTGATTTTTCAAGAGTGTCTTTTCATTTTCTGAAACGACCAATATAAACAAATTACTTAAAATTTTACAAAAGTTATTGTTTTTTTAATAACCAAAAGTGTTTTTACATAAAAGGTGTTTCTAATAACCACACGTGTTTTTCTAACATACATACATATATATGATTATATTCATATAGCTGAAATTCGAAAGTTAAATAATCCATATTATCTGGAAATAATTTTCACTATTCTCTTGTGTAATTAACTAAATTGGTAAATGAACATAACACATAAATTTCAACATTAACATGATATAATACTTAATAACCGAAAATGAAATGATATTAGCATGTACGTACAAACTAGACTTGTCTCATTTTATTTATCTTCCTGTTCTGTTCCTATGAAACATGTTTAAGGGTACACTAAATAATATTAGATTAATTCTGTTTTTTTTCAAATATGACAGTAAAATCGCTCTAATTGGTTTTAATTGAACATATATCTAATAATACTGTATTTTGTTTTTGGGAAAAATTATGGGAATTCAGATTCAAGTTTTGTGCCGCCATTTGTGTACGCCGTGTTAGGAAGTTCGAACACTTTGGCGGTGGGAACAGTCGCAGCATGCTCTTTGCTGATATCTGAGACATTCGGTGAGGAAATGTTGAAAAAGGATCCTACCCTCTACCTTCATTTGATCTTCACAGCCACTTTCATCACCGGTGTGTTCCAATTTGCTTTGGGCTTCCTCAGGTATTAGTGACATTTTTTAAAAATCTTTATTGCGAAAAGAAAGTTAACTTTTGATTACTTGTATATTAATTAACACATGCATGCATAGGTTGGGGATGTTGGTGGATTTTCTGTCACACTCGACCATAACGGGCTTCATGGGCGGTACAGCTATCATCATTCTCCTCCAACAGCTCAAGGGCATCTTTGGTTTAGTCCATTTTACGCACAAAACTGACGTCGTTTCAGTTCTCCACTCAGTCTTCTCCCATCGCCAAGAGGTCTCATTTTCAATTCTTTTTCCTGTTATAAAAAAAACCTAAGAAAAAATTATGGTGGCTAACTGTATTATCTTGGGACGGTGTTACTTGGTGCAGTGGAGGTGGCAAAGTGCACTTGCTGGGATCTGCTTTCTTATTTTCCTCCAAACCACTCGATACATCGTATATACTTTCTTCTTCTCTTATGTTTAATTTATTATTTAAATCTGTTATCCGTTTATTTGAGACAAAATCATTGGGGACCCTCACAAATCTTCCACTTTTTTATTCTCTCTTTTTTTTTTGGTAATCATTTCTCACTTTTTTTCCCATACCCAAACTTGACTTTGAATTTTTTGAAAGGAAAAAAAAATAAACTGAACAATTTCTTTTTACCATACTTGTATATCCGTTTTTCCACGCATGCTAATCTTTTTCATTTGAAAATATATGTTTGGATAACTAAAAGTCAACTGCTATCTCAAGTGCCTCCACAAAGTTACCATGTAACATGTTTGTAACTATTGCAGAAAAAGATAAAACCAAAGCTATTTTGGGTATCGGCAATGGGTCCAATGGTGGTCGTCCTTGTGGGTTGTCTAGTTGCTTATTTGGTAACAGGAACAGAACACGGAATCCAAACAGTGAGCAATCTAGCAATGCGTTCATATATATTTTATTAATACCAACAAGCACATACAAACATATAAGACCACACAGCAACTAGGGTTTCTATTAATAGTATGTTTCTGTATACAGGTTGGGCCTTTAAAGAAAGGACTAAACCCTCCTTCTATTCAATATTTGAACTTCGACTCCAAGTATCTACCTTTGGTTTTAAAGGCCGGAATTGTCACTGGACTCATCGCTATGGCTGTAAGTATATATTTAATTTCACCATCTTTTCTTTAGCTAATAGTATATAATTGACCATATATGTGTGACTTTAAAAGAAATTAAATGGTTAATTACAGGAAGGGATAGCGATCGGAAGGAGCTTTGCTGTAATGAAGAACGAACAAACGGACGGGAACAAAGAGATGATAGCATTTGGTCTTATGAACATAATTGGCTCCTTTACATCTTGCTATTTGACAACGGGTAACTAATACTAGTTGATATATCTCGCTGGCATTTTTGTTATACAATTTTGAAAAATATGAACGTTTTATTTCTCAAAATTTAGTTTGTGATGCTAAATCTTGGCCGGAATTTTGCAGGACCATTTTCAAAGACAGCAGTGAACTACAACGCGGGGACAAAGACACCGATGTCGAATGTAGTGATGGGCATTTGCATGATGCTTGTGCTTCTCTTCCTTGCGCCTTTATTCAGCTACACACCACTGGTTGGTCTCTCAGCCATCATTATGTCAGCCATGTTGGGACTCATCGACTACGAGGAGATGTACCATCTCTTTAAGGTTGACAAGTTTGATTTCGTCGTCTGCATGTCCGCTTTCTTCGGTGTTTCCTTCCTCAGCATGGACTACGGTCTCATCATTTCCGTTGGGTTTTCCGTCTTGAGAGCTTTGTTGTACGTTGCAAGGCCCTCGACTTGTAAACTGGGAAGAATACCAAACTCGGTTATGTTTCGAGACATCGAACAGTACCCTGCCGCCGAGGAGATGCTTGGTTATGTCATTCTTCAGATGGGTTCTCCTCTCTTTTTCGCGAACAGCACTTACGTCCGCGAAAGGATTTTGAGATGGATTCGTGATGAACCTGAAGCCGTCGAATTTCTTCTCCTTGATCTCTCTGGTGATTCTAACTTTTTTTTTTGGTCTACATGGACTTCACTTGATAAAGTTTGTCCAAACATATCTTTTCTTTTCATATTTTAATTGCTAATTAATATTGTTTGTCTCTTAGGAGTTTCAAGCGTTGACATGACCGGGATGGAAACACTATTGGAAGTCCGGAGAATCCTTGTAGCAAAAGGCATCAAGGTTTTATACCCTTCACTTTGTTTTTTAAAACGTTCGTTTAATAGTTTAGAAAAAACTTAGAATTTATTTTTTATTTTATTTATTGCAGATGGTGATAGTAAATCCAAGATTTGAAGTGCTGGAAAAGATGATGTTATCGCATTTTGTAGAGAAGGTAGGAAAGGAGTATGTGTTCTTATCCATTGACGATGCAGTCCAAGCATGCAGATTTAATCTTTCCACCACCAAACCCGAGCCATGTACTTAGTTATTAGTGGAAGGTTGTAATAAAATGCGTATTTTGGGTTGTGTGACTTTTTATGTAGTGTGCTCAAATAAACAATAAATAGTTTCGATTAGACCACTGACCACTATATGATCCCATTTGTAACATAAAGAAACAGATATGGAACCAAACAATAAGAATTGGAAACTTCAGTATCAATATTGACATGCACCAAACAAAATCACTGTACAAGTTTTCTTATATACATCAAAACATTAAGCCTAATAGGCTAGTATCAACCATGCATGAACCAACATAACCATCTTAACCACCTAACAAAACCCATATATGCTTCACGCCAATGAAGGACGAACACAAACATGAAACATAATATCTTGATTTCTTATGCAACAATGTTTTCGCAGGCCACCGTTTAGGGAAGACAAAAGTAAGATTTTCTTTGAATTTGTCACGTTTCACCTTACCATGAGCTTAATTAACATTCTCATTAAATGGCACTCTGTAGTTTTTCTGTAAGGTGAAAATTTGTTCAGCTTAGAAAGTTAGACCATGAAAAACATATAGGGATCACAATTAGTTTCATAATCCATGATCCATATCATATAAATTAACGTCTCGATAAGAAAAAATAATGCAGATTATAAAATTAATTAAATTTACAAATTAAATAATGCGTATATCTATCTATGAACTTTGAAAGTCAACAGAAAAACGACAAAAACAAGTCTCCAGAAACGAAAAGTCTCCCAAACAAATAAACAAAAACAGAGAAATCTGCAAAAATTCCAGCTTTCTTTTCTCCAGGCGACAATGAAGATTTATTCTCTCTTCCTTCTCTCTTTCCTCGTGCTATTACCTGTCTCCCTACAGGATCCGAGTCCCGGAGTCACGGTACCGACTCGGGCTCACGCGGAGCTCACGAGTCATGGGTTTCCGATTGGGCTGCTCCCTCTATCTGTCAAGGATTACTACATCAACCAAACCTCCGGCGACTTCTCCCTTTTCCTCCACGGGACATGCAAAATCATGCTCCCTCCCGACAACTACCTCGCCACGTACTCGAACAAGGTAACGGGTCGGATTACCCAGGGCCAGATCGCGGGGCTCCGAGGGATTCGGGTCCGGGCGTTTTTCCAGTGGTGGTCCATCACCGGGATTCGATCCTCCGGGGATAATCTCGTGTTTGAGGTCGGTGGCATAACCGCCAAATACGCTTCGAAGAATTTCGACGAGAGCCTTGATTGCGAAGGAAAACGATCTTCTTCCTGATTCAGTTGAGGAGGTAAAGGTTATAACTTTCTTTGTTGATTCGATCCCTCCTGTGATTTTCTTCTCTAATTATGAATTTAGGACATTGTATGATTGTTGGGACCTTAAGCTTTTCACCGAATTTGGAGTCTCATTGATTTTTTTTGACTGATTGCTTGATGTTCATCAAAAACGGGAATCACTCTGTTTTTATGGCAATATTGTAGGTAAAGTGTCTTCCTTTGAGATGCTTAGGGATATATCTGGGTTTTGTTTAGGGTTTTTGTTCGTAGTTGTTTCAATATATGGGATGTGACTTCTGAGCTAATGAATCCTTTGTGTGAAGAGTTTAAGTTGTTACAAGCTTTATCTTTGGAATGAATATTCAAATGTTGGATCTTACTAACTATAAGTCCATAACTGACTGTCGACCTAAGCTGTATTAGATGTCTTAATACTGTTCTTCTGCATTCATTTACCATCCTGTGTAATTGATTTGGCGATGCCTTGTATACATTTGCTTAAGTTAAATTATAAATGCTTTCCTCGACCATGATGTTACAGTCTTATTCGGAACCTAAATGGTATGTAGACTGCTATCAATAGGTCTCCACTCCACATTTGCGCACACTTGGATGGTTTCCTTTGGTTATTACTTATTAATGAGTGGTTCTTCCTCTACATTGCATGCAGATCTGTGAAGTCAAGAGCAATAGGTGAAAAGAAATGGTTTGTAATATATTATCATCCAATAAATAAAAAAAACCGCATCTAGACCACCACTCTATTCTTATTGTCTCTGCAACCTAAGTGTTTCATGGAGGCATGTAACTTGTCAACCATATATGGGTTTAAAACAAGATCGATCCCTTTTGTTTCTTGTCCTCCTCCTGTGTCTCATTTAAAGAAAGTTCTTTCAGTATCGTATTGTTCTTACTTTCAGAAACTTTCATTAACAAAATTAGCAACTTCATAGTTGTTTGTATATATGTCCTTTGATTTCTTGAGTTTCTAAAAAATTATACGAACATGACTTTTAGCTCAGTTTAATGTAAGATAAGGAAACAAGTGATATTAATTAATATCATGTCCCTTTTTGTTCTTCTTCTTGCTCGTGATTTTCCCAAACAAGATACGGTACAAATTTACAATGGGTGGCACAAGTTAGTCCGTGACTCGCTTTAATTTTTGGGATTTCGGCCACCTTGAATGTACCACGACAGTTGGCAATGCTGAAGACATCTCGTGACAAAAGCATCACAGCTTCGTCAAGATGTATATCTATGGGAGTGGGACCATCTCTCTTGAAAGTTTAAATATTGAGTTAATGATCTAATAATAATTATGCCAAAATCCAATTATGTTTAATTAAATATTTTAGAGTTTTTTTTAGAAAAAATCAACACATCCATCTTTTTAAAGTTCTTGTAAAGAATAAATATCTAAAGATTTCTCTAAATAATTGTAATAAAATAATCTAAATATTAAAGTAGAATAATATAGATTTATGATTAAAATATTTTAGATATTTTGTATTTTGACGGCTATAAATAGCAATTTCTCTTTCTCATTTGTAACTAATAAGTTAAGAAATAATATTAAGAGAAGTTAAATAAAATTCCTAAGTCTTCTAAATTTTAAAAACTTTTTTCTTTTTAAAATTGTTCTTTTATCTTTCAAATTCTTAAAACATATTCTCCATCATTCTTAAAGTTCTTTCTTTCCAACAATTCCTTCTTCCCTATTTTAATACTCTACCCAAAACCCGAAGCACTGCTTGTGAACTGTGGATGGTTGTTGAGACCTGTATTGAGAGACAATAAAGAAGCCTAGGACTAGGAGATACAACTTCACCACGAACTTCAAACCTTAACAATCGGCAATCTTAGTGTACTTGACCCTCTCCTTACACTACAATTACTTCAGTACAATATTGTTTACGTTGAAGTATTTTCAAAACCTTTGCATACATTATGGTTTTCACTTTTCAGTTTCATCAAGATTTAACACTTCATATTCTTTCCCAAAAAGGAAAATAGTGGTCCATGACCAAATATATCTTCAAGGAAATAGTCATTAATTAGCTGTAACAAATAAACCTGTCTGCATGATAACGTATTTCGAAAAGAGCACGAGAGACAGATATGAAACCCCAAATTTTCTTTTGTCAAACTCTCCACAAAACTAGAAGTTGTTTGGGGAAGACGTCTTCTTACCACACATTTATAAATAGTAATAGCTAAAAATAATTGAACTCAAGTTAAATAACCTATAAAATACGCAGAGACAAAAGCTGATTATCCAGGCATCATAATTCAAATAAGCCTGGGATCAAAAATTTCTCAGTTCCCCAACCAAAACAGGGGAAGAAAAAACAGAAATTAAAAAAAAAATAAAAAAACTACAAAAAATGAAAGCCTCAACAAGAGTCATATGGATAGTCTCTGTCCTTATGCTCGCGGCTGTGTCGGAGGCCATCTTCCCTCTACCGTTTCTCCCGTTCCTCCCAGGATTCAACAGCTTCAGAGACAATAGTGCTGTGAATGCTGCTAAACCGGTCGCTGCGGCGGCGGGTGGAAAAGCCGCAGGAAGAAGGAGAGGCGTTGTTCCAGAAGCTCAGACAAACTGGCCTGGTAGGTGGGAGTTGTTCTTGCAAAGCTCGGGTGTGTCAGCGATGCATGCGATTCTGATGCCACTCATCAACCAAGTCCAATTCTACGACGCTACCATCTGGAGAATCTCAAAGATTAAGCTGCCTGCAAACATACCATGCCACGTCGTCAACGCCAAGACTAACAAGATCGATTGTTGGGCTCATTCGGTTCAAGTCGATGTCAACACCGGTGCCCTTAGGCCACTATCTGTACGTAACACCCCCACAATCACATACATATGATATATTTATTTTGGGACTTTGTGTGTTGAATATTTCTAAATTTACATTTTGATGATAGCTTTCTACTGACACATGGTGCTCATCGGGAGGTCTGACCGTCAACGGGACATTAGTGAGCACGGGAGGATACGGAGGAGGAGCCAACACCGCGAGGTACCTAGCGGCTTGTGATAACTGCGGTTGGGTTGAATACCCTCAAGCTCTAGCTGCCAAGAGATGGTACTCAACGCAAGCCACTCTCCCTGACGGAAAATTCTTCGTCATCGGAGGAAGAGACGCCTTGAACTACGAGTACATCCCAGAGGAGGGACAGAACAACAGGAAACTCTACGACTCGTTGCTCCTCAGGCAAACAGACGACCCGGAAGAGAACAACCTCTACCCTTTCGTGTGGCTCAACACCGACGGTAACCTCTTCATCTTCGCAAACAACCGATCCATCCTCCTAAGCCCCAAAACAAACCAAGTCATCAAGGAGTTCCCTCAGCTCCCCGGTGGTACACGTAACTACCCAGGATCAGGCTCCTCTGCGCTCCTCCCCATCCATCTCTACGTCAAAAACCCTAAAGTCATCCCTGCCGAGGTACTCGTCTGCGGTGGAACCAAACAAGACGCGTACTACCGCGCCGGTAAAAAAGTGTTCGAACCGGCGTTGCAGGACTGCGCCAGGATAAGAATCAACAGCGCTAAGCCACGATGGAAGAAAGAGATGATGCCGACGCCACGTGTCATGAGTGACACTGTCATCCTCCCTAGCGGAGACATACTTTTGGTCAACGGAGGTAAACGTGGATGTTCCGGATGGGGATACGGCAAAGACCCTGCTTTCTCTCCCATCTTGTACAAGCCCCGGGCTCCTCGCGGCAAGCGTTTCAGAGAGCTCGCTGCCTCCACCATCCCGCGTATGTACCACTCCATCGCCATCGCTCTCCCTGATGGTAAGGTTCTTGTCGGCGGCAGCAACACCAACGACGGTTACAAGTACAACGTTGAGTTCCCCACGGAGCTTCGCGTCGAGAAATTCTCACCGCCTTACCTCGACCCGGCTCTAGCCAACTTGAGGCCGAAGATCGTCAACAACGCGACACCGAAACAGATCAGGTACGGACAAAACTTCAACGTGAGGGTCAACCTTAACCAGAAGGACGTGACCAAGGAGAATCTCAAGGTTCACATGTTGGCCCCATCGTTTACAACACACAGTATCTCGATGAACATGAGGCTGCTCCTCTTGGGTATCGCTGGTGTGAAACCTGCAGGTGCCGGGTCTTTCGAAATCCAGGCGGTCGCACCGCCCAGTGGAAACATCGCACCACCTGGTTACTATCTTCTCTATGCCGTCTACAAAGGTGTTCCCAGCATTGGTGAATGGATTCAGATCGTCTGATAGATGTTTTTTTACCTATTTTTATCTTATGCTGCAGTAACATCTTTATATGATAAAATAAAAAAAACAAATCTCGTAATATTCAGCTTTTTTTTTTGTTTTTCCATATATTTTGTATATGCCATGATTAATGTATCCAAAATTCCTTGTGTTTTCTTTTACCAGTGAATTTTTTTTTTTCATTTTTTTGTTCCTTTGGTTCGTCCTAAATTTTTTTGTATGGGAGAGAAAATATTATCATAACTTTTGCCTCTTTTTCTTAGTCAACGAAGCAAACAGTGACATTCGACTCTCTGTCACCATTTCTAGACCACTAAAATTGCTTCCGACGCAAATGTTCATGAACATTTGACAATTTACACAGTTCTACTGTTAAACAAATTTTCCTAAGAAAGTGATTCCCTGTTATTTGACAATCAACACAGTTCCTAAATTCCATATTAGGTTTTTCGTTGTTATCTCTACCATTTGCTTATCAGTTTCATCAATCATCAGGCTTTGTATCAAAAGCTCAAATTTCATTGAGATTGCCATCGCTGCTAAAACAAGAACTGAATCAAAATTTTCTCAGGCAAAAATAGATATCGCAAGAAACGGAGTAACGCTTATACAGAGATTCCAATTACAGCAGATCAAGTAGTGTGCTACTAATTAGTGCCAACGCATAGCCAAATTCCAAACACAATAAAGGCCGTACCTAACAAAGCAGGTCCGATTTGAGTTTCTTCCCCTAAAAGGATCCCGAACGCGGCGGTTGCGGCGAAGGTCGTGGCGTTGGTGACCGGAACCGCTATAGAGATCGGGGCATGGCTGAGGAGGGCGAAGAATGTGGCGGAGGCCGAGAGGTTTATCAGGAAAGGAACGGAGTATTGCCAGAAGAGGAGGAGATTGATCCAGTCGAGAAGAGCTTTCAGGATTTTCCGGCGGAGGTTCGGTTGGATCTGAAGAGGAGGAGACCCTGTTGCCAAAGACGAAGACTTTTTATCCCAGGCGAGGGCGCCACGGCGGATCAGGGCATTGGTGGCTCCCCACACGAGCCCTACCGCCACCATCTTCTCCATGTCTTCCTTCATTCTAATTCCCGCCGGCGAAAGGCAAAGAGAGAAAATTTCTGATGTGTTTTGTTTATAGGCTGTAAAAATGTTGGAAAGTTTCGTTCTTTATACAATAATAATATTTACATATATTAAAAATCGCAGCTTTTTGCTTCAAATTCCACCAGGAAACAATGTTATAGAAGTTACAATACAATACAATGTTAGCTTCAAAATGCCAAATAACCAAAATACGATTCACACTGAATCACACTTCCCTCTTATAAAAAAAGCAACAGGAAGCAAATTAGTCAAACAAGCAACAAACATGATCAAGCAGGTGACTGAAACAAAGACAAACTCTACCACAAATGTCTTCAAACACCAAGACTCATGTCCAAATCCTAAACCCAATGCCTGCATATATACACATTCTCACACACTTTTACCTCCCCTACTCTCTCGGTCTCTCTTTCTTGCTTCCCTCTCTTTGGTTTTTTGTTCTATATATGCTCTGTTATATGCTCTGTTCTACTTACATTTGTCTTCACTATCAGTGTCTCTCACTTGGACTTCTCATGTTCTCTAACTTTGCTAGATATGATAGTTTCTTCGGTAGAGCTCTTGGAGACTTCATCATGGGCTTCTCCTGCTCAGTTTTGTGGAAGAACTCTATATCACCCATCGAACTATGCTTCTTTGTATCTGATGACAATCTCCACCCTATGAAGTCTGATAGTTTCCTCGAGTTTGGCGTCTCCGCTGCAACCACCTTCTCCGTTTCTTCATATTCTGATTCCGCCTCGCTCTCTGATCTTCCCTCTGCCTCTCCCATCAGTTGTCTTTGAACTAGCACATCAGCTTCAAGAACATCCTCTATTCGTGACATTATCTTATAAGCCAGACTTTCTAATACCCTTGAATAGCTCTCCAAAATCGCCTGCCCCACGTCCTGTAAAAACCCATCATAACAAAACTCTTATTCAGTTTCAGTAAATTTTGCATGTTTGTTTTGTCTTTGTTGGGTTTTTATTACCTTGTTGTTTCTGATCTTGGAGATCTCGAGTAAGGATTGTGGGATCCTAGGGAATTGCTGTTTAAGCATGACCAAAATGGTCTCAGCTCGGACCTCGAAAAGCTCTCTCTTCTCTAAGCTGACAGAGGATCCCCACTGAGATTTCCCGTCTTTCTCTTTCTGGTTCACCTTCCTCTTCCAGATCACCATGGAAGCTTCAATCCTGTTCTTTAGATCAAGAACTTTGTGTTCCGTTGACAAATCCAAGAAAGAAACGAAGTAGTCAGGATCAAAGTATTCCTCTGTTATGCTCTTGTAAAGGCAATCCCCCAGGCTTGTCTTCCCATTCTACAAGACACAACACTTATATATATTCAGCTGCTTAGCTTAACGAAAGTAGAATAGTATAAGTAAGAGAACACTCATGCAGAAGAAGTAATAACCTTTGGCAGAGAGTCAATGTAGTTGTCAGGAATGTGCATTTCAGACAATACTAGAGTATTGATGGCCGTGGCGGCTTTGAGAACTTGTGCCACAGAATCTTTCTGACTATGCAACAATCTACGAGATTCCTCAGACAAACCATCCGATGGAACCTTAACAACTGGTAACCACCAGCTCTCATCCCTTCTCCAGTCTCCATTGTTCTCTGTGTCCTCAACATCTCTTGGCACATACCAAAAGTCTTTCTGATCCTTGAAGTTGTCCAAAGTTTCCTGCCAAATGAGTAATTGCATTAGTAGGACATCACCACAATAGGAGAGTTAATTATAACAAAGAGATGCAACTCATTTTATAAAGGAAAAATATAACAAATGGTCACAAGTCATGTACATCGTTTTTTGGAGAATGTAACTGAATATTTTTGGTCAAGAACAAAATTTATGTTTATCCCTATTTTGATAGGCATATATAAATGTGGATGTATAACATGATCGTTTTACAAAACATGCAATGAGATAATACTCTTTGGTGTTTGACGTTTCCATTTATATAAAAATTAAATTGTTATGTGTTTTCAAGCAAATAAACAGTATTTGAAACAATAAAGTGGTATATAGATGCGGATGGAGTTAAAACTCACGAGAAGAACGGAGTCAAGCTTGCGTAAGGCTGGAATGTTCATCAGCAAGTCATCTCTTTGTTTGGTCACCATGATCTACAATAGAGAAAAGGGTCAATAAGCAAATTAGTCTCTTGGAGTTGTTGATGTATGTAATGTACGTAATTAATGTATGCACTTACCTCGGTGAATGTGCCATTTTTGGCCATTTGTTTAGAAGGAACAAACTGAACAATGTGATCAACCACAGATAATAACCAATCCATTTCTTTCCTCCAAATCTCTTTTGTCTCCGGATACATAGGCTGCAGTTTCATCTGCTCCCCAAACATTGAATCTGCCAAATGTCAATTACTTTTTAAAACTCATATTTAATTAGACATTATGACTTGTAGTTATGGTAGAGAGAGTCAAATATATACCGGCGAGGTTGGTGATAGCATTTGACAAAGCTAACGCAGAGGTCACGCCTTCACCACCGCCTGACATGTCCTCTCCAAGCAGCAGTTTTGTGAATCTTTCCTTCATCACTTCCATGTCTGAAACAGATACCAATCAATACACAGATGACGTAAGGAATCAAACATAGAAAAAAAAAAAAAAAAAGGAACAAACATGGGTATATACACTACTCCTTACAATTGTTTTTTCAGATCCAACCCATGTATTTACACAAATCTAAGTCCACTTCATATGCTATATACAACTCATGAAGATATCAATAGAGAATATACACTAGATTGCTTGTAAAAAATAACGGATAACAAAATTCAAAATTGTTTATAAGTTGGTTTATTTCTCGTGTGTGTTTCTTTCTCCAATACATTAAGATGGCGTTTGCATATATTTTTAACAAATATCATGTTCTTTTAACCGATAACACACACTAGCTTATGTGATACCATGTTACAATTTGTTTTGGGCAAATATATGGTTACTTATCAAATAATTAAGCCCATGATGCGTTAATTACCTGATGTCCTATTTTGCTTGCCTCTACGAGTCCCGTGGGCAGATGATGAAGGATTGAGTATGGCAAGTTCGTGCTCCGGGGTATGCCCGCGAGAAGAGAAGGATGAATGTCCAGAGTTCCGACCATCGAACATCTTTCTAAAACTGAAAGATCTTGGCCAGCTTAGTTTACGTCCTAATGTCCGCACCATTCCCAAACACTCCTCTCAGTTTTTCTATTTCCCCCACACACACTCTTTATTTTTTCTCTTCTTCTTTTTTTTCTTAGAACGTATGTATAAAAAACGAAAAAACAAAATGGAAGAGAAGAAAGCAAAAGAGACGTACAGGTCAAGGAACTAGTGCTTTCGCTCTCCCTTGTCTCTCTTCTTTCACCACCGAATGAAACAAAACAATTCAAAGAAGCAAAAATACTTAATGTCCTGTATTTTTTTTCTCAGGCTATTTTTTTATGTTTTTGTTTTTGAGTTGGTGCAGATGAAATGAAACAGAGAAATGTTGATGTAGTTTTTCTAGGGCTCAAGGGACAACGTGCGGTGCATGTTGTTAAAATTAAAAAACAAAGGATAAATAGTGGAAGGGCGGTTAAGGGTATACTCCGACTTTTTCTTAATTTAATTTTATCTTTCAACTATCCACATCATTTACCCCACGCGCTCTGCTCAGGTTTAGTGGCTTAACTTTTTGTAAAGAGGCCTAAAGCATGTTGATTAGCATGCCTTGTGTCTCGAGATTAGCATGTCTTGTGTATTAGCTAAGTATAATGAAGACTTTTGATCATATGGAACAATTATAGAAAAACACAAGCACAAGTCACTAAGTTTAGACGAATAATCTTTCAAGGCTTTAATAACCTTTTTCAAATCACCTAAAATTAATAACTTATTAGCGAGCACTAATTAACAACTATGTCTAATAAGATTTAGTTCTTGAAAACATCAACTCTCAATAGTCAAGACAAAACTACTCATCTACGTTTTGATTGACCATTTCTTCATACAGTTTTGGTGTACAAATCGTATATGGTCTGTGAAAAAGTGATCAAGCAAATCATACCATTAAACATATATATACTCAATGAAGGAATCACAAATGTTTTCCTACTATGCCACGAAACAAGCATAAACTTTCAAGATCGAAACCACCTACTCTTTTAAATCAAACTACCTCCTAAGCGCGAGTAACTAAGAATGTAATATTAATCATGTTCATGGGTTTGGAGAAATGCGAAGAGGATGTTGAAATGTATTAGGGTTCAATATACATTGCACAAAAACGAAGAAAAAAGAAGTTGGAACATTTGATATCCTTCCATGCACTTACCAACACAAATCTACATTTGTTCACTCTTTCATTCTTACTTCACTCATCTTACGCTCTTAGTTTATTTCTTCATTTCCGCTCTTATTAATTTTTTATTTTCTGATTTTTGTTAAAAATCCAAAACATATTATCTTGCTATTTATTTCACTTTTTTGCATTTGGTATCCTCTTATTTCTTAATCTTGTGGCATCCAGGGCAGCACTTCTCGGATCAACCGTTGATAGTATCTATAACAATTAAACAAAAAAAAAACTGAATATAACATGGCACTCTAAACACTTGACACAAATCACTGTCGATTATTGACTATACTACATGTTCTAGTCAATCACTTTCAAAATTAACTTTGCTAATTTTATATTTTCTCCAGGTTTCATTTTTAAACTATTATAATTAAACAAGAGTCAACTGATAAGAAGAGGGATAAACGTAGTTTAGTTGGGGGCATGTAAGACGCCGACTATTTACCAAGTCTAAACATTTCTGTATATCCTACTTATTAAACGGATTTGGTTTTAATACCTCATGATATGGTTTTTAATCATTTAATCACGTCGTGAAATTTATCATCATTATGAAGAGTGGCGTTTATGATCATTTCCTCATCCACACACTGATGTATTACAATATTACGTCGACATTTTGAGATGTGCAATGTTATTTTGTACATTATGGATCATAAACCATTTCGTTGACCGGTTGAACCAATCGAACAGGTCCTGAAACATATCTGTAGAACGTATAGAAACAAAAGTATTCAAAAAAAAATTCGTAAAGTTCAATTTCCTATTGAAGCGTATTTTCTGTTTGTGCTGCATTTGATAGAGAATGAGTTTTCTTTTCCTTATATCATCACTCGAATGCAGATGTTATTATAACCAGTATATTCTTTAAAACATTGCAGATTACAATGTCACAATCCTCGGTTTGGTTGATTTGATAATAGCCTTAGTCTAAACTCAAAAGACATGAGGAAGCATATGATACCATCTGAAAAATCAATCATAGTAAAATAAACCAAGAAAGCTGATTTTTTTTTGTTTTTCCATTTTATTCGACGAAACAACAACAAAAAGTATCACTGCTTAGTTTAGCCGACGCGGGTAACTGCAGCATGAATAGCATCAACGAGGTGAGGCACTGTCTTCGAGCTGAGACCTGCCATACTTATTCTCCTGCAATACACAAGATTTCTCTTCTCAGTTACAAGCTCAGAATCTTCATCAACTTAACATTCCGGTTATACCATACTTTCTAGAATTTTCTATTTTCCTTTGTTTCATGCAACTATAATTTCAATATGCCTTAAAAGTTCGAAAAGAAATGAAGGAAGATAAGTTGGCCTTACCCGTCGGATGTCATGTAAATGTGAAACTCTTTGGTCATGAAGGCAACTTGCTCTTTGTTCAGTCCGGTGAAAGTAAACATCCCAATCTGTTTGATAATGTGACTCCAGTCACCAGGTGTGCCTGCAAGCCAGACAATGTGTCAAGAACAAAAAGTTTCAGAGTTAGGACCTACGAATGATTCTGCAAACCCGGAAAAAAAAATAGAAGGGGTGAAATATAAGAGACAACAAGCATTAAAAAGAACCTTTGACTTGTAGAGCTTCAAATAACTGTTTGCGCATGCTAATAATGCGGTCAGCCATTCCTTTCAGCTCGATGGTCCAGTCGTTGTACATATCACTGCCAAGATGTATACAAAGAAAATTTCGAAACTTGGATCAAAAACTAATTCCATAAAGAGATTCATTGCAAGCTCGAAAATACAAAGGAAAATGTTAGTGATTTATGCATGATTTTCACAGAGTATGAAACTTGGCATACTAATTTCAACACAGCATAAACTATCAGATTTCCGTTTTAGTACATATTTCTGCGTGTAATGATCTATTAAAGTGTACTTTCTACTATATTATCTCAGGTTTAAAGGTTGCTTCTACAAAAAAAAATTATTGAGAAGTATGTAACTGTAAACTAAAGCATGGATTTCTTCGTTCTGCTCTCCGCTTACAGGATAAAAATTTACCTGCTTTTCAGAATGGTGGCAACAATTGATGCTCCATGAATAGGTGGGCTCGAATACATGGGCCGCACAACAAGCTTCACCTGGCTCTCAACCTTACTAGCAACCTCTGCCGACTTGCAGACCTTCACATTAGATGACAGAGATCAGATGCACTGTTTGAAAACTGTATTATTTTACTATACCATAAGTATTGGACTATGTGATGATTAGCAAAGACAAAAAAAGATAAACAGAATTCAGGTTATAACTATGCAGCGTGAAGTGTGATAGGTTTCAGATGTTTAGTTTTCTGACAAATAACTAGTAGGGGTGCTATAGGGGAATTAAGCCTTCTGAATAAAAGATGCAAAAATATGTCTAACGATAATGTCAGATGGATAGAAGCAAAGATGAAACTGATAAGTTGGGTTTCTTACAATGCTGAGGGCACCAACACGCTCCCCATAAAGTCCCATATTTTTGGCGTAACTCTGTGCTATTAAGCATTCACCGCCATCGGCCACAAAGGTACGGACTGACTGTGCATCTGTGTCAAGGCTACCACTAGCAAAACCCTGCAAATGTGTTAGGAAAAAGGAGTCAGGCTTCCCTTTTTCTACATCGGATCAGATTCAAACATAGACTACACTGGGTTTCGTGAGTTTGTAAACAACTGTTGATTAAAGCAAACAAAGCAAGACTACTTGTATGAATTACCTGATATGCACTATCAAAAAAGGGTAATAAGCTCTTAGATCTAATTAGTTGTCGAATCTGCTCCCACTGTTCGGAGGTTGGGTCAACTCCAGTGGGATTGTGTGCACATGCATGAAGTAAGACAATAGCTCCAGATGGTGCAGCGCCAAGATCCTCAAGCAAGCCTGTTTAATTTTTTGCATCAAGCGTCAAGTCTATATCAAATGCATTTTTATGAAGTATGTTGAGAGAATACAATCTTGAGATTTATTTCCTTGCTCAAAATATAGACGTAAAATTGTAAGTATATATGATCAGTACACTTAACCGAAATATTTCCATTTGTGATTATATCAAGAAAAACGTAGGAACAGTAAATAGAATGGATAAATCAAGCAATAGTCATGACAAAAGCAAGCTAAACTAAGGTTAGTGTAACAACCTTGAAAGTGAAAGAACAAAATTTTCATGGAGTAATAAAAAACCAACCTTGGAAGTCAAGTCCACGGGTTGCAGGATCATAGTAACGGTAGTACTCCACAGACAAGCCTGCCAGGTTGAAAACTTTGGGATGGTTCCCCCAAGTCGGTTTTGGAATGTAAATGACACTCTGGAAGAATGAGAATCACAGTCAGCAACAGTTGTTTGATAGCCTAATTCAATGGCCGTCAAAACGAATCAAAAAACTAAATAGCGAGAAGTTTACTTGGTGGTAATGTTTTTTGAGAAACTCAGCCCCAACTCTCAATGAACCAGTACCAGACAAGCACTGGATGGTAGCAACTCTACTCTCTTGAATCGCAGGACTGCAAAACACGAATAGTTAGAAAAACATAATATGCTATGAACTAAATGGGCTACCATGTCACAACAGCTACAAAGAGATACAAAGCAAAACACAATTAAACATTAACCACACACACACAAAAAGATGACAAAATCAGCAGTACCTATCAGCACCTAAGATGAGCTTGGCGCTTAGTTTGTTAAAGTCAGCAAGTCCAACAATGGGAATATATTCCTTGACCCGAGACCTGAGAGACAAGTACAGAAATTTTTTAGGCATTAGCAAAACAAGAGTAAGAAGAGTTGAGCTCAAACGAGTTAGTAATAATGGTTCAACTCACGGGTCGTTCACTAGCTGTTGCTCAGCCCTTCTCACCACGTCAAGAACGAGTGGCTTCCCTTCCTTTGAAAAACCAAAGGCAAAGAAACTAAACTAATCAGAAAAAACTAAGCTTGCAAAATGGCTAATCGAATCATCGTGACCACAAAAATTACCTCAGTTCGATAGGCACCGACACCCAAATTGATCTTAGCTGGACTCGGATCATTGTTGTAAGCAACAGTCACCTGTTTTTCAGAACCATAAACCTCAAACGTTAAAACTAAAATTATAACTCAATTCGTTGATCAAATCAGATATACAAAGTGCGTTAGCAGATTCATCGATTGATATGCCTAAATTAAATTCCCAGCAAACAGTAAGAATCTTATCCAACCGATTTATAGTTAAACACACAACATGGACCAAAATTATCTCCTCTCACAGTTCAGTAAGCTTTGAGCAACCAGATTTAACCGTCATAGAAATGGCTCTCGCCACGATTTCGGAAAACCAAAATGGATCGAAGCAAAGACGGATTGAGAATCAACCGAACCGAAATGGATCGATACCAGAGCCTTAAAAGTGAAGAGTGAGGCGAAATACGTACACCGAGAATAGGATCTTCGGGAGCACGAGCGACGTTGGAGAAGACGGAATCCATGAGAGAATGATTGAAAATCCAGGGAACGGAGAGAGATCGGGGAGATGAATCAGCTGAACAGAGCTTTTAAAGCAAAAGCCTTTTCTCACAAGCTTTTTGAGGATCAAATAAGCTGTGTGCTGTATATGCGATTTCACTACTGTGGGCGCAGTTTATTTGTAAAAAGTTCTGGTATCTAATACCAGAACTTGTTCACCAAGTCCAGAATTTACTTATTTCTTTTGTATAAAATATTCTTCTCAATCTATAGTTTAAGACTTTAAAGTGATTATCTTTTCATCAAGGTTGTATATTGAAATCTCCAAAATTGAAATATCTTTGTTAAAAAATACTAGTAGATTTTCTTCCTCTTTTTTTCTCTCTTTTCAAGGTGTGTTTTTCATGTATTTTGTTAAATTTAAGATTCAAAGATACACTGAAGAAAAGAAACCAGAGTTCTGCTCAAGACACTTATTTATATATTTTCTTCTTTCCACTCTTCAGCTGCTTCTTCACATCAGTAACCTATCAATGCCTTGCGCAACTAGAGTTCGTTAATACCTGATTAATCGATTTCTCTTACTTAACATCAGGGCAGTGTTTGCTTAAACAATATACTTGGCGATTTTAAACACTATTTAGACACTGTTTGTACATAATTCTGTGTATACATATATATAGCTGTCACACAAGTTTAGTGTTATCTACAAACTGGTACAGCTCTGCAGCTATGTGGGAAGCCCAGTCAATGGTCGAATCAAAGAAGAGCTCCCAAAAGCAGAGATCCAGTGCAAGTACAGACGAAAAAATTAGCAGTGCCAAGGTTTGGTACCGGTTTAGTGGCCAACGCAAAGCCTCGGCCATCTTCCTGAGGATCGGAAATGAACTAGTCTCCAAGTCCATTGGGTTTCTGATAGACCAGGCTGTAACCCATTTCACCTCAGAAGGAACAAGATCAAACTCTTCTCGAAGTCTTCTTCCCAAGTCAGGCATGTGGCCTCCGCCATAAAGGATTGCGATTCTGTTGTGCCCTTGCTCCATTGCTCTTCTTAAAGCTTCTGTAGCTGCTCGGTTTCTCTCACCGATGATGACAGATTTCTCCTCTATATCTGACGTCGCCAGCGTTAGCCTTCACATCAAGATAAATAAGAGTACAATTGTTAACTTTCCCACTAGCCAGCATATCTTTACATGTCCTTGAAACGAGAATGTGTGCGTGTGTGAGTTGTGTCGACGACGAAAGAAAAAACCTGTGCTTACTCGGATGTCAATCTCTTAGCGAGGAAGACCTTCATAGCAGCTCCAATATCAAGGCGTGAAAGTGCTTCCAATTCTGGATAGTCTTCAGTTTGATTTCCAAAGTCAGCACAAAAGGCCCCAATAAGGAAAAGACCCACAAGAGGCATAGGGAAAACCCTTGAGACCCATAGAAGCTTTGACTTCCAAGTATCAAGACCTTCAGTTACCAAAGCTGGCTGTATTATCGCTTTCGTTGATCTAATAGTCATGTCCCTAGCAAATGAGTAGAAGCTTTCGCCTTTCTCTCTCTGTACCAAATATGAAACAACACCAATGAAGATTAATCACACATCATTCAACTGATAAGTCTGCATTTTTGGAAGAAAGTAAGTAAAGACGCTTCTAATGTAGCCAACAATGCAAGAACTCAAAAGTGACCGAGACCCAGCAACGAAGCAAAAGATATGTAATTCTCTATCAAGACAAAAAAAAAAAACTTGGAGATAGTTTATGGAAACAAACCTGAAGCAACGTGAATGTCTCGAAATCGAGATCAGCATGGTACCAATTCTTAGCATCGTAATCCAGACAGTCAAGCTGAAAATCAAGCGTTAGAACCCTTGCCATCTGCCGCTGGATGAAGCCGAGAATACTGAAGCCTCTTGAACGTGAAGTCTTGAGCCTCTTGGCTGCAATTGGGTTTCTTCTGTTTTCCAATGTCTCTTTACTAGCCACCATCTCGTACAAGATAGAGTCATATGGTTCAAGCTCCTTTTGGAGAGTTGTGAAGTACCTATTCAAGCATATGTCATTACTCATCACAAGAAACTAAATTTCAAACCTTTTTAAACAGAGCACTAAGCAAAACAAAAGGCATCATCAATTAAGAGCGATAGAAGAAGAAAAGGCTCACTCTTTATCGGCAATATGAATCGTTGAGACCAAATCTACCTGCAATACAGAGATGACATCCAAATTATGTTACCCCATTCCGATTTATGTGGAGACCCGTAAGTAAACAGAGATGGTGCGTTTACCTGAAGAAAAGGGTTTAGGAGAATCCAAGGGAAACGCTTCTTGTAAGTGACGATTGCAGTCTGCAATTCGCTGGAGCCACTATTGCCGGCGTCGGGGCGGCGTTTGAACCGCATGTAATCGGCGATTGAATTGGATTCGAGAAAAAGTGCGGCGTCGGAGGCATCGTCGTCATCAGCCGGTTGATTCAGTGAGAAGGAAACAAGCACCTGTGGACAACGGTGATTCGAGTGTTTAGTAGAACGGTATTTCGAATTGGGTAGGTTCCAGAAGCGGAGAAGCTTCGAAGATGAGTACGAAGAAGAAGATCTATCAGTCGTGGAGCTATAATTAAGCAACGGAAGGACGGCGAACGAGCTGGCCGCCATGGTTCCTCGCTTTTTCTTTTAGATTGGGAACAACTGAAGAAGATATTTCGCCATTTTCCAACCAGAGGAAGTTTACACGTTTCCATTTCGGAAAATCAATAAAAAAAAAGAAAATCTTATTTTATGTCTGACATTTTTATTTATTTTGAAACCGAGTTTATTTATGGGTTAATTTGTGAAATAACATATTAATTTCATAATTGATTTAATAACCAAAAACCCTAAAATTTGTATATTTTACCCTTCAAACAAAATTGATAAATACATAATTATAGTATACTATATCGATTTATATTACCATACTATACTATATATAAAATATTTGTTTTTTATGAATTATATAAAAAAGAAGAGAAAATAGAAAGGGACGAGGGAGGGTAGGGGAGAAGACGGAGGGGAAGGAAAAGGAATAAAAATGAGGAAAAATGAATAAACGAGAAGAGAAAATAAAAGAAAGGAGGGAAGAACAAAAAAAGAGGAAGAAAAGAAAAAAAATAGAAGAGGGATAGTTTTGTATAAATTGTATAATATATACAAAATACTATAACCATTGATTTTTATGGTTATTTTGTCTATTTTTCAGTTTTATATGATCATATGACCCAATTTCTCTTTATTTATTTACACGATACTTTCTTTCGAAAAATCTTACTCGATAACGGATTATCAAAATCCGTCTTCAAAATTAACCTAAAATTAGTTCCTCCTCTACTCACACTGGAAAAAATTGAATGTCTCAATCCAAATTTGTATTGCAATTCTGCTTCATGTATGGTACACACGTGTATCATGACCTCCAAAATTTGGTTTAGATATTCAATTTAAGAGTTAAACAATTGATACGCAAAAAGAATGAATCATATGTTTTGTAAGATTTAGTTAGGCAGCATTTTAAGTTGTTGAGTAGCCCAACTTTGAACTCGATCACCAAACAGCCTTTTCATTTTCTGATTAGTGGTCGTTGTCTAAATTACTCGCTTGAATGTGTAAATGGTATTCGTAAAACACCACATTGCATGTTGTTAAGAGAGGCTTTAAGGTAGTTTGTTCATCTTGCGCAGTTTCATTTGCTCCTCAGTTTTTAGACAGACTCAGTTTAATAAACTTCCTAAACAAGAAATGATTGTTTGTATTCATAAAGTGGTGCAGTCTAACTTGTTAACATAATGCATGTATCCACCAAACGCAGATGTACTTGCAATAAGCATGATGGGGCATATGCAATCAGTTAAACATCTTATATCCAATCTAGTTTTCTTAAGATTCAAGCTTATGCCTTCTCATCGAGACTAGACTAGTTTCAAGTGGCCTTAAGACAAAATCTAAACATAATAGCTCAATTTTCTAATACAAATGTTCTCTTCTTCTTCTTTTTAGTTCATTGAATTCTCTGGCCTGCTCATGTTAAAATTTCGTCATTGTTTAACAATCTCGATAGATGTGAGAATTATATTCTTTAGTTTGTATTTTTTTTTGATTTTACAAACTAAGTTGTTCAAACGTTATCATTTAATTTGTGAGGGTAGAAACATGCATAATCGAAAGTAATTTGCAAAATGGAATAACTGTTAAAATATACTCCCTCCGTTCCATATTGTATGATGTTTTGAGTTTTTTATTTTGTTCTACAAAGATTGATTTTCTACATTATATTTAATATATTTCTGTTTCCAAGACAATTTTTTAGGTAAAAAAATATAAAAAAATTAATATTAAATTAATAAACATACAAAAAGTACTTTAAAAAAGTAAATAATTATTGTTTTCTTAATATCTGTGAAACATCTAAAACATCATACATTCTGGAACGGAGAGAGTATGAGTTTTAATAATAAAAATAGTGAAGACAAACTCTAGCCTCTAGGCATTCTAATTAAAGACCAGTACATGATATGTTTTCTAAGTTTTTGTTTTGAATGAGTTAATTATTCGAATATTGTTACTGAGAAAAATTGAAGGAACGAAAAAGATATTAGGGTGTATCAATATAGAAACATGCAATGCATAGTTGGGAGTGTGGTCGGGTAAGTCATAAGTGGAACCACTTTAACCACGTATATGTTGGAGGAAAGTTGGGCACGCTTTGACATCATTCTAAAAGTCAGCTTTCACGCAATCCTCATTGGTCTTTTAACCAAGTTGAATAATCACATCATTAAATATCATCACTAATTATATTGTACATGTTTTTTTATTTTATTTTAAAGATGATCACTATTCGTATTTCGTAACATAGTAGTATATGGATATAGATTACGTGTGGAGGACAACCCGTCGGCAAGCTATTCATTATGCAGGCCACTTTCGAAGACACGACTAAAAGTGCTTGTCCTTTTTCGTCTACCTATTTCCCCACCATTGATATGCAAAGGGGTGTGTCCTGGGGAATAATATGCTTCATTTCAAGATCATATGAACGCAAATAGCATGAGGATCGTGTTGATATTATATTGATGATGATGGTCATAAGGGACATTTTGTTTTAGCTAAGGGGATTAAACTCGACAAAAGAAAACATCTTTTTTTTTTCAGGAGCAAAAGAGAAGTATAACAAAAGGTTATGTTAAAGAGTGGAGTCTCCAACAAAGATATCATTCTCTTTTGAGTGGATTAACTCCACGCTTAATTAAGAGTGCATATCCATACCACATACGTGGGCCCCGAGTCTAATTCTTCCATTTATCAAATACTTAAGATACGCAATTTTTTTTACTATTGTCTAGGCTCACTAATCGGGAAAGACGATGACATTCGAACTTTTGATTCCATTAATCTTTTTTTTGGATTTGGACGTCATCCAACAATTCAAATTGAATAGTAGTAAATCCTAGTATTAACTAAGTTTTTGTATCCTAAAACTTCTTCTCTTTTTTTTGAAACATTTTATTAAAGTACTTAAAACTCTAAACCTAAACTTTAAATCCAAAAATATAAATCCTGACCCTCCTAAAATAAATTGTAATAATAAACCTGAAAATAGTGTATTTTGGTTACTATGATTTTTTTAGTTTTTTTCTTCTTAATTATGGTTTTACCATGTACTCCCTCTATTTCTTAATGTATGACTTTTTAGATTTTTTACAAATTTTAAGAAGCAATTATTAAATATTTTTTTTAGTTACTTTTATTTATTTTAATATTCATTTATACTCTAAAAATGTATATTTTATCTTTCCAAGAATAAAATGTTTTAAAAAAAAATAGATTATATATAATTCAAAAAATCAAACTTTATAGAACAAATTTTTTTTCTAAAACATTAAAGTTTTGTGAAATGAAGGAGTATAAGTAAGTACTAAAAAGTTGAGAATGGTGTGTTGTCGAACATCGTCGTCGTCCAGCGTCCAAGGGGGAACTCACAAGTGTACATTTGTAGCGCGTGTATCAGACGGTGGACCCCACCATAATGGCAGTGGGGGCATTATCGTAATAAAAGAGACTGCGCGTGTTGTTTCATGATGCGTCGCAGTGATGTGTATTTCATATTTGCACAATCCACTTGGTGGTATCGTGTTTTGCTGCACTAATAATATAGTATACAATTATCAATTATGGGTTTTTGAAATAGTACCAATTAAAGCTAAAGATAGAGACTATTCTTCACTTGTTTTAATAGTTACGTAACACATTAATGTTTTGTTTACCAATGATCATATATATTATGTTTGTGATGTAGGCTATGTAGCGTGACCAACATCTTTTTATAAGATTTTTCTTTATTTTTTATATTTACGTTAGCACTTAGCAGTACTCTTTTATTTCTACTAAAAAATGAATTTACAGAGAAATATGTAACTAAAGAGAGAAATTAAATATGTAACTAAATTATAATTATGATGTCACGATGAGGAAGTGTTGAAAACGTTATAATGCAAAATATAAGCATGCGGCGGAAATTTGGCAGAGGATTTATGAGTTTATTCTGCCACAATCATTACTCATGCGAACGAGATGGATAATTTTACAAAGAAAATCTCATTATCTAACGAGATGGTATAGATATTCTCTTCTTTTTTCATCGTAACTGGTGAACATTAGGAGGGGCCTAACGAAATCGTGTATTCCTCTAAATTGTAAGTATTCCTCTAAAAGTTGCTTTTATCAACAACAACAACAACAAAAAGTGCTTACAGTTACACCCTCTATAAAAAGGCAAAGGTTGGCTTCTCTATGATATCGTATCACGAAGCCTTATAGCATTCCTCTCCTCTCTATCTCTCTCTCCCTGTCTATCTCTTATCTCCTCTCTATCTCTTATCTCTATCTCACTTTCTGTTTCTCAACTTGGATATGGGAGAAGCCGTAGAGATCATGTTCGGAAACGGGTTCCCGGAGATTCACAAAGACACGTCACCCATTCAAACCCTCCTCTCCAACCAGCAGGACTGCCATTGGTACGAGGAAACCATCGATGATGATCTCAAGTGGTCTTTTGCCCTCAACAGGTTTTTTTTTCGTTCTCTTGTCTCAAGTTTATTTTCTTTTGATTATAATGTTGCTCTTTTCTTTTATCATTTTAATCTAATTTTCCTTTTCTATTTATTCGACAGTGTTCTTCATAAAGGAACTAGTGAATACCAAGAAATTGCTCTTTTGGATACCAAACATTTCGGCAAGGTACATTTTCCTCAAAAAAATTAGTTCTTAAACTACAAAATTTTAATTTAGAGTAATGATACAGTATGTTGGTACTAGAGACTAATTTGTATGAAGAAATTAATGGTACTTACTTATAACAGGTGCTTGTGATCGACGGGAAAATGCAAAGTGCAGAGAGAGATGAGTTTATCTACCATGAATGTTTGATCCACCCAGCCCTCCTTTTCCACCCTAAGTATGCACTCTATCTATTTTCACTTGCATGGTTTTTTTGTATATTGAAAAATTATGATTAGTATTATATTAAGTAGTCCCTTAACCTTTGTACGATGCACCTAAAATTAGCCTATTGTGTTTTATTAATACTTGCTTAAGTACTATATTACCCCTAGCATCTATAATTGAACTTTGTTATTTACTCAAACCATTTGGTATTTGAATAGCCCTAAGACAGTGTTTATAATGGGGGGAGGTGAAGGCTCTGCTGCAAGAGAAATACTAAAACACAAGACGATCGAGAAAGTTGTCATGTGTGATATTGATCAGGTTTAATATCTCATCAATTTTGTTAACAGAAATGTACATTGATCCTTCTTTATTAACATATATATATTTTTAATATATATTTACAGGAAGTTGTTGATTTCTGCAAGAGATTTCTGACCGTTAATAGCGATGCTTTTTGTAACAAAAAACTTGAACTTGTGATCAAAGATGCAAAGTAAGGAAATTAAAACAAAAAAAGAATCACAACAAAGAATTATTATCACTTTTAAACTATCTAATGAAATATAATAATTTGATGTGTATAGAGCTGAACTGGAGAAAAGGGAAGAGAAGTTTGATATCATAGTGGGAGATTTAGCAGACCCAGTGGAAGGTGGGCCTTGTTATCAGCTCTACACCAAATCTTTCTACCAAAACATCCTTAAACCCAAGCTTAACCCCAATGGCATATTTGTAACTCAGGTCTTTCATCTATTTTTGTTTATAATTTTGGAGAAAGATGCCAAAAAGAGACTTTATTTTGATAATATCCTTTTTTCAATCTAGGCTGGACCAGCAGGAATATTCACTCATAAAGAGGTGTTTACATCAATCTACAACACCATGAAGCAAGTCTTCAAGTGTAAGCAAGCCTCTTTTTTGAGTTCTCTTTGTAGTAGAGGCATCATTCATTTGTAAGGGATCCGTTTTGATGACTAAAAAAATGAAAACAGACGTGAAGGCTTACACAGCGCATGTGCCGTCGTTTGCGGACACGTGGGGATGGGTGATGGCATCGGACCAAGAGTTTGAGGTTGAAATTAAAGAAATAGATCAAAGAATCGAAGAGAGAGTGAAAGGAGAGTTGATGTACTTAAATGCTCCTTCTTTCCTCTCTGCTGCTACTCTCAACAAAACCATCTCTCTCGCGTAATTTCCCATTTTCTCCTTAATTATTTGTTTATTTATTTATGAATCATTTCATTTTACAAAACTGAAATTTAAATTTGGGCGGGCAGGCTGGAGAGGGAGACGGAAGTTTATAGCGAAGAGAACGCGAGATTCATTCATGGTCATGGTGTGGCGTACCGGCATACTTGAAGAAGAACCGGGTTCAGTTTCACATCAATACCACCATACCCATCATGTCTTTAAACAAAAAAAAAAAACCGGTTTCGTTCCGCATATAACCGGCTGTTGTCATGATTACTTTTTAGTTGGGGTTTCTTTTCTACACTGCTTGGGCCTTCGTTTTCTTGTTTCTCAAGTTATTCTGGTTTAGTTTGGTTAACAAATGTTGCTTACTAAGAAAGACCCATCGTTATCACTTATCTTCAGACTTCAATTATCAGTTTTTTTTCACGCACCAAATCCTTCTACCAAATCTAGAAATCGATTTAGGTCAGATGCATGAAAATACAAATACTCATATATTAGTATGATCTACAATAAGATTCTAATAAACTAACTACGGTAGGCAAACAAAAATGTAGCGTTAGAGTTCAAAAAAAAAAAAAGAATAGAGATCACAGATCAGATACGTCTCTTCGGAAAAGCCATGTAGCACTTTATATATATATTGGGAAAATAAATCCTTACCGAAAGTGTTGGTATCACAAAGAGCAACAGAAACCGAGTTTTTTTTTTTATATTTCAATTATACCAAAACAAATTATGTTAACAAGTACTAGTGAAATAAATGAAAAGAAGAAGAAGGAAAACGATCACTCGTGACCGGTGAGATGAACTTCTTGAGGAAGAAGGGTGTAATCGATCTCAAGCTCCTCGAAGATTCTCTTTAGCGCGATGACCAGCTCGGTTCTCCTGAGGTTCTTCTCTCCGAAATTTTGAAAGTTCATTGTGTGTATGAAGATCAGATTCAAATTCAGCTTGTTCACATTCTCAATCGCCTTCACCATCAACATTGGTTCTGGATACCAATTTTGTGGATTCTGCACCAAGTATCTGACCAAAACACACAAATATCTCGTCAAGACACAGTGAGTCAGTGAGTTCTGTTTTATGTAAGATGGTTTGTGTTTTGATACTTACTCTGTGATTTTTTCCTTGAGAGTGGCGATTTTAGCTGCCGGCGTTGAAAATGCGATGGAGAATTCTACTGAGTCTCCCATATCTGGACTTCTGTAGTAATTGCTTATCGGTTTCGATATCAAAGTCGCATTTGGATAGAACACTTTCTCGTTGTCAATCTTGAGGAACACGGTAGTCAAAAGATGTATTTCTTCAACCAGCAGCTTCAACGCAAAAAGAAGACCAAATGGATTTTAAAATGAGTGGTAATTAACCACATATATATATATATATATATATATATATATATATGTAGTGAGCAATCAAAATTCAAAATTGTTTACCATTACACCGTCGACAACACAACGGTCACCGACGTCATAAGGGTGCATCACGAAGACGAACACAAAGGATTCGAAGATATTCTTGCAAGTGCTTCCTACTATGAAGGCAAGACCCACCAATTTTGCGGAGAAGACCACCAAAAACTGTGTCGTTGCTATATCCAGAAGAACCAACCAAATGATAAAGGGGACAAAGGTCAAGACTCCAGTAAGAAGCTTGTCCACCTGCTTAACCGCTGTTTTTGTGTCGTTCAGTGAATGTCCTAATGCTTTCCGACTTGTGTAAACTGTAATCTGTTCAAAAAATGGCATCAAATGCTTACACTCCTACTTAAAATATTTAACAACTTCAGAAAGAAAAAGAAAAAAACTATTAACAACATCTCCTAATATGCATGCATGGACACAAAAACTAAAGGTCTATTTTTATATTTAGAAAAGTATTTGAGCTAAAGAATGTTACCACCCATTCTATAAAAGCGTTCCGTGTGATTTTGCCGCTGTCGCCACCTTCTATTAATGGGAGCACAATGTCTACCTCTTCTTTTATCATGAACCTCAACAAGTCATCTTCCTCTATGTAACTAAAAAATAAAAAGCAATTTAAGTATGTATGATTAAGATAATAACTAGAAGAAAGCAGAGTATTGTGTGATAACTTATACCTAGAATTTGGTTGAGCAACATTGTTGAAGATATCATAAGCAGCAGCCACAGCCTCCATATCATTAGTTATCTCTTTATCACTCTTCTCTTTCCCATGGCTAGACTCATCTAAGGTGTTGGATATAGTTGAGAGACCTGAGCCAACGGCTTCAATCAAAACTCGCATTGTCCAAGCAGAGACCTTCTCTTGTTTCATCTTGTGAACCTTTCCCATATCGAGAACTTTCTTCTCTCTCACTCTTCCATTCTTGCTACTTGTGAAACTAAGGTGGCCCGTGCTTGGTTCCCGCCCAACGCTCTCTGCCTCCTCTATAAGCGGAGGTCCCGAGAGAGTCTGGAGAACGTATTGGTGGAAGACAGACTCTTGAATTCTCTCAAAGAAGTTTCTGACGTTGAACTTTGAAGCAAGGACTTTCAAGGCAAACGTCTTCACCAAGAAAATGATCGACCCGATGAGAAGGGAGACAATAGTCCAAGTTATAAAGTCTAGAAATTTCTTGGTCTTACGAGAGTGTTTGTCGTCATCTTCGAACAGAAATACCCAAGCAACAAGAACCAGGCTGAACCAAATGAAGACTTGGACATTCTTCTTCAAACCATGGACAAAGTACAACACTTTCTTCCGTAGGAGATAGTTCCTTTCAATGATGAACACCGCAAAATGCATGAACCAGTTCGTCACGAGCATGCCGCTAAGCGTCACCATCACAAGCACGGACCATTTCCAGACCTCCAAACCCCAAATGCGATGCTTCTTCACCGTATCAATGGTTAAACTCACAACCAAAGTGCACAGAATGGCCACAAACACTACAAACTCAAGCAGAGCCAGAGGTCTAATTCCACTACGCTTCTTCACTCGGTGTAGCTTAACCTTTTTGTATATTTCTTCATTTTCATCCGTTTCCTCCTCGGCAACTTTACTCATGGCCGCTGAGCCAACGCTCCTATTGGATCTGTTACTAGGGGAAGTTCTTGCAAATGAAGCAGCGCCAAACTGGTCCCTAGGGGTTCTACAGTTTTCCTCTACTATAGTCTTATCATATCGATGAGACTGTTGTTGCCCAAACCTTGAGTTGGACTTGGAGTAAACTGGCCTCGCAAGAGATTTTCTCCGAGTTAGACCTTCAGTGATAGGACTTGGGATTTTAGGCGGCTTGTGAACGCTACCAGAGAACTTATAAATTTCAGGAGGTGGAATGCTTAAGGGCTCTAGTTTCATGTTCCCCGTTTCTGAATTTGGTGAAGCCACTACTTTGGAAGATGGAGATGCTGCTGGATCTTTTGACCCTTCTTCTTTTTCAGAAACATTGATAACAACTTCTCCACCGTTGCTAGCTCTCCTCTCTGCCATGCCTAATTCACCTTACACCAATAGGTTTGCGATGGGATTTGAAGCCAATGGCTCTCACAAGAGCCTAGATGCTGGACCAATTCCTAAGAACACAAGAGTCGAAAAATGTATCAATGATTAGATCAATCCCAAACTCTTACACCATTACATACAATGACGCCGACTTTAGACAAAGCAAAACTTAAAAATTTAAACCAAACTTAGGAGCGCCTCCAGCTAAAAAAAATATATATAATCTGAAAGCTAAACTTTAAACTCTAAACCAAACCCTGCAAGGCTAGAACAGAGATCTGCAAGAAAGACCATTTGTTCTTTGTAAATGAGTTCACTACTCAAAACAATACCCAATAACATTTGAGAAAACCCACCATTTATCCGAAGAAAGCCGTAAGAAATATCAAAACTTTACCAAAAACAAATATGTATACTCTCATAGAAAAAGAAGACACGAACGAGATCCGAAGCTACACTGACAAAACAGAGCAGGTAAAAAACTTTTTATCCTTTGGACAAAAAATACAAAATTTTAGAAACTTAAATGGAAAAAGAGGAGAAGATCGTACAAGGACACTGAGAGCCAAACCAAGGTGTGAGCCTGAAACTTAAGTCCCTGTTTTGCAAAGTACGAACTCCAATTTAAGTGCATTTCTTAAACCAAACGAATTCCAGATTAATACAGAAAAAAACAAACCGGCAGCAACTAAATAAAGAGAAGCACGTGGGTTTTCAGAGGCGATTCCCATAAAAGTTTATACTTCCGATGACAAGTTGATAAATCGAAACGTAAAATAATTGAATAGATATATTCTTATTTAAATTTATTGACATATTTTACTTGTGTCCACCGAATGGATACCATATTTTTTTAGTTTATTTTATTTTAGGTAGCATTTTTTTAAAAAAAAGTTGTTGTGCTATCTCCATAGTACAAACTTTTAAAAAGAAAATTACAGAGTAATCTCATTTTAATAATTAAAGAAATTAAATGATGTGCTCTACGTACAAAATATAACATGAGTGAAGAATAAAAGGAGGAGAAGGTTGTGAATATGGCCTCACGGCCCTCACTACAGCCTTAGCCACAACATTTCCATGGCAAAAGAATGGATTGACCACAGGTGGTAACCATTACTTATGATGAACGTGTTACCGTTACGTGTCATTGAAAACTATGTTATTATGACTACGGTCACGAATTAAATATGAAGATGATGTATTCAATCTATAATTTATAATTATTCATATTAAAATGATAAATGATCTATTATTGAAACTTAAGTTTGATCGAATCTTTTTAAAACAGTGTTATCTACTTATCTCTAACTAATGAATTGAAAATCCAGTGAATTTTCAAATCTAGTTGTATGAGAAATATTTTAAAAGTAGTAGATTTTAGGAGAAATTAATTATAGTGATTTCAAAGAGTTTTGATAAAGTTTCTTAATCAAAAATTCAAAATTTATGGTTTTAAATGGGATTCAATAAAAATTTAAAAGGAAGTCATAACAACTTTCATAATTCATCCAAAATCATATAAAAATCTCTTTCAAAATATTCGGTTCAGTACATATTCAAAAATATTTGTGCGGCTAGAACAATAATTTTGTCCAAAAGCAAGAAGTAAAACCGGTTTCGTTTCCTTGCACATAATCGGGCGTTGTCATGATTACATTTGTTTGGGTTTTGTTTTCTTCATTCACTGGGTTTTTGTTTTCTTGTTCCTGAAGTTATTCCAGTTTAGTTTGGTTAACAAAACTATTGCTTACTAAAAAAGACCTAGAAATCAAATTAGGTCAATCAATGATTAATGGTCTAAACCGGTTAAAACTACTAGGTCTTATCTACATTAGGTTCCAAACACTTAACCAAAAAAATGATCTTCTCCAAAAACTTAAATCAATGATTGATAAGACTAAAAGTAAGAGTTATTGGTTCTTGTATTTTAGTGGATTTATAAATCTTCTTTGGATTTGATAAATTTATTGATTTCAAAATCAGCAAAATAGAAAAAAATCAAATATACTCAAATACCAAGGTTAGACCTTGTATTTGACTCTTTATATTTTAGTCATGAAAATCCTTCCAAATCCATTCAAATTCAATTAAGTAGGGGTTATTGGTTTTTGTATTTTGGTGGATTTATAAATCTTCTTTGGATTTGATAAATTTATTGATTTCAAAATCAGCAAAATGGAAAAAAATCAAATCCACTCAAATACCAAGGTCAGATCTTGTATTTTAGTCATGAAAATCCTTCCAAATCCATTCAAATTCAATTAAAACTCAAATCCTTATAATATTTAGATTCTAAAATGATAGAACTAATAACACTGTATTTCATTATAGATTTTAAAATCATAGAATCAATAACACTGTATTTCAATATAAATTTTAAAATATAAGAACCAATAACACTGAATTTAGTTTGGATTCTCAAATCCATTAAAATACAAGAACCAATAACACCTCCCAAGTTTTTGATAATAAAGTTAACGAGTGATTGGGTTCCAAAAAAAGGGATACAACCGAAAAAACGTAAACCGATCAGATTTCTACGTTTAATTAAAGCGAAGCAAATCATGTTATAACAAGTACGTACTAGTGGAATACTGTAAATGCAAAAGGAAAGAAGGAAATGATCATTTGTGACCAGTGAGATGAACTGCTTGAGGAAGGAGGCTGTAATCGATCTCAAGCTCCTCAAGGATTCCCTTCAGAGCGATGACCAGCCCGGTTCTCCTGAGGTTCTTCTCTCCGAAATTTTGAAAGTTCATTGTGTGTATGAAGAGCAGATTCAAATTCAGCTTGTTCACATTCTCAATCGCCTTCACCATCAACATTGGTTCTGGATACCAGTTTTGTGGGTTCTGCACCAAATATCTGACCAAAACACACCAATATCTCGTCAACAATCACAGTGAGTGAGTGAGTGTTTTAAGATGAGTTTTTGTTTCGATACTTACTCTGTGATTTTTTCCTTGAGAGTGGAGATTTTCGCCGCCGGTGTTGAGAATGCGATGGAGAATTCTACTGAGTCTCCCATATCTGGACTTCTGTAGTAATTGCTTATCGGTTTCGATATCAATGTCGAATTTGGATAGAACACTTTCTCGTTGTCAATCTTGAGGAACACGGTAGTTAAAAGATGTATTTCTTCAACCAGCAGCTTCAACGCAAAAAAGAACAGATGGATATTAATTAGAGCTTTTAACTGGATAGTAATAGTGAGCAAACAAATCTCGAAGTTGTTTACCATTACACCGTCGACAACGCAACGATCACCGACGTCATAAGGGTGCATCACGAAGACAAACACAAAGGACTCGAAGATATTCTTGCAAGTGCTTCCGATCATGAAAGCAAGACCCACAAATTGGGAGGAGAAGATCACCAAAAACTTGGTCGTTGCTATATTCAGAAGTACCAACCAAATGATGAAGGTGACAATGGTCAAGACTCCCGTTAGAAGCTTGTCCACCTGCTTAACCGCTGTTTTTGTGTCGTTCAGTGAATGTCCTAATGCTTTCCGACTTGTGTAAATTGTAATCTGTTCAGAAACGGCAACACAAAACTTTTAACAACTTCTCCAAATAGGCATGCATGAACACAAAAACTATTTATTTTTTATAACCGGAACCCAAACTTATTCAACTTAAATCGTCTACATGAGTCGCCAACATGCAAACCAAAAAACAAAACCAATATATTTGGAAAAGTGTTTAAAGAATGTTACCACCCATTCTGTAAAAGCATTGCGTGTGATTTTGCCGGTCTCGCCACCTTCTATTAATGGGAGCACAAGGTCTACCTCTTCTTTTATCATGAACCGTAGCAAGTCATCTTCCTCTATGTAACTGAAAATTTAAAAAAAAAAAGAAATTTAAGTATGTATGATTAAGATGAAAACTAGAAGAAAGCAGAGTACTTGTGTGATGACTTTACCAGGAATTTGGCTGAGCAACATTGTTGAAGATATCATAAGCAGCAGCCACAGCTTCCATATCATTAGTTATCTCTTTATCAGTTCTGTCTTTCCCATGGCTACACTCATCTAAAGTGTTTGATATAGTTGAGAGACCCGAAGCTCCCACGGCTTCAATCAAAACTCGCATTGTCCAAGCAGAGACCTTCTCTTGTTTCATCTTGTGAACCTTCCCCATGTCGAGCACTTTCTTCCCTCTCACCGTTCCATCATTCTTGGTGCTCGTGAAACTAAGGTGGCCCGTGCTTGGTTCGCGCCCAACACTCTCTGCCTCCTCTATAAGCGGAGGTCCAGAGAGCGTCTGAAGAACGTATTGGTGGAAGACAGACTCTTGAATTCTCTCAAAGAAGTTTCTGACGTTGAACTTCGATGCAAGGACTTTTAAGGCAAATGTCTTCACCAAGAAAATGACTGAACCCACGAGAAGGGTGACGATAGTCCACGTTATAAAGTCGAGAAACTTCCTGGTCTTACGAGAGCGCTTATCGTCATCTTCAAACAGAAATACCCAAGCAACAAGAACCAGGCTGAACCAAATGAAGACTTGAACATTCTTCTTCAAACCATGGACAAAGTACAACACTTTCTTCCGTAGGAGATAGTTCCTCTCAATGATGAACACCGCTAAATGCATGAACCAGTTCGTCACGAACATGCCGCTAAGCGTCACCATCACAAGCACGGACCATTTCCAGACCTCCAAACCCCAAATGAGATGCTTCTTCACCGTATCAATGGTTAAACTCACAATCAAAGTGCACAAAATGGCCACAAATACTAACAACTCAATCAGAGTCAGAAGCCTAATCCCACTACGTTTCACTCGGTGTAGCTTAACCTTTCTGTAGATTTCTTCATTTTCATCCGGTTCCTCCGTTTCCTCCTCAGCAACTTTACTCAGAGCTGCCGAGCCAACACTCCTATTCGATTTGTTACTTGGGGAGGCTCTGTTAAACGAGGTCCTTGCAAATGAAGCAGCACCAAAATGTTCTTTAAGGGTTCCACCATTTTCCTCTACTATAGTACTCTTATCATACCGATAAGACGGTTGTTGCCCAAACCTTGAGTTGGACTTGGAGTAAACTGACCTCGAAAGAGATCTCCTCCGAGTTAGACCTTCAGTGATAGGACTTGGGATTTTCGGCGGCTTATGAACGCTACCAGAGAACTTATAGATTTCAGGAGGTGGAATGCTTAACGGCTCTAGTTTCGCTGTCTCCGTATCTGAATTTGGTGAAGCCGCTACCTTGGAAGATGGAGATGGTGCTGGATCTTTTGACCCTTCTTTATCTGAAACATCGATAACAACTTCTCCTCCGTTGCTGGTTCTCCTCTCTGCCATCCCAAAGTCACCCCACACCAATAATCTTGCAGGCGCTTTGACGCCGATGGCTCTCAAAAGATACCAGAAGCTAGACCAGTTCCTAAGAACAAAAGAGTAGAAAAATCATTAGTCCTTGGAAAAAGTTTTCACCATTTGTCCAAAGCTAATCCTTAAACCAAACTTAGGAGCGCCCTCTAGCTTTTTTGAAATATTTGAAAGCGAAGTTTTAAGCTCTAAACTAAACCCTATAAGGCTATAGTAGAGATCTGCAAGAAAGACCATTTGTATTTAGTAAATGAGTTAACTACTCAAAACAAGACCCATGAAATTTATTAAAAACCCACCATTTATCTGAAGAAAGCCGTAAGAAAGATTGAAACTTTCCCAAAACAAATATGCATACTTTCACATAAAAGAAAAAAAAAATCAACACTTCCAAGAGAATACTTACTAACATCAGCTATAGAAAGAAAACCAACAGCTCTTGTGCCATAAGAGGAAAAGAATGCAGATGCTACAAGAGATATTAATTGATGACTATCAGAAAAACAAATCAGAAGCTACATTGACAAAACAGAGCAAGTAAAGAATTTGGACAAAAAATAGAAACTTTTAGAAGCTTGAAAGGAACAAAAAAAAAAGGAAAAAGGAAAAAGAGGAGAAGATCGTACAAAGACACTGAGAGCCGAAGCAAGGAGTGATCTTGAAACTTTAGTCCCTGTGTTGCAAAGTACAAACTCCAATTTAAGTACATTTTATAAACCAATGGAATTCCAGATTGATACAGTAAAAAACAAATCAGCAGCAATTGAATAAAGAGAATCACGTGGGTTTTCAGAGGCGATTCCCATAAAGTTTATGCTTTCGATGACACACGTAAAATAATTGACTATATAGTTTATTCTTTCTTATTTTTAATTTATTGACATCTTTTTCTTATGTCCAGCGAATGAATACATATTCTAGTTTATTTTCTTTTATGTAGTATAAAAAAACAAGTTGTTGTGCTATCTACATTGTAAGATCTAAAAAAACAAGTTGTTGTGCTATCTCCATTGTAATGATCATGGATACTCCTTGGCTAATATCATATCTTAATTTGCCAAAACAAATCATATAGTAATATTGTAATAATAATAAGACAAAAGGCGACAGCTAGAACATATTCCACAGTTTACGATGCTTCTGACTAAAAACTTTAATTTATTTGTCGTCCTTGGTTTACCCTTATATCGATAACAATGAATTTGGTATCTCAATGAAGAAACTCAAGGTCAGCATTTTGTATTTTGATTTGAATATAAACTCTCCCACCATGACATTAACGTGCACGTCAGGGTATTTAAATGAGTCTCTTGGTCCGTTGTTTAAGGGTTTAAAATATTTATATACCAGGTTTGAGATTCAGTTTTTAAAGAACACATTTTTTTTGGCTAATTAATAGATGTATAAAATTTATTAGAGGTTTTAAAAATGTTTTTGGTCCGGACTCTCTTTCTTTTCGGATATGGAGAAATTTAAAGGCCCATAATGAAGCCCAAATATAAAACTCAGTTTGGCCCGTACCAGTTTATTTCTTAAATCGAATTTAGGGTTTCTCAGTGGCTCAGGCTATACTCTATAGGTTTTTAAAGCGGCTTGTTCAATCTCCGTCACTCTTTCTCTGATCTCTCTCTTTCTGCTGCTCCTGATCTCCCTCACTCCTAATATCCTCAAGCAGCATCAATGGCGATCACCTTTTCAGATCTACACACAGAGGAGGGTGTCAAATCCGTGGAGGAGCACCTCGCCGGAAAAACCTACATCTCCGGGTAAGTTTGTCACTTTCCCTCCTTTGCTATACGATCTGTAACCTTTTCCACTGTTTCTATTCGTATTCAACGTCTAAGGGAGCTCTGATTTATCAGGGATCAATTGTCTGTGGATGACGTCAAGGTATACGCTGCCGTTGTTGAGAAACCCAGCGATGCCTTCCCTAATGCTAGCAGGTGGTACGATTCCGTTGCCTCCCACCTTGCCAAAAGGTTCGTTCTTTTCAGATTTTTTGATCAGTCTATTGATGTTTGGGATTAATATTGTATCCCCAAGAACTTACGAGCTTCAAATTATTGCAGTTTCCCAGGAAAAGCCGTCGGAGTGAGTATCGGTGGCTCTGCTGCTCCTGCTCAAGCTGAGGTACCTTCACTCGAATGCTTGACTTGTTAAAATCTCAATTAATGCCCTGTGATCTATTGTTGAACCCGAACAGTGACATTCTCTAGGTTTCTCCTAATCTATAATCATAGAATTGAAAAATGTGTGATCGTTATAGTATTGCCTTAGGGATCCACGAGCTGTGTTTGGTAGAGGAAAGGTTTAGTGTGTTTAAGGCTAATTTTTCATAAATTGTCAACAGGCACCTGCTGCTGCTGCAGCTGATGATGATGATGACATGGATCTGTTTGGTGACGAGACCGAGGAGGAAAAGAAAGCTGCAGAGGAGAGGGAGGCTGCTAAGAAGGCCACCAAGAAGCCCAAAGAGAGTAAGCGTACTTGCTATTCTGCTGCAGACGATACACAAGTATGATGAATCTTTTGGTTCTATGGGGAGCACGTTCTTATTCTCTTTTGAATTTCAAAACTTTTTCGTTAGGTGGAAAGTCCTCTGTGCTCATGGAAGTAAAGCCATGGGATGATGAGACCGACATGAAGAAGCTTGAGGAATGTGTTCGCGCTGTTGAGATGCCTGGTCTTTTATGGGGAGCTTGTACGTTTTCAATTTCAATCTCTCCATACGGAGCGTAAGCTTTGATTTTTTTTTTATGTCCAGGACAGTTTTCTAACTGAGTGTTTGTTCTTGGTAATTGTTGTTGCAGCAAAACTGGTACCAGTTGGATACGGAATCAAGAAACTCACGATCATGCTCACGATTGTTGATGACCTCGTGTCCCCGGACAACCTTATTGAAGACTTTCTCACCTCAGAGCCCAACAACGAGTACATCCAGAGTGTTGACATCGTCGCATTCAACAAGATCTAGAGACTTTAAAACCTCTTCCTGCTACCTAAAGATACTTGATTTCCTTCCAAGTTTTGGTTCTTTTGTGTTATTTGCGGAGATGTTTATTTTCTAGTTGCAAGACCTCTTTCATGTTACAAGAAACATAAACTATCAAAAGCTTATTATTCCTCTTTTTGTGTTGTTTGCTGAGATGTTTATTCTCTAGTTGCAAAACCCCTTTCACGTTGTTACACGAAACATCAACTATATCAATGCTTTTAATCTCCCTTGCATTATTGTTGAGTAACACTCAAGTACCGTGAAAAATTGTCAATCACTTCAGAAATAATCACGTATCCTGCAGCTCCCATGACAATAGAAAGGGTGAGTTTGCCTCCAGGAACAAGCCGCGGCAAACTTGTTGCTGTTGATGATGATACTGAGTACCTATCTGACCAAGACATTGCAGCTGGGAGGATTCCGAACAATACAAGAACTACAGAAGACAAACCCCATAGTTAGTATTGTTTTTTGGTTTAAATGTGTGTACTTCAATCAAGTAGCTCAAAGAAGAGACTTGTTATACCTCCATATGTTCCAGCAAAATCTAAGGCTTTGAAAAAAATCTCTGGATCCAGAAGAGACAGGAGAAGCGGTGGAATCAGTGTAAGAAGGTAAAGAAGAGGCTTGTTCTGCCCGGTCGGTAGCTTCAATACTTAGAAAGTTTTCATGAAAGCAAAGGTTATGCAGAGGCAGTAGATTTTAAAGAAAAACACAAAGTTCTGTTGTTTGATGATATACTCACAGTCGGAGAAGAAATCAGAGAGGCCTAAGACAAATCCGATATAAGATGTTGCGATTGCGATAAGAGAGAATGCTTCCACATAAGGCTGTGTGAAAATAAAATAAAAACAAGACAGATTTGAGATGATTGGTGCGGGAGTTGATTAGATAAGCAAAGAACAACTAAACTTACACCGACATTGACACTGCTTGATCTTAATTGCTGCAAAGGATCAATCATCTTCTCAGCAGCCACCCCGGTAACTGGAAACGATCCAAGAATTACAGCATTCCACACAAGAAACAAGCCAAGTGGTATGGCTGTGCCAAGAACAATCGCGGTTCTGAAGATAAAGAGATATTCATAAAGCTGAGTTGTTCAAGACAGATTGAGTGAGTTTCACCATCACTATTGCAGGGTATAATGTCACCTTACTTTCGGCAAGTCTCCTTCAAGATCCGTGCAGAGAACCGGCACCACATTCTGTAAGAAAAAAGCAATTTATTAAGAGAGTTTCTTCATCATGGGAGTCAGGAACTCAAGGTTGAATCACGAGATTAATTGATTGACTACCTGATAAACAAACGAGAGGGCAATGATGGGTATACTCATGGGAACGGCGTCAAAGTTAGCCTTGAGAAGAGCTTCCCAGTGCAAGTCTCCACTCGCAACTGCCTAACAAAATGGGTCATCTATGGTTTCATGAATTCATAGGAAAGTCTTTATCCAAAACAATTGTTACCACGAGTGCTGCAAACGATGCAATTAGTCCAAACACAAGAACTCCATTAGTTGCACCAATGAATCTCTGGCTGCAACCACATGGAGATAGTTTTGATTAGCTACTGTGGCTTTCTTTGTTTGAGTTCAGACAGCTTTTCTGATTACAATTGTGGAATCATTAATTTGTTTTAAAATTGAAAGTTAACCTTCCAAAGAAGCAAATGCCTCCGAGAACCAGTGAGAACAGAGTTGCACTCTCCCATCTACACAACTTTCAGGGAAAATAAGCACAGAAGCATAACACTCAAGATTGTCAATGTAAATACTGGGGTTTCCTTACATTGGAATGCCGAGGAAGTTTGTAAGTATGCCTGAAGACCGAGCAATGTAGGCCACGAGAAGAGTGTAATGTATGAGAATGTAGGACCAGCTACACAACAGAAAAGGCTTGTTTGTGAGTGAAAGAAACAGGGAGGGAAACTAAGGAAATAAAGTTCTCAAATGAGGATGATTACGAAGCAACTTGAACTCCAACAGATCCAAGAGTCCGCTTCGCCATTGAGACCTGTCCAAATATCAGGATAAAGCTGAGTTCTTTTTTAAGGCATCACTAAGAGATTAGAAGTATCGGTTTGAGGGGACATACAAGAGATACGCCACCAGAGCCTAGTTCGGACATGGTGTTGACATTAACTTCAGCAACCAGCAAACCTGTCACAACCTGAAGCCAACTTATGTTTCTAATGACCAATCTATTACTTGCAGAAGAAACATAACAGTAGAGATAAGAAGAACCATAAGTAATCACCATGAAAGCCCAACAGAGAATGCAGGCGACTGCAGAGGCCAGAAAGCCTGATTCTTGTGTCACGGCTGGAATCGCAAGTATCCCTGCACCTACCTAATCAAGAAAGGATATAGAATCAGCAGAAACTCACTTGAATCCTCCCACCGTTTCAATAATAATCTGGAGAGAGTTATGTGAAAAAAGACTTACGGTAGTGCCAGCAACCAAGAAAACCGCACTAGACAAACTTCCTGAAAAGTTCATCACTTCAAAAAACTTAGCCAAGATTTCATCCAAATTTGAGTATTCACATGCTGTTTATAGTCCTCGAATGGAAAACCAAAAGATACAACCACGTACCGGATTCTCGCTTCAATGTTGATCGATTAAGGTTAGAGAAGAGTCTCTCAAATTCGACAACCTTTACTTCTTCTTCTTCTGTTGTTACTTGTGTTTCTCTGCCTTCATCGGAGAGTCTCCGAGGTAAACACGTGAAGAATCTTGGGGTATGAGTTCTAAAGAACGGGTTTGATTTGAAACCAAAACGGGATGAGGAATTATGACATCTTTGTACATGAAAAGGCAGAACTCCACTGCGAATTATGAGCTTTTGTGGAACTGAAGCGGAGGGTAATCGAAGACAAGTGTTGCTTAGAGACACAGACATCTCTCTATGTTTATTTGATCTCGGTCTGTGTTGTCTGAGATCAGACACTGTGGTCAGTCGAGTCTTCTGGTTTTCTGCGAGTCCAGTTCAAAAGGTTGTGACTAGACTAGAGAGATTAGCATGTGTGGCTGTCTTATTTCTCCATTTTTATTTCTCTTTTAGATTTATAAAGCGACGCATTTATGCTTCCATTTGGTATTAGATTTTCGATTGCGTGCAAAACTCTTCTACTTTATTTTCAATTTAGGCTTAGTTAAAATAAATTAATATAATATAAAAAATTCAATCAAATTAATTTTTAATCAAATTTTAACATTTAAAATATAAATCTTTTGATTATGAGAAGATTTATCACCTTTTTTAGCACTTCGTAAATTTTCTTTTTGCGTCATTAACCCTTCCTAATTTAATATTTAAAATTTGAGTGCATAGATTTTGAGATAGAAAATAATCTCATAGTCCTTTTTCTCTTTTGTTTTTGGTTTTAGTTTTGGTTTTTGACTTTCTTTATCTACTATTGAATTAAAAAAAAAGAGAATTAGGGAAGAAAGTCCATTGCGGCTGATATGGGTCCGACAAGAACGGGTCAGAAACAGAGACTGGAAAAAAGAAAAAGATCCAAGGATTTTCCTCTTTCTTGTCGTCTTAGATGGAATCAACATATATATTTGTTAATTTGATTTTATCTTCTTATAACCTCCAGACTCCAGAGAGAACGGAAAAGAAGGCAGCTTTTAAAATTAGGGTTTATCTTCTCCCACTTTTCCCCCTTGACTTTGCGAACTGGTTCTCTTTTCTTGACAAAAAAACCATGAAGAAGAAGCTCCAAACACGTTTTCCAGCGGTATGACAAATTACTTTCCCTGTTTTAGTTTGTTTTGTTGAGTATTTTTTTCCCCACGAAGAGTGTGTTGTGAGTTGTGAGTGTAGCTATGTTGACTTTCGCTGTGATAACTGATAACAGGTTTTGTTCTTCACGGCTCCATGATCCTTGTCATCTTTAGGGTTTTGAAACTATGTGAATTCTGTTCAGGGCTAGATGTATAATAATAAACTGCTGAAATATCTTATTTAGGACTGAATATGAGATACCTATAGATGAAGCTCTTAAGTGTCTTGGATTGGATTTACGGAGTGTGATTAGTAATTTCTGTATAAGGTTGAGATGTTGTTGTGCTGTGGTGGATTTCCTAAGGATCTTTCTAACTTAATTTGAACCTCAAATCTTTGTTTCAGACAAGGATAAAGAAGATTATGCAAATGGATGAGGATGTCGGGAAAATTGCAATGGCGGTGCCTCTTCTTGTTTGTAAGCCCTGCTTTTTATTCTCTTTACGCTCTTCTTTCATACAGCTTGTGTTTTACGATAGTTGAGTTGTTCTTGTTTGACTGCAAAATTTTACAGCTAAAGCTTTGGAGCTATTCTTACAAGACTTGTGTAATCACACATATGATGTAACTCTCAGCCGAGGCGCCAAAACAGTAAACTCTGTTCATTTGTAAGTGTGAATCACATCTTTGGCTTTGCTTATAAAACCAATTGTTTGCTTTCTTCCTCAAACCTTTTTTTTCGTTTTATTCTGTTTCCAGGAAGCAGTGTGTGCATGCGTTGAACCTCTTTGATTTTCTAAGAGAGACTGTTGGTAAAGTTCCTGATTTGGGTGGCTCAGAAACTGAAGACCGCCCTGCTACCAAAAGAAGGTTAAGCACTATTCTATGTCAGAAAGCAAGCAACCAAAATTTTGTATCGGTTTCATTGTTTTTTTAACATTTAGTTTTAATCTTCGACTGTTCAGGAAAGTTGTCGATGAAAGTAGTTGCAACGATGAAGATATAAAGACCACTCAAATGGTAACTATCCGGACTTACTTTGCCAATGAAAGGTTGTATATGTGGCTTAATGCTTTTTCTTTTTCTCCGTCTTGTAACAGCATGAGGTCAAACATAGTGGCGGTAACAGAGGAAGGCGGGGTCGAGGCCTGGGACGGGGAGGTGGAAGAACGGGAACTGGCCTTTCGCTGAAGTTTGAAGACGAGTTAGAAGATGGTTATCCCGAAAGCAGCAGGAGCCAGTCTCCGGAAAACGGGAGCCTTTGTCATGATGATGATGATGCATCTTGGAAGAAAGCTGTGGCACACAAGAAGAACTACCACAGTAGCTCAGAGTCAAAAGTAAGGAACTTCGACCTGAATGTGGAGCTGGATGAGAACGGAGACTCTGCTACATCGCTGGAAAGACGGCTAGTGGGAAGAATCGATTGGCCGTTGTTTGGTATCAACGAAATGAAAACAGATGATGATGAACAAGATGGTAGTGGTAATGAGGAAGATTATGATGAAGAAAGCATTGATAAAGACTGAAAAGCTTAAGATTAGGTGAGAAACAAGTTAGTTAGGAAATGACACACTTCATATATATGTAGAAGTAAGTGTGTGTAGGAGATTTGCTTCACCTTCTCTTTTATGTAATTTGAGTCTTTTTGCTTTTCCAGCTCAATCATCTATTGAAACCTCCAAGCAAGCTTTACACACCTTAATCAAACTGATATTACTAGTGCTGCCATGCCATTACAGATAATTAGTCCCTTTTTTGGCGGTTTTAAGTGAGCATGTCATATTTTAATAAACAAAAATCTGGTTTAATCTCGTAATGGTTTAATTGAATTAAGATATGATAACCCAAGATAACCGAACAACCGTCGGATCCACAAGGAATAAACGTGAGCGTCGTACCGTTCTCAAAATCAAAACCCCAGAAAGAAAAAGAAAAAAAGCGAAACCTCTCCTCCTCCTCCTCCTCTACTTACCTCTCTCCGTCAAATTTTAGCTTCAAAAATGGATTTCCAGGTTGTGGTTCTCGCCGGCGGCTTCTCCAATAATCTTGTGCCATTAGTCTCCAAGGTCGCTTTCTCTCTATCTATCTCTCTCTCCCTCGCTCATCTGCGTAACAGTCTTCTGCAGGACTAATAGCTAATTCCCCTTTTCTTCTTCCCAGGAAGTCCCTAAGGCGCTGCTCCCCGTAGCCAATCGTCCGGTTCTATCTTACGTTCTCGATCTGCTCGAGAGTAGTAATCTCAAGGATCTGATCGTCGTACGCCTTATATCTTTCTTTCAGATTGCTGATTACTTTTCCGAATTTGAATGTTTTTGTATGGATTTTATTGGGAACTTAGATTTTCGCTTCGGTATTGCTGGACAGGTTGTTGAAGGAGAAGATGCCGCTCTTAAAGTTGGTGGATGGATATCTTCTGCTTGTGTTGATCGTTTACATGTTGAGGTATTTTTTTATATTCGGGTTTAGAAATGGAGGCTATTGCTTCATATGTAGTTCCAATGCAATGCAACTGGTGCTTCACATAGAATATCAAGCAAGTCATAGCTATGAACTACGGCTTTTAAAACTTTACGCTTTTGTATTCTAGGAGGTTAACTTGTTCTTAGAATTTCCGAATTTTAGGCATCATTGCAAGAATCTAGTGGTCCTAGAATTTCCAAGTACAGTAACATTAGGAACCATTTGAATTTTTTTTTGATTAGAGCTATCTTGTTGCCAATCGTTCGTAGATTTTTTCACTGTGGAAGGCCTTTCGCATATTTTGATGGATTTGACAAACTGAGAAGTTACTCAATGTTCTGCTGGATTACTTACTTTAGGTTGCTGCTGTTGCTGAGAATGTGGGAACCGCTGGAGCCCTCAGGGCAATTGCACACCACTTAACTGCTAAAGACATTTTGGTTAGCTACAATTAAGCCGTCTCTTAGCTTATGCCATCCCCTGTGTAACATTTGAGCCTCTAGCTAACTGGTAATTTGCCTTGAGGCAGATCGTAAGTGGAGACATTGTTTCTGATGTTTCACCTGGCGCTGTCGCTGCCACTCATAGAAGGCATGATGCATCAGTAACTGCAATGCTTTGTGCTGAACCTGTCAGTGGGCCATCAGAATCGGGTGTGGCTAGTGGGAAAGATAAAACCAAAAAACCTGCTTGCTACGATATCATAGGGCTTGATTCCTCAAGGCGGTTCTTGTTACACATAGCCACAGGTCCTACTTTGAATTCTCCTTTTTGTTTCTTAGAGGCAACAAAATGCTTGAAACTGTTGTTGGTTTACCTTCTGAAATTATGATAGGGGCTGAGATTAAGAAAGATACCCGGTTAAAAAAGAGCATTCTCTGTGCGGCTGGCAAGGTAATGTTCTCTAGTTGTAAGCTTTTTAATGACCTACCAACCATGCAGTTTGTCTTCTGACTGTATGATGAGTTCATATGTTAATAAAATGCTCGTACAGTTTCTCATCATTTTGTCATTTTCTATCTAGATGGAGATTCGATCAGATCTCATGGACTCTCATATATATGCCTTCAAGAGGTTGGTGAGATCTGCTTTCCTGCTAACGAATTAGTTTTATCCTTGGACGCTAAACATGCTGTTTTGTCTTACAGATCAGTCCTTCAGGAAGTTTTGGATCAAAAACCTGCTTTTCGGAGCCTAAAACAGGATGTACTCCCATATCTTGTTCGTACGCAGCTGGTTAGTTGGAGAAGGTCATTGCAAATTAGGTTATACCAGTTGTTCTATCACCATTTTGATATTTTGTCCCTTGACTATCAGAGATCAGATGTCTTCTCGGACGAAAAAACTGTAGAAGAAAATGGAAACGGAAATGGAAAGAATAATATGCAGAACAACGAGGTGGTTTTGTCTCAAATCCTGTCCAATGCATCTTTGCCAAGCTTTCATCAAGTGTACGAATCAGGACTGAATAGCCGAAAAACCCATAAATGCTGTGTTTATATAGCGGATGAAAGTAAATATTGTGTCCGCTTGAATAGCATTCAAGCTTTCATGGACGTAAATAGAGATGTAAGTTGTTTGCTCATAACACATGGATTCCTTCTATAGTATATTTTCTTTCTTTCTCAGTTGACATCTCGAGCTCTGCGGTTGTTCAAACTTGTGTAGGTTATTGGTGACGCAAACCACCTATCTGGATACTCATTCTCTGCTCACCACAACATTGTTCACCCATCAGCTGAGCTTGGATCAAAAACCACAGTAGGTCCTCCGATATGTGTAGATATAAGGCATTTGCTCCGATCATCAATAACAATTTTGTGGGGTTGCAGGTTGGACCTCATTGTATGCTTGGAGAAGGCTCTCAAGTCGGTGATAAATGCAGTGTCAAAAGGTCTGTAATTGGCAGACATTGCCGGATAGGCTCCAATGTGAAGGTAACAAAAAGAGCTGTTTTTACTCAAACCAGCTATAAATAAAGGTGGTGTACATGTCGAAAAACGCACTCAGCTGTTTTGTATGTATGTGGGTGCAGGTGGTTAACTCAGTTGTGATGGACCATGCCACAATTGGAGACGGATGTTCGATACAAGGATCAGTCATTTGCTGCAACGCACAGCTTCAAGAGCGTGTTGCTCTGAGAGACTGCCAAGTACGTTGCGCTCCCTTGAGTATTTATAATTCGCAAATACACACTAAGAGTGTCCCATACAAATCAATGCCTTAACGGATTCCGCAATCAAAACATCAATGTTTGTTTATAGGTGGAAGCAGGCTATGTAGTTTGTGCCGGGAGTGAGCACAAGGGAGAGACCTTCGCCAGAAAATGATAAAGCTTTTCTTAGTCATTCGTTCGGTGAACAAAGCAGTGAGGAGAAGAGTGAGAAGGTCTGGAAAGTTCCCCACCAGGGTTTTTGTTGATTAAGAGTTTGAGATTTTCCATTTACTATTGCTGATAGGGTTTGTGATCTTTTGTTATATTCTCTGACAGACCTTTTGCCCCGTACCGTTTGGTTTAGTTCTACTATGAAATTTTGTACCGGAATCAGAAAATTTGTTGTCAAAGACTCGGAAATTGAAAGACTTTCCTGTAAGATACATAATTTCTTTTTGGTAGTTTCCAATAGAGACGATTACACCAAGAAGAAAAACATGACTGAAAATCATTTTGTATCTGATAACCTTCACAATAAGCTTCGAATCTGCTGTAAAAAAAAAGAGAATACACATCCAACTCTATGAGAAAAAAAACTTGTGAGTTAATTTTGTTTCTTTTAACGCAACACCAAAGAACAAACTGTGTTTCTTCCGAGCAAACTTTCGTTGCTTCACTTCCCCCCGCTATGTAATTTTTATTATTATAAACCTACAAAACCCAAAAACCAAATACTTTATCTTATATGAGCCAAAATTACATCAGAAACATAGCCAAACACTCTGTCATTCTCCCATGTTTCTATGCCAGATGAGCAGACAGCATTCAATACAAGTACTGACTCACTTAAACAACAATATCTAGTGATGGTACTGAGATGAAAAGATGAGTCTAGTGACCTAGAATGCAGAAACTTTAAACAGAGAACACAATGACACTCACCTAAAAAAGTCATCAATGAGTCAAAGTAGCTTGCTTCTAAACCTCTCCTTGAGTGTGTGTGTACAATACAAAAATGAAAGTGTCCACCGCTTCAGCCCCCAACCTTTACCGCGCCCATCCCATCAACCTTTGAGCTCTTATGCTGCAAAAAGTTGATTATAGGGACGACCGAAATCATAATTTGCTACTACTCTAACACCACTGTGCGAGCTAACAGAAACTTTCAAATTCAGCTTCACTAACAAGGAGATGCCTGCGTCGCCATTACTATATTACCTTATTCTTTTTATGCCTCTGGACGTCATCAAGATCATCATCCCCATTGTGTTTCCTTTTCTGAAAGTTTAGTGATATCGCACACCATGTAAATTCTATAGAATTTGAGAATCCAAAATATTAACTAGACAAGCCTAGACCTGCTAAATTTCATGAAAAGAGACCAACAATGGACACAGTCAATCACCAAACCATTAAGCTATTTTCTAGGAAAGAAAGACATTAACAAGAGCAGACGGTTCTGTTACCTTATCGTGGTGTCCACTTTTTTCCTTCTTTTTGTCGCGATCCTTGTCTTTATCCTTATCTTTGCTCCTATCTTTATGTCTGTGCTTGTGCTTCTTATGCTCCCTATCTTTCTCCTTGTTCCTGTCCTTGTGTTTTCTATGCTTCCTGTCTCTATCTTTTGACTCACTTTTCGATTTCGACGCAATGGTAAGTGCTCCCTTCTCTGCCTGTAAGAAGAAACACGAGATATATCAGTCTATAAAAGAATTAGATGTCTACATTCATGTGAAAGATTAAAAAAGAAGTTAAATCCAGATAGAAAGAGCAAAATCTCACTGGAGGCAACTCAACAGGAGCTGTATCATTAAGATCGAAAGCCTCCTTGAGTTCATCTAGAACAAAAGGTTGGATGCGAGCATTTGTATCTCGGTCCAGTGATGCATTAGGAATAAGCTGATCCAGCTGCATCCCTTCTCCCTTTCTAATCTCCGTGTCTCCCACCACATTGTGAAGATAATGAGCATCTGAAAGTGACTCCGGGAGTGATCTCTTGCAAAAGAATTCATGGTGTGGCAACAACTTGTGTTGAGTTATAAGATCTCGTGCACCGCCCAATTCTCTTGGACCTGCACTTAGAAACCAGCAGCTCAACGGACCCAATATCACAAACTTAACTATGCAGAAAAATTGTGCTCATAAGGTGATAAGAATAGTAATCACACGAGGCAGGAATATGCTAGACGGCAACAAAACATGAATTTGAATTAAAAACTTGAGAATATAACCAAGCTAGAACAAAAATTTACCTCCAAATTTGACGCTCTCTGATTCCATATCTTTATTGCACAGCGAATTGCTAAACCAAGATCAACTGCAGTTTGTAGCCAAAAAATAAAGAAGAAGCAAATGGTCAGGAAACAATTGGATGTGAAGGAACAATCAAACACACAGAAAAGTGAGAAAACATCTCCTAAATCAGAAAATCGGTTAATATAAACTTATTTGAATCCAAGCAAGTGAAATTTAACACTAAAAACTAAATGTATCTGGCTTGGTATAATGCTTTAAGGTCCCTAATTATTATTCTCCTATAAATCCTGAAATCCTCACATTCCGAGCTAAAAGTGATGAACATAGCTCCGGAGATAAAACTCACATATATAGAAAAGTCATTTATTCACAGCAATGATGCTATTTAAATTTCATATAGTCAACAAGAACACTTCATGGGAGGAGATGACTGAGGATTGGAATTTGAAAAACCAAACAATCCAAAGCTCAACAAGAAATCACAACTCAAGATACCACTGCGAGAGAAAAAAGAGATACAGAAGCAAAGATCAGCCACTGCCATACGCGTTTCACAAAGCAGATCTCACACCGCAAGCTCGCTACCGCCCAGATATAGAAACCCTAATCAGCAAAATTTGGAAAACTGGGTAGCTCTTTGGACTGCGATTTCCCGCGTGAATTTGTTTGGCAGTGAGACTGACGCGGGAAGGAAGTAATCTAGGGTTTGAGAAGGATAGGCTTCCTTCAAACAATGAATCACGATTTCTTCTTCCTCCTCCTTTTCTCCCCGACGCTTCAGCAAAATTGATTTCTCTTTTGTTATCCGAAGTTTGCGCGTGGGATTCAAGCGCCTCACCATGCGTTGACCTACAGACGATTGGATTTGGAGGTCCGAATACAAAATCAGATTTATCCGATCCAAACTCCCAAATCTAAATCCGGTTAAGAAATTAAGATAACCACGTTCGATCAAAATAAGCAAAATCTCCGATATACACAGAAGTTTTAAGGGACAAACCGACTAAAATAGGTAAACCAAAATACATATGATAAACCGGACCGACAGGAATATTCTTTTTTTGTCGGTTTGTCTATTAGAGAGAATTTGGTTATCAAAAAGAATATTCCTGTTTATCATATGTATCAAATGACTCTTGAAAAAACCTTAAAAGAAAAAATATAATTTAGAGGAAAATTCTTTCTAATTCATCTCAATTTTTTATTTTAAAATAAAGAATGCTATTTTTTTTCTATATTTAGAGGAATTATATTTTTTCCTCTATAATATAGATTAACTTTTATATTTGTAAAGTTGTCATTCAATTTTTAAATTTTTTTATTTTTATTTTCAAAATAAATATAAAAATTTAATTAACTGTTTATATTACTTATTTTTATATATTTAGTAAACAATCATCTATCCAATGTATAATAAGACTAAATATATAATATAAAATTTTGAAAATATATAATTTGATTAAATATGAACTTTGTTTTATTCAAATTTAGTTGTAGGTAATTTTATAAATTAAAAATATATTATATTTTATATGTAATGTGATGTTTTTATAATAAATATTTAATTTTAATATTATTATAATTTTATAAAAGTTTTTGTAGAAAATAAAATAAATGAGTTTAATTTATGAATTTTAGAAACAAAAGGTGTTACTAATAAATTAAAAAAGAAATATTCTTTTTTTAGAGGAAAAAATAGAGGAACACATTGGAGAGAGATTCACCTCTATCTTAAAATTTCTCTATTTTAAAAAGAAAATTAGCAATGTACATTAGAAATGATCTCAGAACTCTAAAAAACTGAGTCAATCTCTATCATTCCTCCTCTCCAGAAATCAGAAACCTCTTCCAAGATAACCTAAATGTCATTGTTTTACAAAATCATGTAAACATTTTTATTTTTTTTACTAAATCATGTAAAAAAATTTACATTCAAAATGCCCATACAATATTCGCGGACGATAGTTTCACCAGTAGAAGCTATCTTAATTAGATCAGTAATGAAGTTTGTCCCCTTTGCCGCTCATTCATGCTTCAGCATCTGTGCTATACCAGCAGATTAAATCTTAGTAAAATTAGCGCAATAGGTACCAAAAGCAAATAAACTAATATTATTAAGAGAATACCTAAGCTCTAAACACGTAGAATCAAATTCTGTCATTTTATTTGAGATAGAGATATATTCACTATTTTTAAATTTTCAATTGAATAAAGATTTAAAAAAAAAATCTAAGAAAAAGTTGATTTTTATAGATATTCTTTTAGTTAAATTAATTTTGTCATTTCATAAGAATTTTTTTAAAGCCTCCTCTTAAGATATTTTTCCAAATTTTCACATTTTGTGCAGAAAGTTTAAACTTGTTCAGCAGCAAAAGTATAAACATAACTATAGAGAATAAAAATTGAACTTAGATTTTAAGATTTTTATACCTTAATATGAAAATCCACACCAGTGAAAACACATAAAAACCAAATAACAAAAAAGTTGAAAGCATGTCTCCAAGTTTCCCAATACCCACTTCTTTAGTGAGTCTTTTAACACTATCTGCTATAGAAAATGATATAATAGTCTCAACACTTTCTGCGGTGTATGCATATTTTTTCTGGATTCCGACTACCTACATTTTCGAGTCTCCTATGGTAATATGTTGAATATAAGATGAGATTGATGTTTATTGGTACCACAATGATGTTCTCTGATATATGTTTGGTTATTGTTTACTTTTAGATTAAACAGATTTGCATAGAATACTAGAACTCGATGTTTTGCCCTAGCCAGCGTATAAACCAATGAGGTCAAGTATTCTATGCAAACCTGTTTAATCCACAAGCAGACAATACTGTCATTATACATACATATGTACTATAATGAGAGTGTCCACAGCTTCAGCCTCCAACCTTTACCTTGCCCATCTCATCAACCTTTGAGCTCTTTTGCTGCAAAAAGCTCAGTATATGGAAATAAAATTTGCTACTTAACTACTACGCTTAACACCACTGTGGGAGCAAACAGAAACTTTCAAATTCAGCTTCACTAACAAGGAGATGCCTGCATCGCCATTACTACTATTTTACCTTAATCTTTTTATGCCTCTGAACGTCATCAAGATCACCATCCCCAATGTGTTTCCTTTTCTGAAAGTTTAGTGATATCACACACCATGTAAATTCTATAGAGTTTGAGAATCCAAAATATTAATAACTAGACAAGCCTAGACCTGCTAGATTTCATGAAAAGAGACCAACAATGGACAGTCAATCACCAACAACATTTACGCGCTAATATCTAGGAAAGAAGAGACATTAACAAGAGCAGACGATTCTCTTACCTTATCGTATTATGAATTACAATACTTGTGTTTTAATTATGTGTTTGTCGTTTACATTTGATTAACTTTAGTGGATAATTTTTCCTAATCTTTTTAGTTCTCATTTCCTTATTATTCTTCAAGTGCATGCCACAATAACCAGGACAAAAATATCTAATGTGAATGAAGTTATACACCTATGTACTTGCAAATTTTGACATAAAATTAAAAATAATGCTCAGAAGCACAATATGTATGATTTGATTAGTGTTATCTTGCTCTCATATCGTGTAGGCAGAACTCAAAATGTATACAACAAGTAACAACCAGGAGTATCTTAACAGATGTGATGATCCAACATAGATTACAGAAACGTTACACTAGTGTCTTTACACACACCGATACATATATCTTTTTGCTACATCACTGGTGAGAGAAAAGATTGCGAGTTTGTGAAACAAGGCCCTAATTAGGCCTGATACAACAATTAATGTAGGTCAAGATCCTCTTCTTCTTCTGCATGGTAATTGCATTAGTAATGTAAGAGAGACTAATACTCTACATATCTAGGTTTTATAGTATTATGAAGGAGAGACAACATGCATGATACCTAATAGCACATTCGTTCGATTTACGATTATGGACCATGTGTGAATGAATGAGCTAATTATGCAATTTATGCTACGGTGATCGATTGTTCGAACAAGAGAGTCCTTCCATAGCTATGGAAACAAGCTGCAACTCATAAGTTTCACATAACAGTTCAATTTTATCTATGAGTTGAGAAAGAAATGGAATAGCAAATTCTTGTATGGACGCAAAAACACAAAACTAAATCAGTATTGTCATACCACCTTGTGATGATCCATGCGCGTTGACTAAGGGGAAAAGGATCATCACAAGGTGCTGATTATATATGAACCAAAGAATCCATAGAGAGAGAGAGGGAAAGAGAGATTACCATGACAGGGTCATCGTCTTGGGATTGGAGGCGATGGTGAAGTTGCTGGTGGTGGTGACGAGTGCTTGCCATGAGTTCTTGTTCGCTTCCCAAGCTAGAATGTCTCAAACCAGCTTTGTTCTGCTTCCTGTTAGCGCGAGCTTTGGAGAACACAACCGAGTAGTTTGTTGCGTCTGGTCCGTTTTGGTCCCACCCTCCGAACTGTGGGACTGGAGTCCATCCAGCATTCTGCATAGCCATTCACTAAACCTCGTCAGATTAACATTTTTAGAGTTTGCTTAGGGACCAAACATTAAGATAAAACACACAATTAATGAGGATGTTGAGCTTGCATCGGTTAATTTTCCCCATTCTACAAACGCGCATTAACCGATGGAAGCTCAACATATCGAGATTTCGCAAATCATTCATGATTTAAAGAAACAAGATGAAAAATAATTAGAGAGCAGCCATGCCTCCCTCCTATTTTCCATAAATAGATACTGCTTGGTTTAGAAGAAAGAGGTTCTTAAACATTGATGAAGGCGTTCATGACGAGGAGTAGGACAATCTCTGTTGAGAAGCCCCACTTTTGTTATATAGTAAAATGCTTGGGACTCACGATTCTATAGGAGCAGATTTAGGTTGTTTCTAAACTTGCGGATTTCAAGCAATGGTGTTCCGTTTTATGCGGGAGGTGTGTGACCTTTTTTTTGCTTATTATTAACATCAACTCTGTTTTATCCTTCTGGGAAAAGGCTGTTATGTTAGGTCACGAAGACGATACAGAAAATCGTTAGAAAATGGAATATTGCAATCTGAGTCTTTTTGGGCAAGCAACCTCAGCCATCTGCCCAATCTCTGCTGTGCTCGTTTGGACTTTCTTGATTGGTGTGTGCATGTTCATCAAGGCACCTGAACTGTCTCGACAGGTTCTGAAATAAAATGCAAGAAGGTATGTACACGCATGAACCTCTACGCCATAGCCAGAATATCTAATATTGGAATCGCTAGAGTGAGCTTTTTTTTTTTACTTACAAACATCAGAGAGGAAAAACACAGAAGCATCCTTTATGAGCAATCTCCATTCCTCAAGCGTCGGTACAGATCTAAGTAACCAGATGATTCTGGTGTGATGAACCTGCATTGACAAAGTGGAACATAATATTTCAGAAATCATCATTTGCATAACGAATGCTATGAAAAGGGAAAAGAGATCAGAGTCAAGATAGTACCCGTGCCGAAACAAGAAGTCAATAATGACAAGGGAACAGTTGGCCTTGAAAAAACTAGTCTTCCGAATCACGTTAGCAACTTCGGCTACTGGAATCAACTTGAAGCTCTCAACTTCTCCATCTGCAATTGTAATTTGCACAACAATGCTATGAAAAGAGAGCATGTCTCTCCCAAAAAAACAATTCAGGATTCCTCATATGACTCACTAGTGATTGCCTAACCTTGATTTTTGGGAACAAAATCTTCAGGGAGTTCCAAATCATAACAAAACAGCACATCACGTTTGAAACAGTAATGATCAATGTCCATGTACGAAACAGCACCAACTGCTATCGCCCTTTGATAAAATAAAATAAAATGCAATCAACAGAGAGCTATATTAGCTATACATACTACTTTGTAAAAGACTGAGGAAAATGATATACCTATCAGCAATGAATTTGGAAATCCCAGCTTCCTCTTCGCATTCCTTTACTAGATTCTCACCGCAGCTAATCCCGTGAGGCTATGGTTTCCAAGGAAACGTGCAATTCGATTCCCTCAAATGAGAATTATAATCACTAGTGTATACTTTCTTCATCATGGTGATTTAATTTCATCAGCAGCAGATAACCATGTATAAGTATAAGACTTATCTTACCAATCCTCCAGCAACCAGATGATCAAGCATTCCTGGATAAGTGGATTTTGCGAGGCTTCTCTTACCTATCCATAGAAACTTTTGTCCATCTCTTTCTACATAACCATTCATGTGAACTCCGTAACCCTATATATCAGACAACAAGAGAGCCATGTGAACATTTTGATCAAAAACATGTAGAAAGCATAGTTCATACCATCACTCCCGTAAGGCACGCAAAGCAAAAACCAGGAAAAGAACACAATACACATGTATAGATGGCAAAGCATCTAAATTTTTGTGTTCATGGCTACAAGATGACACTAGTCAGTGCAGTATGGTTTTACCTTTATTCCGAAATAAGGAGCAGCAGCACGCTCTAGCGAGAAATAGACAGGAGCATTAAACGACGGTTTCACAGGATACAGCTGGTAAAAAAAAGGAAAAAAGATCAACAAAGTGAAGAATTCTAGAATCATAGAACTTAAATCAAACATGATTGGAAAATGGAGATCAAAGATCAAAACATGGACATATACCTCATTTCGTATTCCTGGAATGATTCCTTTGTCACCCAAGATTTTGATAGCATCAGCTACTGCTCTGGTTCTATCTTCAGGCTTTTCAAACATCAGATTAAGCGTTACATGGTCACCAACGCAAACATTTTGTGAAAACGTAAAGATATCACGAAAGTCCCTCAAGTACTCCGTAAATCTGTTCTAAATCAATGTATAGACAAAACATTTTGAGCGCATTAGAATTCAAGTTTTCTGCCAAAACTAGTTTGTGTGAATGCATTAATGGAATCACAGAAGCGTACAACCACAACTCAGATTTCAGAATCACAGAAGCAGCAGAGAAAATAGCCTTACCCCTTATGAATATAACCAACGACTCGTTCCTCTATAACAAATGGAATGAACTCAGCAAACTTCTCCTGAAAAGTATGGCAAACAAACAAACAAACAAAAAATCAAACTTTTCATAAAGAAGAGAGAAAAAAGCTAACATTTTTATTCCGTTTCAGCTTTCCTTCGTCAATTTCACTCTCCTAAGAACCAAAACCCCTGAAACCACAAGAATCAATCATTCAATTGAGTAGACTTACTGATCCGCGATTGCAGCGGTCGACTTTCTCGAGAAATCCGGTGAGATCAGAGGAGTTGTCAGGCGCATACTCCTCGCGACCGATCTCGACGACGTCGTCCCACGTGAAGGAGGAGGAGGAGGAGCTTATCGGAACAGTAGCAGCTGATAAAGCGCGGGAAATACGCAGCGAACTCGGACGCCACCGTAGAGTGGGTGCAAGCGCGTGGGACGAGAACAAGGAGCTGAGAGTGGGACGCAGTGAGCAAAACCCAGATGCCATTTTCGATGGGGAGACACAAAGTCTCTTCTACTTTGGGAATGCAAGCGTTATAGATATCGAAATGTTTACAAAAAAAAATCAGAATCTAGTGTACATGAATTGAATTGAAATGCTTGACGATGCTAAATTGCGAATCACTTACGAGCGCAAGACGAAGAAAGACTTAATTACTTAGTGATTCTAGGATTTACCACTAATTAGTTTGGAAGGAGCTTAAAAATTTATGTTCTAAACCATTTTACTGTGATTAATTTCAAACAAGTCTAATATTGTAACCATGTGTAATTGTCCCTAAGTGTAATTGTCCGTAAACATGTCTAATGTGAACGAGATCAAGCATCAAACCCGTAATACATGTGCTAATACCCAAAAAAACTACAATATTGGATAAGCTTTTATGATTACAACCATTCAATGAAATAATATTAGTACATAACAATATTAATGATTGATTTCAAACGCATATAACCGTAATTATATGGAGATATGAAAATTGCGGCAGAAACAATAATTGAGAGAGTGATATATCATATACTAAGTATGTTGATATTTTGAGAAAGTTTGGAGGCAGAAACAACAATAGAGAGAGAGAGAGAGAGATTATAGTTTGGTGGTGAGTCTTGTGACCGTGTGAGACTGTCTTTTGCAATGTGTTATCCGCTGATTCCACGATAGAGGAGGAAACGAAAAAAAAAAGAGAGAGAGAGAGAGATCCCCTTTGCTCACTTAGAAAGAAGAGCGAGAAAGAGGGAGACTTTGACTCTTCTCCTTCTTCTCATTTTCTCTCTGTCACTTTATTTCCTTATTGCTTCCGCCGATTCATTATCTCTCTCCGGTTAAGGTCTCAGGTCTGTGTTTCCCTCTCTATGAAAGCGTCGATTTTTTTTTTGTTTCTTTCCCACCTGATTTCCTCTGCTAGGGTTTACTTATCTGCTTTTCGAATTATAGGGTTCTTAATTTCGTATGTTTTGTGTGGTAGATGCCGCATTTTTGTTCTCGATCATTTGTTTTGTCTGTTTCCCTTAAATCAAATCTGGTTTTTTCCTGTAATATGCTTCCTGGGATTAGTGAGAGAGTCTTTCATTCCTAAATTTGGAATTTTTTTGAATTGATTACTGATAAAGTTTAAAGCTTTCTTGATTGGGAAAATGGAACCCGCGCTTGACACGTTCGCGTCGTGAGTCATTTCAGTTTGTTGATGAAAATCTCAGGACTTGCCCTGATTTGATTATATATGGGAAACTGTTGTGCGAGCCCTGGTCCGGAAGCTGGGAGTAAAAATGGGAAACCAAAGACCAAAAGCAACCCGTTTTACAGCGAGGCGTACACTACGACGAATAGATCTGGAGCTGGCTTCAAGCTCTCTGTTTTGAAAGATCCAACAGGACATGATATATCTCTTATGTATGATCTGGGCCGTGAGGTTGGCCGCGGAGAGTTTGGTATCACGTACTTGTGCACTGATATCAAAACTGGCGACAAGTATGCGTGCAAGTCCATATCGAAGAAGAAGCTTAGAACAGCAGTGGATATAGAGGATGTTAGGAGGGAAGTTGAGATCATGAGGCATATGCCTAAGCACCCGAACATCGTCTCGCTCAAGGATGCCTTTGAGGACGATGATGCGGTTCATATTGTGATGGAGTTGTGTGAAGGAGGTGAGCTGTTTGATCGGATTGTTGCAAGAGGTCATTATACTGAACGAGCCGCTGCTGCAGTGATGAAGACCATCCTTGAAGTCGTTCAGGTTCGTAGTCCTTTTCTTCTTTCTGTTCTACTCTTTAATTTTCTAGCTATTCCATTATATCTACCGGAAAGTTCCTTGTTCGTCTTCACGCAGTGGCTTAAGTTTCCTTCGTTTGTCTTAATGCAGTGGCTTTCCCTGACAGTGTAATGTTTGTAATGATTCTTACTTCTGCCTTTATGATTTGAACACCTTTTTGGTATTGCAGATATGCCATAAGAATGGAGTTATGCATCGGGATCTAAAGCCAGAGAACTTTCTCTTTGCAAATAAAAAGGAGACGTCACCCCTTAAAGCCATTGATTTTGGATTATCAGTCTTCTTTAAGCCTGGTATAGGTTATATAATATCCATTATATATCTGAGATTTTGATAGATATTATTCTGTTTACTCTACTTTGTTTTTTCGAATTTGTAACAGGTGAGGGATTCAACGAGATTGTTGGAAGTCCTTACTACATGGCACCAGAGGTACTTAGGCGACATTATGGACCTGAGGTTGATATCTGGAGTGCTGGAGTTATCCTTTATATCCTTCTATGTGGTGTCCCACCATTTTGGGCAGGTTTGTTATGATCTGTCTTATTTTCTTGATCTTCAACAGTGATTTTTTTTTATACGTATATGCAGCTGACGAGTCTTAGTTTCCATGGATGATTAGTAAGATTTAGTGCAGAACCACTAGTTTCCTCTGTGAATGATTTAGGATACTGACGTTATCTAATTACATTGTTTACAGATTCACTATTGATCTCTCTCGAAGTTTCAGTTACTTATTTTCTTTCCCTTTTTGAGTATCTTATCTTGAAATTGTTTATTTTTTTGTAAAGAGACTGAGCAAGGGGTGGCTCAGGCGATCATTAGGTCAGTCATCGACTTCAAGAGGGATCCATGGCCAAGAGTTTCTGACACTGCCAAAGACCTTGTGAGAAAGATGCTTGAACCTGACCCCAAAAAACGGCTTTCTGCTGCAGAAGTTCTCGGTATGTTTCTCTTTGGCTCTGGATTTCTACAATCTAGTACTTATGGTACTACTTATGGAACAAATATACTGTGACTTCTGTTTGCAGAACATTCTTGGATACAAAATGCAAAGAAGGCTCCAAATGTTTCACTCGGCGAGACTGTGAAAGCAAGGCTCAAACAGTTTTCTGTTATGAACAAGCTCAAGAAGCGAGCGCTACGGGTAGTGATTCCGTTCAGCAGCATGGCCACTGCTTGATGACCTTATTTCTGTTTATTTAGAAGAAACTTTGTGTAACTTCTTTGCATTCATTTGCAGGTGATAGCCGAACACTTATCAGTGGAGGAAGTAGCTGGCATAAAGGAAGCGTTTGAGATGATGGATAGTAACCAGACGGGCAAGATAAACCTCGAGGAGCTTAAATATGGACTTCATAAACTCGGACAGCAGCAGATAGCTGATGCTGATCTACAGATTCTGATGGAAGCTGTAAGAAAATTATCCAAAATCTTTGAAATTTGTGTTTCCTGTGAAGTTTTATTCCTTCCACCAAGAAACAGATAAATGAAACCTTTTTTTTGTTTGTTTTCTGTTTGGTGTGCAGGCTGATGTAGATGGGGACGGGACTTTAAATTATGGCGAGTTTGTGGCTGTCTCTGTACATCTTAAGAAGATGGCAAACGACGAACACTTGCATAAGGCTTTTAGCTTTTTTGACCAGAACCAGAGCGATTACATAGAGATTGAGGAGCTGCGGCAGGCTTTAAATGATGAGGTTGATACTAGCAGTGAGGAAGTTATTGCAGCCATCATGCAAGACGTTGACACCGACAAGGTAATCCCAATATATGAGACTTTAAGAAATGGAAACTTGTCACAGTAAATGCATCTTAAAAATAGGGCTCACACAATAACCTTATGTGAACTATAATTATGGGACACCAGTGATTCAGTTTTTTAGCATAAGACTTTGGGTATGTTTGTCTATATCTCCTTCCCCGAAAGGCTATATATGCGAGTATTATAGGAGCTCACCATGTTAGTGAGTGACTGAGATGAGAATAAATAGAAGAGAATGATAAGATCCCACATGGCAAGGAGAGTGTAGTAAATATCACTAAGTGACTAAATACATAATTTGCTTTGCTGGATTTGTCTTTCCTCATCGAGAGAGAAAAGATAAGATTATAGGTTCGATCTGATCAGTATATCTCAGAAGTGTGCATCCTTAGTTCCTTAGTCTTGAATGGTTCTTTGGTGGCAAAGTTACAACAAGTCTTGTCTTGATCTTTTTTGCTTCTTGGTGATTAGGACGGACGCATTAGCTATGAAGAGTTCGTGGCGATGATGAAAGCTGGGACGGACTGGAGGAAAGCGTCGAGGCAGTATTCCCGGGAAAGATTCAACAGTTTGAGCCTCAAGTTAATGAGAGATGGTTCATTGCAGTTAGAAGGCGAGACCTGAGTAAGCATGGTCTGTCTTTCTAAAGCAGTGAAGAGGTTCAATTTCTGTATTTCTATAAAAAGTAAAAGGAAGTAAAGAAAAAAAGCAGTATTCTTTGAAAATTGTCATCTTTTGTTACTCCACAATAATTTGTAGATCAGGGTTTTCAAATGTTTTAGTTACCTGAATAGCCAGGCATGTACGATATGAAGATGTTCTTAAAAGTTTCTGACTTTTCATTTTTAATATTTTCTGGATGGATACTTGTTGGTAATTCAAAATAATTACAGGGAGATTGTTAAATGCCTTACAAATAGTGGTTTGCCGTACCAACTAATAAACCGATAAGATGGTTTACTGAAATTCAACAGAACCCGATTGTAGCTTATTCCTGTTACAAGAGAGCTTTCGTCTTAACCCATTTTACCTTTTTCTTTACGGTCCATGAGCAAAGCTGTGTCGTTTGAACATCATAACCTTTGCTCTCTTCTTCATTCGAACATCATAACCTTTGCTCTCTTCTCAAACTTGTTGTAGGGTGAAAATAAACCAAGCATGTATCTTAGAGAAAATAAAGCTATCACGAATATCATGTTTACAAACCCCAAAAAAATTCGTCCCATTATAAGCTTAGGCATTATCCTTTTAACTTTTGCAAAAAAGAAAAGGAAACATCTTATTTGATGGAATGGAACCAACCAACAACAGGTAAGGTACTAGAACATTACTACTCTTGTTTGAATATATTGACTCAAATGATTTCTCAGAAGTCAATAAAACCTTTCTCTCTCAAGGACTCGACGGTCTCCTTGATGCTAACCTTCAAGGGAATGTAGTCTATTCCAAGGCTCTTCGTTTTCTCATTTGACACTTGATACGTCGGTACGTAAGGATTCTCATCCGCACACCTGCGTGTGTAATAAAGACAAAAGCTTTCGAAAACCGGACATGACAAGGACAAGTTAAATAAAATCAAAAGATGTTTTCTTACCTTTCAGGTAGTTGGAGATTTGGGTAAAGCTCACGGATAGTATTAACGACTTCAGAGTGGTGAGCGACTTTCTCGACCATACAATGACGTCCGTTAGCAGAAGGGATCTCGAATGCTTGGATGTGCGCATTGGCTACATCTTTTACATTAACCCATCCGAAACTCGCGTTGGCGAAAGTCTTTGCACCTGCATAAACAAGACAGCGAAGTCGAAATGGGTTTCTCTAACATACATTTTTGACCAAAAACAGCTTTTAAAAATCATGAAGGAAGTGTGCAAGTTTTTGTGTTTTTTTACCATTTATAAAGTTTAGTATAGCAGCAGCACTGGTGTTGAGAGTTGGCTGTAGGAGAGGACCGATCACCATTGCCGGGTTAATAGTAACAATGTCTAAGCCTTTCTCTTTAGCGAATTTCCAAGCAGCATCTTCCGCCAATGTCTTCGATAGAACATACCACATCTGAATCCAATAACAATGTATAGAATCAAGCTTTCGACAAGTTCAGTGATTTCTAGTGCTAACATTTATAACAAAACTAGTCGATGATTGTAGATGAAGAACAAAACAGAGTTTGCTTTCTACAATTTGAAACACACCTTTGTGGACTCGCAAAGCTCAGGATCAGAGAACCAAGTTTCATCGACGGTTACATCAGGTGTACGTGGTTTTCCGTTGTAAGCAACGGCTGCCATGGAGGAGGTAACAACAACCCTTTTGACGGAAGATGATTTGGTGCACGAGTTCAAAACGTTAAGTGTCCCCTTGACAGCAGGATCAACAAGTTCAGCCTGAAAATGAGGGATTAACAAAAAAAGAAGAAGTAAATATCAATCAATCAATCCACACACAAAATGGTAAACAAGTTTTGACAGCAGGATCAATAAATTCAGCCTGAAAATGGGGATTAAAGGTAAAAGATCAATCAATCCACAAAAAAATGATAAATTAAAAAACCTGTGGGTCTTTGACATCATGATAAAATGGGGAGGCAGTGTGGAAAACTCCTTCACATCCATCAATAGCTGAGTCGAATGATCCTTCTTCTAACAGATCTGCTTTGAACAAGTGAAGTCTTTCCTTTGCACCTTCCAGAGAAACTAAGTGTTGTGTCTTCTTCGGATCGCCTAAGGGTGTGAATCACGAAATAATCAACAACAGAATTACAGTAAAAGCCAAAACTTTGATTTGTAACAAGCAGAGACAAGGAAATCAAGGGATCATTCCCAAAATAATTTTTGGTATACCCAAAGCTCAAAATCTTAGATGTAGCTTTGACTGACAAAAAAAACACGATCAAGAGAGAAAATCCACACTAATACAATATCAGGATCCATGTGAGCTAACTAGTAGAAGCCCAAATCTAATAAAATTCCAGTCATGCAGACATAATTCAAACTCAAGAAATAGTATATGTGAGAGAGATCAGAGAAGAGGGTGGGCACTGAACTGGGGTCTCGGACGGATGCCTTAACGGTGTAGCCACGGCTAAGGAGGAACTGAACGAGCCACGAGGCGATGTAACCAGAAGCTCCTGTTACACACACCACTTTACCTTCACCACTGTTTGCCATTTTCTCTCGATTTGTGTCTTGTCTCCTTCTTTGTCTATCTTTTTTGTTTCTCACTGTGGACGGACCAATGCACATATATTCCCCCTTTTTGAGTATATATATTAATTTCGGCTGATTTCTTTCCCTTTTATTACAAAGAGTACTAATTAAATTTGCCTTTTGTGTGTTCAGCAAATGGTTGGTTGGATTGGACCACACCACACATGTTAATGGAGAGTTGGTTGTCAAATTCAATTTGAGTTATCACAGATGCTTAAAGTCCACCGACCAACTCAGACAACTAAACCAATTTTCTTTGAAAGTTTTAACTGATTTATTTGAACAGAGAAATAAATAATTACAATGGTGGTTGTTGATGAACAGTATGAGACAACAACAAGGGTCACAACACTTTCTCGTCACACCTTATACAGTGGTGTGACGGGGATTTACCACAACATTAAAAAAGACTAGTTGTATGTACAGATGGTAGGTACTAAGTAATGGGAGTGGGTGGGAACTTTCTTAAGCGCGATTTACTTACAGAGAAGCGCATCCACACACCTCACTTCCTTCCCAACCTTACCAAATGAGCCTCGTGCTTTGCTGCTGAAGCTACTTCCGCTGCTTTGTTAGCAGCTTCCCGCTTCATCGCCCTCTTTGCACGTCTTCCTGTTGTGTTTGCACTCTTCACCTGCTTATCTTTAGGCTCACATGAGGATGACCCGGAGCTGGAACTGGAACTAGAACCACTGTGTTTCTGGACTGGCCTTGCTTCTTGACGCCCGGATCTCACAAAACCATTGTCACCCCATCTCCTGTTTCCTATGCGAAGTCTTGACCCGTGCATGTAAAACTCGTCAAGGTCAGCATCTTCATCCTCGTAGTCACAAGGAATGTCGAAATCATCATGGTAACCATAGCTGTATGATGCCTGTTCCACCACATCCAAAGGTTTAAACCATGAGGCTCTCAGGAGAAGGCACACACTCTCCTCAAACAGAAAGTCTTCAATGCTGCAGAGAAATTTAGTAGAACGCACAGAAAATTCCAAACTCAGTAGACATATTGTATATCCATCAAGTAAATGGTACAACAGTACGCAGTATGTAGATGAAGAAAGAAACTCACCTGCCATCAAGAGCCCGATGGACACTCAGAAAACCAAATGGATGCTTACATTGCGGGCATGTAGGACTCTCTTTGTAACTCGCCCAACGAAGTATGCATGTCACACTGAAAAAGATAGAAATGAATTACTCCTCTTCAAAACCAAAGGAGAAACTCAGTTTCTACAAAGGCATACAATCAAACACAAAACTGACAAAAAAAGCGATCAAGAGTTTACAGGTTAAACGTAAAACCAAGTTCCACAACTGAAAATTTACGAGAAGAAATCAATATGTTGATACTACCGACCAAAATTCTCAACTAATAAGAAAATAAATGAAACCCAACGTGATGTTCACAGCGTTTCACCATACCAGTAAGTATGTTCACAGCCTTTCACCATAGCAGTTTCTTGTAAAGGAATTTCATTCAAGCATATTGCACAACAGCCACCATGGTTCCCGAAACTTGGCTCATGGATCTCTTCCTGGATCTTCTTTTTGTCCTGAACAAGGTTCAAACAAAACTTTGAATTACCTCCAATACCCACGACATCATAAAAGCTATGTTTATATGTAAGAAACCTACGTCCTGTGAAATTTGGGAAAAGAAAACTACAACAAAAACATGGAAATCAGTAGCAAATTCAGCATCAGCACTCCACGTTGTTAAAAAAACAAAAGCCGTAAACTTGAAGAGCCCTAGTCGTTCAATCCGAAATCAAACGCACATTAAGGCACAAAACCAAAAAAATTTACACATTTCCACAAAGAACCAGAAGAATCATCGCGAATTTGAGAGTTGAAGACGGATCAAACGAGCTCCAATTCCGAAACAAGAGCAACAAAGCAAATATAAAAATCGATATTTTGATCTCGATACGCGCAGAAAAATCATATAAGGGTAATAGAAAAAACCTGATCTTGAAGAGCCATATCCTGAATACCGTCGGCCACTTGCTGCTCATACACGATCTCGGTAACGGAACTCATGGCGGCGAAAATAAATTGAAAATTGGAAATTCTCAGTGGCTACAAAAACGAATGATTGGGTAGTAGAGAAGAGAGATGTTCTTCCTTAATCAATTCGTGAAGAAGGAGAAGGAGAGAGAGAGTGGTGGGACAGAGAACCGAATCGAGAGACGGAGATGCGACGAGAATGATTCCGATACCTCAAGCATAACAAAGGACACTAGAGACAAAAGAAAGCTAACCTTCTTTCTCATCCAGAAGCTTTAACACCTACAGCAATTCATAACTTAATATCACGGGATATCAAAATGGATAAAACTGTGAATGTAATAATGTAATGAAGAAGAACTGATTGTAGCTAAAGTTATATTTCTATTTCTAATTTTTTAAATAATTCATCTCTTATTGATTGACACATCATCGAAAATACTGTTGTGAACTGCTCAGAGAATATATAAGAGATCAGTGATATTATTAGGTAAACACTGTTGTGAACTGCTCAGAGAATATATAAGAGATCAGTGATATTATTAGGTAAACAATCATATTATATGGACGTTAATTTCTCTATAGTAGATAATTTGCGCCATGATCAAACCTGACTATTTTGTATTTTTTGTTTCATTTCTTTTGTAATTATTAGATCGTAGGTTTTTAAAAGAATTTAAAGCAAAAAAGAAAGAAACCCCCCAAAAAAATATACATTATCACGAAAGTAATAATATTCGGAAAATCTTGCCGAAAAAAACAAATATACGCAAAAGCCTTTCACATACTAATTACGCAAACACACACAGATTAAACGGTGAAAAATGGAGGTAAATTTGTTGGCAGTGGGACAGTGAGTGGTATTATCCCGTAATTAAAGAGAGTAAAGCAGGGTATAATCTCTCTCGATTACTACTGACAGGGTTTTATCTAAATTATTCAATATTGGAAAGAAAAAAAAAGCAGGAAAAAAAAGTTTTTCTTTCTCTAGTCAGAATCTGCCTTTTGGTCTCTCTCTCTCTCTATCGCTCGCTATAAACTGCGTAGGAGATCAATTCCATGTCTATAGATTCTCTGCCTTTCAATTCCCTAATTCCTCTCGCGTTGAGCCCAGGAGCTTCATCAGCATCCACAGAACTCACATTTGCTTATATATTTTGATCGAGCGGCGCCTCTTTTTTTTTGTTGTTGTTCTACTGTTCCGATCGATTTTGAATCTATCCGAGCTGAAGAAGAAGCTGCTCTGCTTGGAGCTAATTTCGAGATCGAAGATTCACAGCTATGTGGAGAGGATTTCGTGATTGCACGACGTCTTTTCATTTTTCACATTTCAGCTCGACTAGTGTGAATTTCTTGGAGGTTTCGGCTCGACGGGTTCGATTCTGAGGAGCTTTGTTTATGTCGCGGAACGGTCGAATGGCTTCGGATCTTAGCAGAGCCGGTCCAGTTGCGAGGGATATTGAGCAGGTCTCTTTTTCCATTAGCGGCGTTGCTATGTACTCAATTTAGGTCTTGTTTATGATTCCACTGCTAAGATTAGGTTAGAAGTTCTACTGAATTGTTAGTTCTATTTGAATAATTGTGAATTCTAAGGTACGGTTGCAGTTTAGGCAAGAGCAGATTATCTTCTTAGGCGAGTCCTAAACTTGGAAATTAGGTTAGTGACGAGCTTTAGCTAAATACTGAAGTCTTGTTACACTTTTGGAGTCTCCAAGCTTGAGTCAAAGCTTATAAAACGAAGAAAATGCAATTCCGGGTTTTTATTTTATGATTTTAGCAGGTGCAGTTTCTTAAAATATAGTATTGATCATCTCTATTTAAGACTATAATCTTAGCGCTTGTTCACATTGTATGATTGATAATTTAGTGTGTCCACTGCTTCTTCCCTTCGTTTATTTCACTATGTTATACTCTATTTGTTTCTAAGCTGAAATCTCCCCTTGCCAATATATGTCACCTAATTTTAACGGAATTTTTTTCTTTAATCAATTTGCCTCAGGCTATCACTGCCCTCAAAAAGGGTGCTTATTTGCTTAAGTATGGAAGAAGGGGAAAGCCTAAGTTCTGTCCATTTCGACTTTCGAATGTAAGTCGTGTTAATTCTGTTTCCTTTTAATTCTGTGTAAAAAATCTGAGCAATTATCTTGCCGTTCTCATTTTTATCTGAGGATTCTTTTATGAGCCTATAGAGTCCTTTTGTTTTGTTATATTTCCTCTCTGCTGCTTGTTGTGTGCAGGGTCTCATTGTTTCGTGCCTAAGTAAATAATCTGTCCTGTAACTTTCAGGATGAATCTGTTTTAATATGGTTCTCGGGAAATGAAGAGAAACATTTGAAGCTAAGCCATGTTTCTAGGATTATATCTGGGCAGCGCACTGTAAGTTGACATCCGTGATCCGTGTATGATGTCATTTAATTCTCCCTCGAGCTGGCAATAAAATGTTTAGAATAAGATCATGAGACTAGTACTATCCTTTTTTCATTGCGTTTATATGGTTGGATCTCTTCTGCCTAGTAGGAGTATCTTCTTCTTGTTGTGTCTGAGTTTTACTGTCATTTTTGTGAGGCAGATTGTCCTCCTAATGTGATCTAAATTGTTTATGATTGTCCCAAGTGCTGCATGTTATGCACAAAGCTCTTTTCTTAGAGTCGTTTCTTCAACATAAACTCAAATGAACATCTGGTACTTATGCTATGCTTGATTGGATTGTCATTTGTTTCTTCATTTCTCTGTAACGAGGCAGGTCGGTCTTGATTTGATATTGCATCTTTCAATCATCATTTTCATGAGCTAATTCCTTAGTCGTAGGTTGCATATCTAGTGTGTTATTCTCATAAATCTTGCAATGGTGTTTCTCTTGCAGCCTATTTTTCAGAGATATCCACGCCCCGAGAAGGAATATCAATCGTTTTCACTAATATACAACGAGAGGTCATTGGATTTGGTGAGTTTTCTTATAGTATATACTTTTCTAGGTTCCGCAATGAAATTATTGTTCCATCATTAAAATGTCTGTTATTATTGAAAGTTCTTTAATTAGGTGTTCGAAATTGATTTCATAGATATGCAAGGATAAAGATGAGGCTGAAGTATGGTTTAGTGGTTTAAAAGCCTTAGTCGCTCGTTGTCATCAACGGAGATGGAGGACCGAATCAAGAAGTGATGGGACGCCATCCGAAGCTAATAGTCCGAGGACATATACCCGTAGAAGCTCCCCTTTACATTCTCCATTTAGCAGCAATGAAAGTTCCCAGAAGGTACTAGAATGAGATGTTCCATTTCATTTTGTGCATGTCTTAACTAAGGTAATTTTTTTGTTACCTTTTAGGATGGCTCTAATCATCATCGTCTTCACAGTCCATATGGTAGCCCACCTAAGAATGGCTTTGACAAGGCATTTTCAGACATGTCATTGTATGGACTTCCTCCAAAAGGATTTTTTCCCTCAGATCCGGCAGCTATTTCAGTTCACTCTTTGTCATCTGGAGGCGCTGAAACCTTACATGGTCACATGAAAGGTATGGGTATGGATGCTTTTAGAGTTAGTCTGTCAAGTGCTATTAGTTCTTCGAGCCATGGTTCTGGTCATGATGATGGAGATGCGCTGGGAGACGTTTTCATGTGGGGAGAAGGAATAGGCGAAGGTATTTTGGGTGGTGGAAACCATAGAGTTGGAAGTTCGTTGGAGATTAAAATGGATTCCCTGTTGCCAAAAGCTTTAGAATCTACTATAGTGCTTGATGTCCAGAATATCGCTTGTGGTGGACATCATGCTGTTCTTGTGACAAAACAAGGAGAAAGTTTTTCTTGGGGAGAGGAATCAGAGGGCAGGCTTGGCCATGGTGTCGATTCCAATGTTCAACATCCAAAGCTTATTGATGCACTTGGTACCACAAATGTTGAGCTTGTAGCATGTGGCGAATATCATAGCTGTGCAGTTTCTCTATCTGGGGATTTGTATACCTGGGGTAAAGGAGATTTTGGTATTCTGGGACATGGAAATGAAGTCAGTCACTGGGTCCCAAAAAGAGTAAATTTCCTGATGGAAGGGATACATGTATCATCCATCGCTTGTGGACCTTATCACACAGCTGTTGTGACCTCTGCTGGGCAGTTGTTTACTTTTGGTGATGGGACCTTCGGTGTTTTGGGCCATGGAGACAGGAAGAGTGTTTTCATACCCAGAGAGATAGACTCCTTGAAAGGTCTTCGAACTGTCCGGGCAGCCTGTGGTGTATGGCACACAGCCGCAGTTGTAGAAGTTATGGTTGGAAGCTCTAGCTCTAGTAACTGCTCCTCAGGAAAGCTCTTTACATGGGGAGATGGTGACAAGGGCCGCCTTGGTCACGGTGACAAAGAACCAAAACTTGTGCCTACCTGTGTTGCAGCTCTTGTAGAACCTAATTTTTGCCAAGTTGCGTGTGGACATAGTCTAACGGTTGCACTTACAACATCGGGTCACGTCTATACTATGGGTAGTCCTGTTTATGGTCAGCTTGGAAACCCACATGCAGATGGAAAGGTTCCAGCCCGTGTTGAAGGTAAACTCCACAAGAGTTTTGTCGAAGAGATTGCTTGCGGTGCCTATCATGTTGCAGTTTTAACTTCAAGGACTGAGGTTTACACTTGGGGAAAAGGATCAAATGGTAGACTAGGCCATGGGGATGCAGATGATAGAAATTCCCCGACATTGGTTGAGTCGCTGAAGGATAAACAGGTGAAAAGTATTGCATGTGGCTCTAACTTCACTGCAGCTGTCTGCCTTCACAAGTGGGCATCAGGAATGGACCAATCCATGTGTTCAGGTTGCCGTCAGCCTTTCAATTTCAAGAGAAAGCGGCACAATTGCTATAACTGCGGACTTGTATTTTGCCACTCTTGCAGTAATAAAAAGTCTCTGAAGGCTTGTATGGCACCAAACCCGAACAAACCATATCGAGTGTGTGACAAGTGTTTTAACAAATTGAAAAAGGCCATGGAAACAGATCAATCATCTCATTCTTCTTTGAGTCGAAGAGAAAGTGTCAACCAGGGATCAGATGCAATTGACAGAGATGAGAAGTTGGATTCTAGATCCGACGGACAGTTAGCTAGATTCTCATTGTTGGAGCCCATGAGACAAGTGGACAGTCGATCGAAGAAGAATAAGAAATACGAATTTAATAGTAGCCGTGTCTCACCGATACCAAGTGGAGGCTCTCTTCGGGGTTCACTAAACATAACCAAGTCTTTTAATCCAACTTTTGGGTCATCAAAGAAGTTCTTCTCAGCGTCTGTTCCTGGTTCCCGAATAGCATCTCGGGCAACTTCACCAATATCAAGACGCCCAAGCCCACCTCGCTCAACAACCCCAACTCCCACTCTTTCAGGACTAACTACACCGAAAATTGTCGTGGATGATACCAAGAGAACCAATGATAACCTAAGCCAGGAGGTGGTTATGCTAAGATCTCAAGTAAGCTGCTTCCCTCGCTCTAATTCTTGTTTTGTTCCTTAGATCTTCACACTTTCATGTGTTACACATCTGGAAAAAAACATAGTTGGTGAGATCCTTTTAGTTTGGCTCTTTTGCTAATTCACTAGTAAACGATTCTCACAGGTTGAAAATCTTACACGGAAGGCACAACTTCAAGAAGTTGAATTGGAAAGAACAACCAAACAGCTAAAGGAAGCACTGGCAATTGCTAGCGAAGAAACAGCAAGATGCAAGGCTGCGAAAGAAGTGATAAAATCTCTTACCGCCCAGGTAAAGTCTTCCTCTGTGCTATTCTAATGAAATGAAAATGCTGTATGCAAGTTACTGATAGTTTCAATGAAACGATGCAGTTGAAAGACATGGCTGAAAGATTACCTGTTGGAGCAGCTCGGACTATAAAGTCTCCTTCTCTCAATTCGTTTGGTTCCAGTCCTGATTACGTTGCCCCTTCTTCTAACACTATAAACCGTCCAAACAGTCGAGAAACTGATCCTGATGGTCCAAACACCGTCGCCCCTTTTTCTAACGGGACCAGCACACCTGTTTTTGATGGTGCAAGCTACCGACAGCAAGGGAATCATGCTGCTGAATCGATAAATAGAGTCAGCACTCGATCAAAAGAAGGTGAACCCCGTAATGAAAACGAATGGGTCGAACAAGATGAGCCTGGTGTGTACATCACTCTCACAGCCTTACCGGGAGGCACAAGGGATCTCAAACGCGTCCGTTTCAGGTACAATTCTTCTTCTTCTTTTCTTCTTATTTTGAGGCTTCGTTGGAATGTTTGCATGCTCTCTTTTCTTGTTGGTGATGAAGTGTAAATAACCCGAGGATGATTGTGATGGCAGCCGAAAACGGTTTAGCGAGAAAGAAGCAGAAGAGTGGTGGGCAGAGAACAGAGGACGAGTTTACGAACACTACAATGTACGCATAGTCGTTGACAAATCCAGTGTTGGTGTAGGAAGTGAAGACTTGGCTCATTAAATTCTTTGCTTTAACCCCCAAATAACACACAAAACCGGAGTTTCCCACTTATCTTTTTTTTTTTTTTGTTAACACGGGTTTTCATAGGTTTATTGGGGTTTATATAACAAAACAAACAAAAGAGAAAGAGAGAGAGAGAGATTAGAAAGTGTTTTCACCGTCGTGGTTCATTATAGTTTGGGTGTTTTCTTCTGTAAATTCTTTTGTAAATTCTATAACTACGCTGTTTCTTTCTCTGTCTCTATAAATATGCTATTATTTGGTTCATCAGTAATGGTTTGGAGCAGATTATCTAGCAAAGGTGTGTAGTTATAAGAGAAAACAACATATATCTGTCATATGAGTATTAAACCATTGGAAGTTCATTTTAGTAATGAACTTAAAACGTCACGTTTTAGTGATTATACTCATAATCTTACATTTTTGGTCAACCACTACATACCGTTTACCATAATATATGCTATTCAAAGTATACTTTGATTTGTTGAAGAAAAGTTTAACTCAACCAAAACCAAACAATTAATGACAAGCCAAATAAAATTAGATACATAGCTTCTGGAGAGTTGAGAAGACGACTAGTTACACCAACCTCTGCCTACCATAAACACTTGTTTCTTTTGTGGGTCGACCAAATCCTGAAAGAACGAAAAGAAAAAAGCATTTAGTAGACATTTTTTGAGATGAGAGTATAAACCAATATACTCAATACCATGGCTTGTTGCTGCTTCAACCCTTCTCCTATGGATACAACCCGTCGCGAAGAAGACTCAATCATACTTTTCTCAGCATCCAACTCTCCTGATGAATTCTCCTCAGCTTCCTCTTCCTTCTCTTCTTCCCCACTCCCAACTCCTAACCGCTACTCTTTAACCGTCACTAACCTCTCCTACACCATCCACCGCGTCACCATCCTCAACTCCGTGTCCTTCGCAGCTGAATCCTCTAAAATCCTCGCCGTGGTTGGACCCAGCGGAACAGGCAAATCCACCCTTTTGAAGATCATCTCGGGAAGAGTGAGCCACAAGGCACTGGATCCTTCTTCTGCTATTTCGATAAACGATGGTAGTAGAATCAGCGACTACAATCAGCTGCGCAGGCTGTGCGGGTTCGTCCCGCAGGACGACGATCTGTTGCCTCTGCTTACCGTGAAGGAGACGTTGATGTATAGCGCCAAATTCAGTCTGAGAGATTCGACGGCGAAGGAGAGAGAAGAGAGAGTTGAGAGCTTGTTAAGGGATCTCGGACTTGTTCTCGTCCAGGACAGCTTCGTTGGAGAAGGAGACGAAGAGGATCGTGGCGTATCTGGCGGAGAGAGGAAGAGAGTTTCGATAGCCGTCGAGATGATCCGTGACCCGCCGATTCTGCTTCTCGACGAGCCGACTTCTGGTTTGGATAGCCGGAACTCGCTTCAGGTCGTAGAGCTTCTGGCTTCTATGGCGAAATCAAAGCAGAGAACCGTCGTCTTCTCCATCCATCAACCAAGCTATCGAATCCTCGATTACATCTCCGATTACCTGATTCTCTCCCGCGGATCGGTCATCCACTTCGGGAACCTGGAGCATCTCGAGGACTCGATCGCGAAACTAGGATTTCAGATTCCGGAACAGCTGAACCCGATCGAGTTCGCCATGGAGATCGTCGAGTCGCTGCGAAACTCGAACCACCCAGACTCGTCGCGAGAACCGGAATCATCATCATCATCATCAATCTGGCCTGAAAACACCGAGAGCGACGGTGTGGTCATCACAAGGCAAGAGTTTCGTCTCGTCGACGTCGCGGAGATCTCGTTTCTCTGCTCGAGGTTCTGCAAAATCATCTACAGAACAAAGCAGCTATTCCTGGCGCGAACGATGCAAGCCGTGGTGGCCGGATTAGGCCTAGGGAGCGTCTACACAAGGCTCAAACGAGACGAAGAAGGCGTAGCGGAGCGGCTTGGGCTATTCGCCTTCAGCTTAAGCTTCCTCCTCTCCTCCACAGTCGAAGCACTTCCCATTTACCTCCGAGAACGCCGCGTCCTGATGAAAGAAGCGTCCCGAGGATCCTACAGGATCTCATCTTACATGATCGCCAACACAATCGCCTTCGTACCATTCCTCTTCGTTGTGTCGCTCCTCTTCTCCATCCCAGTCTACTGGATCGTAGGGCTAAACCCGTCGATTCAAGCGTTCTCCTTCTTCGTCCTCTGCGTCTGGCTCATCATCCTCATGGCTAGCTCCCTCGTGCTCTTCCTCAGCGCGGTTTCCCCTGACTTCATCTCCGGAAACTCGCTCATCTGCACCGTTCTTGGAGCCTTCTTCCTCTTCTCCGGCTACTTCATCCCAAAGGACAAGATACCCAAACCGTGGATGTTCATGTACTACGTTTCGCTGTACCGTTACCCGCTGGAGTCGATGCTGGTGAACGAGTACTGGAGCGTGCGCAAAGAGTGCTTCACGAGCGGGGAATTTGGCTGCCTGATGACCGGAGAAGATGTGTTGAAGAAGAGAGGACTTGACAAGGACACGAGGTGGATCAATGTCGGAATAATGCTTGCCTTCTTCGTTTTTTATCGATTCCTCTGCTGGGGGATTCTTCTCCGAAAGGCTTCCAAGTCAACTATTTAATAATACATTTTTTATTCGCATTTACTTTGACTACATGTGTATATTATTATAAGCTTTCTCATAGTCTTATCCTCACAATTTGTCAACTTCTTTATAGTTTGAGCAGATAATTATATTTGATATGATCGATTCCATATTCAAGCCATTCTTTCTAGTAAACTTTGCATCCTCTTTTATTAATCTCAAATTCACCTCTGCATCCTCTCTGATTCCTTCATGATTCTCTCAATAAGAGGAAGCATAACGACAACAAATTAGTGGTTATTCAACCGACTTTGTTTTTGACAAACGAATCCTTTTTTATTCAAATTCCCACTTGCAGGGTTTCACAAACCTTATGATGTTCAACTTAAAATAAAGAGAAGTTTGAAACGAAATGGAGAGGAAAGCAAAGCAACCCAAGAGAGAAATATTAGCTGCAGAAGGACAGCTAAAACATTATTCGCAAAAGAAAAGAAAAAACGAAGAAGGCAAAAACAGCCACCAACTGCTTCAGATATCCAGAGCGAGCCACAAAGGTACACGTTTCCTTTCTTATTCATTCATACGGTCTAACATCTCCACCCTCAAGTAGCAAGAGAAAGGCACTTTACTCCTATCAATTCCGCACAAACCATTCTTTCTTCTTTACCATATATCTCTTTCACCAACATGAGCTGAGTCCTGAATCTGTCATCAATAACCATTGTTGCGGTTCGTATATAAACCAATAAGTGCCTAAACATATATGACTGAACAAGGGATTACAACACTGGCTTAAGGACAAGGATGAAGAGGATCAACCTGTCAGGTAGGAAGTGCCTCCACAAGAAGCCAAGGCCACGAAGACTCCAACTAGAGACTTCAACAGAACAAGGCTCAGTTGGAGTTAGGTAGCAGATAACATCGCGTAACACTCACCTGAATCATTCTCAATTACTTAAATCAGCACCACAAGAATAAGAGAAAAACAAAGCACTCGATAATGCAAAAGAGCTTCATGTCTGCTCTTACCGTGTTACTCTTCCATTCTGATCTCACACAAAGTGACGACTCGACCAACTGGGCTGCCCTTTGTATTGGTCGGGGAATTGAGCTGCTTGATGATTCTCATTCACAAAGTTATCTTTCTGAGGATGCTGAAAATACGGAAATCCTGCCTGGACCTGTGATGCTGGAACTTGTTTTCCAGGGAATGGAAAGTTGGCAGGCCCGTTCAGTCCATTGCTGGTACCCATGTGTTCTGGTTTCCCACTAGAGGCGTAATTCAAAGAACTGTTGAGTCCAGTGCCTCGAAAAGATTGAGCCTGGTATCCATCCAACCAGCTGTAATCATCACCCGGTAGATTGTTGCCAGACATATCCGAACCAGGTGCTGGCTCTTTTAGCAGCTTAGAGGGGACAGAGTTAAACCCAGGGGGAGGGCCAAGATGCCGAGAGGGTCTACTGATTGGATTCTTCCTTGCTAATGAAGATTGTACGCCAAGGCCATCAGCAATAACTCCAGAAGGCGAAACACCATCAATTTTGGGTGGCAATACAGCTTCAGGTGTTCTTGACTGAGAATATGGCATACCACCCAAACCATTGACATTGAAAGACTGGTGGATTGGCAATGACTGCGCAGGGTAATAGGAAGCCCCATGATTTCCTTGCATCTCATTCCTCATCTGAGCAAAACCATTACCCGTCTGAGCAAAACTTGATAGGCTACTAGCATTAGAAGCAGATTGTGATTGGCCAGGCGAAACATGTGAAACCTGTCCTTGAGTTTGTTGAAAGTGCACAACCCGTGATTGCAGTGGTTGAAGTTGTGCGACTTGTGATTGCATTGGTTGAAGTCGGGCAGAAACTTGTGATTGGCCTGGCTGAGGATGCACTGCCTGTGTCTGAAGCTGTTGCAAATGCACAGCCTGAGACTGAGTTGACGGCTGAAGATGTCCCAGAATGTTAGAACCAACAGATGCAGGCACTTGAACACCTGTGTTGCCTCTTGCTTGCAGAAAGAGATTTTCATTGAAAACTGCATCTAAACCACTCAAAGCTTTCAAGTCCCCCATAGTAGCAACTTGATCAGGATTCCTGAAGCCTCCATTAGGAACATATGTCTCGTCAGAAGCCCCTTTCCTCTTCTCAGTAACTAGAGGCTTAAAAACAATTACTTCATCATCATCCTCCTCACCCAAATAAATCTGCTGATCTCTTTGCATCGCAGGCAATTTAAGATTCATCACTGCTTGGTTATCTGGTAAAGCATTATTAACTTCAGGTGGGATTGACTGAGAATCAGAATCCACCAATTCATCTGACGGTTTTACACCAACAAGAAACTTCTTCTTCTTTGAATCAAAATACACTTGACTCTGATCAACTTTGATCACACTGGTCAAAGATTTCCCTGCTGCAAGGATCCTCTTGATACGAGCTTTCTTTTCCTTGAGACCTTCGCTTCCAAAGGAATGTTTTCTTGAGAAGTCGAGAATAGTCTGAGCTGGAAGGAGTGGCAAGAATCCTCTTAGTTCATAGTCCTCCCACAGAGCAAGCCGGTTTTCAGTTTCTCTTTCATCATACACGCTCATGTTTGAAAAACAAGTCTCATCTTCAACATCATCAATAAACATCGGCCCAAGCGACAAGACTTGATTGAAGAAGGTAATACAGTGTTTCCAAAAGCTGTTTCTTGCAGCAGTCTGTCTATCATCCGAATCACTGCCCAGTGCAATATCAGGACAGCAGGCCAACCATTCAACAAAGACTAGGACACCAGGCAAGAAATAACTGGAGGAAAGATCGGGCAGTTGCGCACACTGCTCTATTAGGAGTCCAAGTAGCTCAAAACTGGCTGTTAAGGAGTTTCTAGCAGGCTCCACACGTTGTACAATATCTGCATATGACTGACCTTCGGTCTCTTTTTTTGAGTTATGGACGCTAAAGACAACAATGGTTACGAGTCTAACCACGAAAAGTGCCCTCTCACTGGTGTCTATACCAAAACTAGGCTCTTCCGAGGAAATCAGCTCTCGTAAACTGCTGCTAGTAGAGGCAAGAACATCTAAGAATGTCTCCAGGCTGTCAAAGACAAGTGATAAATATTATACCAGAGAGCCAGTAACAGAATCTAGAACGAACTAATTTTAAAACTAAAATTACCTTGTTCGAGTAAAAAGAATGCCGTTGAGACGAACAAATCTAATGCAGAATGCTTTGAGCAACTCACTTGCACTAGTTACTTTATCCTTCTCAGGACCAGCTACCAAGTTCGCATCTTTCGATGAACTATCTTCACCTTTACCTCTTCCTTTACCAGTCGGCCTCTTAGATGAGTCTTTGGAAGCCGCAAGCAATTGGGCGTAACTCTGACGATTCTGCTCAACCATACACAGAGAGAAAGATGCATTATATTAGGGTACTAAGAAAGTGGCAGGATAATCGCTAATATGCTAAGCCACTAACATAATTAAAAAACAAAAACTTTAATAGTTAACCTTTTCAAACGCAACAATCAAGTTGTCACGGGCAGTTGGGAAAGGACTCTCCACAGCCAAACTTCGGAAATAACGATATGTTGCTGCAAACTCATCCGCCGAATAAGAAGCAATTATAGCAAGCTGAGACATTCAATTACTCTAATCAGGCAAACCGTACCACATAGCTGTACCTAACAAAAAAATATCATGAGAAAGAGAGAAAAGGGAATAACCTGATGATGTGGGTTTCCACTGGCTGGCAATAGAGAAGCTGCTTGCAAATAGTAACTTGAAGCAGCAGCATATTCTCGGCTCTTGGAATCCCCCTCTCCATACAATCCTTTATAACGAGCCAGATCACCCAGGTATATCAAGCAACGGTGACAAGATACCAAGCCTTTTTTAACTTCTGCCAACTTCTTTCCATCCTTATCAGCCAAGTTTTGACTCTCTTGATCCTCCGGAAAGTAACCCAAGGGAAGACCATACTTTGATCTAATTTTTAGGATCATATCATGATAAAACCCAGTTGCTTCTGAAAGGAATGTCCTGAACTGCAGCTTGAGTTTTGCAACTCGCTCGGGTCCTTTGTCGGGTCTAGAACTAGATGGACCCTTTGAATTTTGCGCCGCACTCGAGCTACTGGAAGCCAAGACAGCATTGATGTGTGATCTAAAGTCTTCAATCCGTCTGTAATGCAACTGCCACAGAGTGAACTCAATGCCGTGCTGCTCAGAAAAGGTATGATCTTCAAGAACTATTGCTTCATAATTCTCACGAATTTGCTGCCACAAATTTGGGTCAGACGGATTACGAGCCTGAGCAGCCTTTCGACGCTTGATTTCTAGCTCAACAGTCTGCACAGTAAGCATCTATTGTCAGTACCTCTTAAAATACACCAAATACAATGATGAGCCAAATTCAGAGAGTTATTAAAGCAAAGAGGGAGAACCTTATCGAATATGGACTGGGCTCGCTCCCTTGGCGAGGAAGCAGTATTTTTATCCATCTGCAAAACCATCATCCATCAAAAATTTCAAGGTTATTATCTCATGCCAGGATCGAAGCATGATCAAAGTAAGTCCATAGCTAAACACAACATAAGTGATCTTATTTATAAGGAGCTTTCAACAAAATCAATCAACTAAACTGCTTCGGAGCTTTACACTTAAGAGAACAGGCTAAGAAGATATTTATCCCCACATACATGTAGCTAATCAGGTTTTTGTCAGCAAGTTCAATCAATATTAAGATAAAGAGTAGCTATGAAATCATCTGTTCAAGTCAAACCTTGAATAGGAATCAAGACCCTTGACGGGAAAACAAACGATCGTACTACTTCGTGATCAAGCGGAGGCATAAACAAAGAACAATTCAGATTTCTCAAGAGTAAGAATTCCCCAGAAATATAAATGAAAGAATCACAATAATCATGACTATTTGTTGCCCATAATCATGACTAATATCGGTAAACGATAAGCGAAATCAAGCAGAATCAGCATCAAATCAGAAGGGAAAAGAAAAAAAAACCCTCCTCCCAAGATTTTATTAGAAAAACACAAACAACACGATAAGAAGAAAACAACCAAAAGAAAGCGAATTGTTACGATAGGATGAAAAATAGGGAAGAAATATAACCTGAATTACCAGATCTGCGAATGGGCTATGCGACCAGAAGCATCGGAATGACAAATCGGTGAGAAGGGAGAGAAATTAGGGTTTTTTCGAGAGAGAGAAGAAGAAAAAAAAAAGAGAGAGACGGTGAAGGTTTGTGTATATGGTCGACTTTTCCTTAATATAAGAGAGAGAAAATAGTGAACGAGGGAAAAAAAAAAGGGGAATGTCCAAGTCTTTTCTTTCTCCTGCTTATGGGCTTTTGAACAACGCCGTTCCTGGTCTTTTCTTTTCTCCGATCAATATTTCCCGATTTTTATTTTCCTTAGCATTTTTCCAGTTATTAATTTCTTATTTTTTTTTCTATTCAACCAAAATATATTTTAAATTGGTGGTTTCCTAAAATCTTTATTAAAAAGTTCTTCAAAAATCTGAGTATACCTATTGGTAAATCAATAAATCAGAGATGAATTGAAAATTAAAAAAAAAAAGATATTTACATAAATTTATATAGTACATATAATAATTTAATGCGATTTAGTAGTTAATTTTTGAGCAATATTAACACGGGAAACAAATTTTAATAATATCAAACACATTTTTGTTCAATAATAATTTTGATTAATGAACGATAAATTATTATTTTGTTCTATTTTTAATCGAAAATTCAAAAAAAAAATATACAGTAGTTATTTCACCATTTTATTATTTTTCTTGTTTTTTTATGTTCATTTAGCAAAATATGATAAACTCATCCAATAATTATCAATTTTTATTTAATAAAAAGAAATAAATTTTAATTAAATATAACTAAATATGTCTTATGGTGGTTGGTAACGGTTAAGTGCTTTCCCACCATATTGAAATGAGAGATAAAAAATAACTAAATATAAATGAAATCAACTATTCAAATAAAAAAAAATTTGTCTTTTAAATGTCTTTGAATATAACAAATAAACAAACTTAAAAAAGTTAGTGAGAATTTAGAGCTATCACAAAAAGAAGAAAAAAAAATGTGATTTTAGAAAAAAACTCGACCAAAACAAAAATTGCCAATGATACTTTTTGGAAAAGAGTCGATTGAGTTTAAAAAATATATATATTTTCTCTTCCAAGTTGCCTTATATATAATTTTGATCATATCTTTTGCAGATTTATTTTTAGGTGGTGTTATTGAATATTGTATTTTAATGAAATTGATTGTACTGCATTTCTAATTTATGATGAAATTTAGTGTTATTCAATAATATATTTGAGAAAAAAAATTGACAGATTTGAGAAAATTAAATAACAGCCTCCTAGTGTTTATATAATCATGCAAATAGATTGTTGAATACAACAGATAATTCAGAGACTTCAGTTAATTTGGTGGTCAGAGCATCAAGAGACCCTTTTTTTCTCTCTCTCTGTCGTCACATATAGAGAGAGACTAACAATCCAGGCGGCTTAAAGAGTTAATTCTTATAAACATAATCAATATCTCACGTAAAAAAATATGTATTACAAAAACAAGAAATCTTTATATATATACACACAAGACTGTTGCCCAAAAGAATGAAGTCATTCCTGTCTTCTCGGGAGAAAATGAACAAAGCAGATGCTAACATCATCAATCAATCATCAAAAGGATATACAGAACAAACAGAGCCTTTACTTATTTTTTTCTCATATTGTTAGTTCCAAGGTGGAGAAGATGGCCGGTGTATGAAATCTTGAGAAGACGAGCCATAGTTAAGGTCGAGATTCTGGAGCTGCTCCATGAGCTGCGAACGTCTCTCTTTGAAGAAATCAAGACGAGTTGTTAACTCTACAAGAGCTGCTGATGCTGCGGCTGACGGATGATTAAGCCTTGGGTACTCTGTTATCTGCAAAACCCCGTCATTTCAAGCATGTTAGTGACCAAAAATGTAACTGGTTGATTATAAGGAATCCTTAGTCAAGGGAGCAAAAAGAGTCTTACATCTAATGCTCTTGAAGTCGACGGAACAGATGGAGAATCAATGGCTGAGAACTTGTCCACAGACATCTTTCCAGACTCCTCACTGATTCTAGAGTCAGTCACGTTTGTTGATTCTGGTATTTGCTTACGAGATGATTGCCTGCTATTGCCAACACCAAATGATCCTGCTCCTTTACTATTTCTCCACTCCGATCCCAGCAAATTCTCCTGCAGGTCAAACAGTAAAATTCTATTGGTTTAATCTCTTAACTATGAAAGGCTATGAACGATGACAGAAACATCAGTCAAAAGTAGTACCTCATGTCTTTGTTTTCTCTCATGATTTACATAGGCAAGAGTGGAATCAAAATCTTGCTGAAGAAACCTTCTGCAGAAACACGTAACATGGAATTAGAGCACAAACATATGACTCGGTGCATACAAGATATGATGTGCAAACATAATCTTCTCAGCTGTACTTGAATTGAAGGTTAATAGTGGATAAGTTATTCTGAGATATATGTTAAACACATCTTCACCAAGAACAAGAAACATGCCACTGCTGATGTAATGCAAGTCAAAGATAAAAGATAACATAGACTATGAGCTCTTCTATGCGAGGAAAGTAGAGGGATAAGTGATACAACTCACTTTTGAGGATTGTGATTCTGGAGATACTGATGATTATCACGGGCGTCTGAGAAGGAACCAAAGTTAGTCTGACGTTGCTGGCTAAGCTGGTGGTGAAGTTCTGCAACTTTCTGCTTAAGCCTGGCCACATCAGCCTCAGCAAGAGCAATTTCCTCAAGCTCCGCCCTTGTCTTCAAAGATTCTTAGATCGTAAGTATTTCACACAAAAAAAAATAACTGTTTAAAATAAAGATACCGTTTCTCTAAAATGTCTACTTACTTTCGAATCCACACCATGTGAGCTGAATTGTCCAGAAGACATGCTCAAACCAACCTCCAGTGCTGCTCGGAGATCTCTTTCGGCTTGCAACTGCTCTTGTAATCTTGACACCTGTATAAGTATTGCCGATCAAACCAGAAGAAGATTCCTTTGACATTAGGCTTAATTGTAGAGATAAGAGATCATAAACACGGATAGTTTGAAAGTACAAAAATTTATACATCTTGTTCAAGCGACAAACGACGTTCATGCAGCGCTTGCTTCCTTCTCTCCAAGCTAGCCTGTAGTATCGCATTACCTTTGGCCTATAACAATAATGATGACCTGTGTTAATGACTTTATCGAGTCAGGATATAAAATTTTCGGTAGACGGATGATTACCTCCTTTGCAATTCGTTGTCGCAGTTCATTTTTAGTGGTCTCCAGCCTCTGTATAGCAAGCCTACAAACAATTGATGAACCAATTAGTACTACCAAACAACCAAGCTAGTGTAACCTCAAATGTGAATACACCCAAGAGTAAAAGCCTTACTCATCTTCTCCTGAAGAATCAAACGATCCATCTGTGGATATCTTTCTGGCCTGTGACAAACAAAGAGCAAAGAAAATGTTATTAATTTAATTTTACCAGACATTGGTTCATTATCTCTATATGATTGTGCTAAGGCATGACACAAATTGGAGGAAAATAATTTTGTATCATGCATCCAATTATACTTAAACTAATGTGTCAAAGCTTGCCACATGTGCGGGATCAGAACTATTTGATAAAGATAAGCGAAGAAGACATACACTGCCTCGACCCCAGAATGTTGCGCGCTTTGCATGAACAGAGGAGGGTGTGCCCTTACTCGTGGGTTTCTCACTTGATGATTCAAGACCATGAGCAGCCAAATTATTTCCATGAGTGAGTGCATTTAGAACCTTCTCCGATTGATAAGACTCGCCAACATTTACGACACATGAGTTTTCTCCATATTTTGTTGAATTATCACCTATCTGCTCTTTAGCTTGTTGATCAATGGAGTTGACAAAAGGATTTCTCACAATATGATCTGTTCGTACGTTTGAATTGCGTATTGGACCGCTTATCTCTCTCGGTGATTCAATATCAGAGTCGTCAGCAACAAAACCCTACAAAGAACATATTCAGCAATCATTAAAAATAGCAGGAAGACGATACATTTATAATAGTTGTAGCACTTCCTACGTTTAAAGGCATTTCGTTATATCACCAACTCTATACAAATAAATGTTTCATGTAACAGTGACATAGATGCGTGAGGATATTGAAGGAAGAGAGAGCTCAGACTGGCCAAAGGAGAAATAACCTTGTATTCATAGAGATCGCTGCCTGTGCATCCGCTGCTCTCACTCATTTTTCCACTCAATGCACGCTCATTATCATCATCTGTCACTGGTTCTACTTCATTCTCTGCATTATCATATTCATTTTTCCGATTGTTGTCATCATCACTAGAATCATCAGGCCCACTATTTCCGATATGTGATTCGGTTGAAATGGAACATCTTTGAATATTGTCTTCCTGCAGATAGTAGATAAGCATATAAGACATACAAAATCAAATTAAATTTGAAAGAAACTATCTGAGTGCGTCTTACATCGAAAATACTTCCATAATCCTCCAGGAGAATAGTAATGATGGCTTGAGCATTATTGGCAGCATTAGCAGCAGCAAGAAGCTGAGCAGAATTGTCTTCACCGCTATCAAATTCGTCCTCTAGATCACATTCACCAGCCAGTAGAGGACGTAAGAGCAGGGGAGCCATGCAAGCAGCTACAGCAGATGGATTCATTCTATTTTCGTGGGAATGAGACGAGATAGTATGCATCATTTTCAGAATCCTGAGGGGACAACGCAATTATGTAAGAGTCAAAGAAAACATATAATAAATGTTACTCATAAAAGCCACAAGGCATTCATCTGGCCGATAGACGCAGAATTGGAAGGTAACAAGTAATCTCAACTGTAGTATCTAATATGTCTCATAAACTGTTAGCAGTGTGAAATCGGCTATAAGCTCAAAACAGCCCAGAAGGGAGATCTGGAAACTCACCGTTGTAGTAGACGTCTATTAGGTTCAGGAAATGTTTCCGCCATAGCAGAGCGCAATGAACTAATGCGAGCCTCCTTAGACTCGATTCCTGATTCAGAAAAACCATTAAAATTACGTCAATTTCACAGAAGTTCAGTCAGATCTCCATATATTCTTTAACAGAAGAACCATGCAAATAAATAAGTTCACACACACAGATACAAATCTGCATGTTTATAAGTATGACTTCATCATGACTCATAAGGAAGGAGAAGGGTGCTCACTGTAAGCTTCCAGCAGGGCAGTACAACAAGATGCTGAAACCGGAGAAGAAGGCAACTCCCTCAATACATGCTGCAAGGGAAATAAAAGTGCCTTAGCATTGTAACAATGCACAAATTAACAGAATGAGAAGTTGAAAATAAACTACCTTAATGCAGTCTCCAATAACATGCGGATCTTCATCAAAAGTGAACTCCGTTTTGCCTAGATGTTGTTTGGATAGGACGAAGGAAAAAATTGTTAATAGTGTTTTGGAGGGAGCACATATCTTAAGTACAAGGTAGTCTAAGAACATATTATATTAGCATAACAAGATGTACTTAAACTTAATCCAGCGATAAATCAGTTGGCAGATTATAAGTACCCTGTTCATATTCTTGAACTCTACGTTCCACCTCCTCCACATCAGCAGACTGTCTTAATATTCCTTCAATTTTAGTTCCTGAGGAGAGAAAAGATTGCGAAACCAACCAAAAAAACAGTTAAACGAAAAATGCATTCAAAGAAAACAAATACATCTGGTTTCAGAAGTTGCAAAAAAAATATACAACATACTGTATGAGATCACAGAATCATGGAAATGGCAGTTAAAGTACCCTGACAAAACTATGGACACATTTTGATCTAAAAAGCGCATACCCCAGCAAAATCATTTAGGGAAGACCTAGCTACCGATATTTTTTCTCAAGAACTTACCATACTTCTCAATAAACTGAAGAGCTTTCTCAAGGAATGATGGGCTTCCATCAATATCTTCAAGAGCAAGTAAGATTGGTCTTCCAACAACCAAGGATTTTAATGGACGCTTATCCCGCCCTAGCAATTGTGGACAATAAAGGCAGAAATATACGTAAGCGAAATAAAGGCACAAATATGTATACATGTAAGATACTTAGGCCACAGCTGTAACATGGATTAGAACAAACATTGATGAAAGGAACCTTCGATAGCCTCGTTACTTTCACCACGAAATATTCCATTGTGGCCCATGATGAGTGCTGCATTAGGGGCGTGTGCAAGAGCCTGCTCCAGAGCAGTTTTCCACTCGTACAAATCTTCATATGTCTCAGCCTGCATCGTTGGTCACAAAAGAGATAAATTTAATTGACCAATCGTTCTAAGAGTAGACATCTAGGGAGTATGTATTTCAAATTTGCTGCTGATGTTGATGCACCTTAAGAGTGAAAGCTCTCCCATCACGCCCATCAGGAAATAATACGGTCAGCAATTTTTTATCCTCTCTCACCACAACACTGAAAACAAAAACCACTGTAAGTTGAATTCCATGAAATTTTCTAATCAACTAGCAATATTCTGCATACCTTCCAGAGTTATTCAAGTCGATGCCACCCAGAGTTAAGTTAACTTCACCACCCTTTTGTGGTAGTGTACCCTGTGAAAATTTAGTTACAGAGCTCAGTATATTACACGGATCAAAATCAACAGTAGAAAAAAAGGCAGTATGATTGTAAATACTAACAGGGTCATTTTTGAAGAAGACCAAAGAAGTACGTGTGAGGATGAACCAGCGTTTCTTCCAAGACGTCCAACCCAATCCTATTGAGCCAGAATGCCAAAATAAAATGTTCAATGCACTATGCTTTCCCAATAGCCAAATGGAATTGAGCAATTGAACAAACACAGTAAAATGTGACAACTTTAATACTCCACGAGGGGCAAAAAGCCACGAGGATACCTTTCGAAGATATGAAAAGCGGACCACTCTTAAAAACCTGTCAAAACAATTGCGAGTTACATAACATTAGTAACGACCAGCAGCCTAGTTACCAAATTTACGTTTTGAAAATTTAGAGAAATAGATAGTTATCAAAGTTTATGTCCTGCATGTTGATTCTACCTAAATGATACAGTAAATCACTTCCATTGATACTGTTTTGTATGTATTTTGCAGCTTATACCAAGAATAAACAACCAATCAACCTAATACAACTGTTTTAAAGCTCCTACAGTTCGACCAAACGACTAAGAAAGCGTTTTTGGTTCAATCAAGCTTCTCATTTGATATAATGGGAATGTACTCAGCACAGATACTATACACCTCATGTCAGCACTGACATTGAAGTTCTTAAGAATACAAGGAACCGCTAATCGGAGCTCCTCTCGCAGCTAATTAAAGGCCCAGTGAGTGTGTCACGAGATTCGTACTGATATCTACAGACTCCAATCGTATACAGTAAGATTAACATTAGCGAACATCTTCACACTTGTCCTATTTTTAGCAATTCCCCTGGTGACCCAAATTCAGACAAGTAAAACCTGGAAACACACCATTAAACCATAACTAAGAAAACAAATTCTCATATTACCGTATTTGCAGCAGCAACTCGTGGCCGCTCCAAAGCCGCTAAAGAAGCCTCCATTGCCTCAACAGCATAATCTCAGATCCAGCCTCGAAACGGTATCCAGGAAATTTCGAGAAAGCCCAGAGACTAGGGTTCCGATTTCACCTCTTTCGATAAGAACAACAGTAGAAAGAGACACAAACAATCACCAAAACGAATCTCCTCCTCCTCCTCCGAGAAATTGAAGAATTACACAGCAGTGCCGCCGAATTAGCCGTCGCAGGTTTCTTCTTCCAGGCTCCGCAGCGAGATGAAGAGCGGAGGATTTAGCTGTAGTAGATAGAGGAAAGAAGAAGGGACATTGCTTTCCACCTACTTCTGCTGTGTAATGTGAGAGAAAGAGAGAGTGGATGGGTCATGAGTGTCGGAGAAGTCACGGGTCGGGTCTGGTAAAACTTTAGTCGTATTTAAACCGATCCAACCAATCGCTATTCTCCACCTCAGCAACAGCTGGTATGATCCTCTCTCTCCCTCCTGCTCCACTGCCAATTTAATAATTCCGGATTAGGTACTCCGATTAGTTCCGACTCCCTTGTAAAGGATATAATGTATATTCTCCTTTCTGATTTTATCTGTATTAAAGTATTATATACTACTAATCTACATATATAATGCTCATTCTGGATAACACATTGCAATTTCTCATACAAAATGTTATCATTCCGCATTTGTCATTCTCTGGGCAGGCCTCCTAATAGAGAGGTTGCTTTTGACATCTGTGTATGGGGTTTCTTCTCCATGTTTGGTGCAAGTTTTGCTCCTCTCTTTTTCGTTTTTTTATTTCCTTTTTACAAAATATTAAATGATAAACATCATGTGTATGCGACGCTTAGTCTAACTAAAGAATGCAACCTAACTTGATGTTACGAGTAGCAAACGTATTCAGATTGGTGAAACGATTAGTTTCAGGGAGGATCTTCCCAACATTCACTCAACAGACGACAACAATAACAAGGAAATTTGAAGAAACTGATCCATCCATCCATGTGTCAAATTGAACCAGGCCGAGACACATGCAGGCTCATTTTATATAGATAATAAAATAATTTTTATTGTTACGTACTTTGAAGTTTAAACATTATATTTTAAAATATATTATCAAAATGACAAGATTATAAGTAACAAATTAAGAGGTTTGTATACTATATTAAACTACTTAGAGTTACAGTATGTTGTTGTCTCTTACGGCGACAGTATCTTGTTGTCTTCAAGATATCAAAGATCAATGTAATTAGACATCTGGTAGTCTAAATTTAAATATATGATAAATCAATTATGAGCAGTTTACTCAACAATATATATGCTGTAAAAAAAAAAAACAGACAACAATTTAGAAGTCAATATGTTTTGGACCAAAACGAAGGAAGTGCAAACTATGTTGTATAACACTATATTAGTCACAAACAGAAAAATATTAACGTAACAAAAAAATATGTAAATCTAACTTATAGGCATTTCTGATGAGTTAAGAAAATGCCAACTTAAATTGTAACTAAATGAAAATGACATTTTATCTATATGCATGTGATGTCGTTGCTCTGCGTTCAGGTTTAATATTTCATACCTTCAATTAATCTTTAACACTATGCTTTTCGTACAGGCCGAATAATAATACAAACCGTGATCGGTGATGGAGGAGACTCTTCTCCCATAGCCCATAGGGATTGGTTTCAGAGGCACCAACGTCAGAAAGTTTGAATCTCGATAATCATATACCTTTTTGTTTTTCTCATTCCAATTTGTATGATGCTCGTCCGTTTGTGTGCTTTCAGTCTCGTTTCTTATCATTTTGGTTGCATAACTAGTTTTAGTTTATAATTTGGTTGGGTGTGTTTTGATTTTAGGGATGGAATGACTCTGAGCATTTCGAATATGCCAATGATCAAAACTTGTCTCTTGTTCATCAGAAGTTCAGAACTGGTGAAGAGTTGGGTTCTATGGTCTTTAATCCTAAAATTTCAAGCACTGGAGATACTAACTAGTATTATTTTCAACTACGTAATAGTCTCTCTCAAACGTGTTTTAATCATTTTGTGTTGTTTTGGATAAAGAAACTACGTAATCAGCTTCTTAATTATCGTTATATTTACTACTACCATCTACAAGTGAACAACAAATAATTAACTCTTCTGTGTTTGGAAAATAAATTGTTGTATTTAATTACATAGGTAAGGAAAAAATTGACGGAAAAAAATGATTTACTTTGCAAATTGTCCCAAATAATAAAAGCAGAGCGCTAAAGATGGTTTCGTGTGATATTATATCACTTATCAGTATAAGAGGGCAGTGAGCGCAACAACAACTCCTCCCATCTCTCTCTCTTCCTTTTTCCTCGAGTTAATCTCGATTGAACCTGTACAACCATGGCAACGAGCTCCGGCCGGTTAATCGCCGGTCTGACGGCGTCGATGAGCTCAATCGAATCGCGTAATGCGAATCCAGCTCAATCGAATTCCCTAATCTGTCGAAATCAAATAAACGGCGTTCCGCCTATCGTCCTCCGGTCATCTCAAAGGTCCAGACGGTGGTTAATCGAGGCGGTTCCCCCGGTGAAATCCTGGGATGGATCTGACGATGCCGAATACATCAAGAAGAAGTCAGACGCGACCGGTGGCAAAACCGGTGGTCACGTGGTCGCCGGGAAACATGAAAAGACGATTGAGATAGTTATAGCAGCGGCGGCCACGGCGGCGTTGGGCGTCGGGAACCGCGTAATGTATAAGCTGGCCCTTATTCCTCTCAAGCACTATCCCTTTTTCCTTGCCCAGCTCTCCACCTTCGGGTAACCAAGTCTCACTCTCTCTCTCTCTCTCTCTCTCAAATGCCTAAAATTAGTCTGTGTGGGTTTGCTTTAGTCAAACTTAAACAATTTCGCTTTCGTTGAAAAAGTTTTAAGTTAGATTTCAGATTTTTGTTTTGGAAAGAGATGATTTGCATCTACGATTTCGGTTTTTGTTCTCCATTATCTGCTTCTCTCATTGGTGGTGATCCAGCATAATAATAATAATTGATTAATTATCGAATGAGAACTTTAATCTGAAAGACGATTCCAAAATTGTTCGATGTGGGAAAGTTGGTATCATATGTCGTATGTTTTGGGAGATGCAAAGCCCACATATTCATTCATTCGTATGCACAGTGTAGTTTTCAGAAGATTCCCTTTAAGAAACTTGGGTCATAGTTGCCTACTTTTTATGTTCACCAAACATAATTTTAATTTTATGCGCTTGTTAACTTTTTCTCACGTGCGAGTTTCTCTCTCGCTCACCTACTTGCGATTTCGGAGTATACTGTATTTGTTTAAATATCGAATTAAATGATCTTTTTGTTGAGTCTGCAGTGAGTTAATGACTTATTGAACGAAATTAATAGTTTTTTATATCAAGTGTGGATCGTGTCAGAATATTTGCCCTTTTTGAATTCATTAAGCCACGTGTCAATTAATTTTTTTTTTTCCGCACGTGTCTCACTCTCTTTTACATATGGGCTGCTGTGTGCAAAGTACTTATGTGTTGATTTTTGGTTGCCCAGTTTACATTATTGTTCACCGGTTTATACATTAGCAGTACTATATGAGATGTAAACTCAGGATTATTGCTTATATGAGTCAAATTTGGTGTAGCATGCAAATTTTAGAGCATATATATGATTCTTTGTGCTTGATGGATCCGAATCAGAGTCCATAGTAAATTAGTCATAATGTGATGTTAGCTGTGTAATGTGCTTTTCACAGCTTGCTTCTCCTTCTTATAAATTGTTCAATGTGGACAACCCCGTAATTTTCACATGCTCATTTCTGCATGTAGTGTTTCTTGCTTTGTATCACCAGTATAGCTTACAATATATATATATATATATATATATATATATTTTGCTTATCCTATTACGTCGTGCAGGTATGTAGCTGTATACTATTCTATTTTGTATTTTAGATACCGAGCTGGAATTGTTACAAAAGAGATGCTATCAGTTCCCAAAGTTCCATTTTTAATTGTTGGCATTTTGGAGTCTCTTGCTTTAGCTTCTGGGATGGCGGCCGCAGGTATCTTTACACTAGTGCTAACCCTTATCACTTCTTTCCCTTTCCATTTTCTACTGCAATTTTAGTAGATGTATGTATACCTTCATCTGTTCGATGAAATCACATGGTAACACTATAGATGCATGAAAATGAACCCTGATCATCTTACTTACTGTCGTCTTTCTTGACTCAGCAAATCTCTCGGGACCATCTACTACAGTTTTATCTCAGGTTACAATTTACAAAGCTTAAAACATTATTATCTCTATCTTTCATAGGATCAAAGTACAATATTGATATCCTGCATTTCGTTCTTGTGGGCAAAAAAATGCAAATTCTTCCCTCGAACTCTGGTTTCCTCGAATTACTAGCTAGCTCTAGCTGATCAAAACATGATTCTTGTCTGGCAAATGTTTCAGAGTTAATTCGTGTCATTTCTTTCATTGCAGACATTTCTTATCTGGCAAATTCTCTTCTCCATTATTTTTCTCGGGAGGAGATATAGAGTAAATCAAATATTCGGATGTATTCTTGTAGCATTTGGTGTAATCGTCAGTGTGGCAAGGTAAGCCAGCTCGATTAACTTGCTAAATATCAAATGACTTGGTTTCTTTCGGTCCTTTCCTTTTGTTATACCTGTGAAAGGACACACCGAAACCAGTTTTAACATATGTCATCCAAGTTAGGCTTTCTTACTGTCTTCTCTTGCATGTTCAGTGGATCTGGTGCTGCTCATTCATTTAAAGATGCAGGAATATTTTGGAGTCTTCTTATGGTATTATCTTTTATGCTTCAAGGAGCAGATACAGTAATGAAGGTTTGTCAGTCATTAGCTAGTTTTGTCGCCAACTACAAGATTTTGGGTTCTTCTCTCTAACAGTAAATTCCATATCCTTGTAGGAAGTCATCTTTCTAGATAGCAAAAAGCGGTTGAAGGTAATCATGCCGTCAATACACTTCAACAGAATTTGCGGTTTTTGAATTCTGAAAGAAAAGCCGTTCTTGTTATTACAGGGTGCTTCACTTGATCTGTTTGTTGTAAACTCGTATGGTTCAGCTTTCCAAGTAGGTATTCTTTGTGTATATCTCCTTGTTTTTAAACATCAGATAAATTTCTGTTTCTTAGCATCATCTATTTGCTGTCTGATGTGCTTGTTTCTGTGATCAACCCAGGTCGTATGCATTGCGTTGCTTCTTCCTTTTCTTTCGAAACTTTGGGGCATACCATTTAACCAACTACCGAGCTATCTCAGAGACGGAGGTGCTTGCTTTTTGAACATCGGTACTAGAGCAACAGGTTAGTTGATGCTACGCTTTCTGTTGCAGTATCTCTTTCTTTGTGTGTATATACTCTTGTGTATAACAATCAATCAACACGCTCGGTTTGGTTTTGAACACAGGATGCGAAGGGGCTCCCTTGCTTCCTATAATGTTCGTCTTGATGAACATGGCTTACAACATCTCCCTTCTACGCCTCATCAAAATCTCTTCTGCTGTTGTGTCGTCTCTGGCATCCACCGTTTCAGGTACAAAACTCGGCCTTGCCATAGTTTTCATGGTAACCTACTTCTTTGGCTAATTAGTAATTTACCAATGGTTTGGCTTTGCCCGTGCAGTTCCCATAGCGGTCTACTTATTCACGCTCCCCTTACCGTACCTTGGGGTCGCATCTTCACTTCCAACGGGGTTCGTGGCAGGCACAGTCATACTTGTACTCGGCATGCTTCTATATGCTTGGACACCATCTCATACTTCCGATTCCATCATCCCCTCGCCTCCTTCCACCTAACGGGGACGAGATTGATTTTTGTTACTTTGTTTGTTGTCCCATTGTACCATTTTGTTAATAATATACATGGATTTTGCGCGATTCTATGCATTTTCCGTCATAAAAGCAGCCTTTTAGTTTGCATTGGATCGTGTTTTTTCATAGTAACAAGAGCAAACTGCGTTTACATATATTGAAAGATGTGTTGTACTTGACGGAGCTACGATTGCTAAGATGTGTGTATGAATGGTAGAATCTTTGTGATCTTTCACCAGTAGCCAAAATGTAAATTTGTATTTTATAAAACTAATTTACTATTATTCCTCAAAGTTTTGTAATTGGTCCAAAAACCCCCCGTAATTGAATTCGTGAAAGTTGCGACCCTAATCAGTAAATTCTGGGATCAGAATGATGGGGCCCACGTTCACACTCTTAAGTAACAGTAAACCTCTCTCCACGCTCGTTTACCCCAAGAGACCCAAAATGTTTAGAGTAACCGGAAATATTTCGGCGGCATCATCTCCGGCGGCGGCTTCTCTCTCCGCCGCTCTGAGACTCTCCATTGCTCCCGCTCTCGCTTTCGCATCTCCTCCCCATCTCCGCTGGTTCTCGAATTTTTCTCGTTCATTTCTCGGCGGACGCATCTCTTCGTTCCGACCACGCCTTCCTCCTTCTCCGTGCCCGACTATGCTCTCTGGTTTCTCGGCTCTCAAAGCGAGAGGTACATCAAAAATATCAGCTGTTTTAGTTTCTGTATCAAAGACTTCATTGCGAGCTTCTTCGTCTCGGATTTCTAATCGGAACAAAAGTTTGTCTCTGATCGATTTTCATTAAAATTCATGTGGGATTACGATTGTTTTTTTTGAACTGGTATATCTGTATTCTCGATTATTTAGTTGGGTTGATTTCTGATTATCTCTGTATGTATCTGCTGTTTCAGCCTCATTTAGCAGTGGGAGTAGTGCGAGTGAACCAAGTAGGGAGATTCTGGTGCAGCATTTGCTTGTTAAGGAGGGTGATTCTGAGCTCTTTGCTGAGCTCCAAAAGAGAATCTTGAATGGTCTCATTCCTTAATCCCTCTTCTCCCGTTTTACTTCGACATTAGTTACTTAGTCCTGTAAGCTTCTACTAGTCAGATAACCTTCCCTTGTTTTCTGCCAAGAGCTCTTTCTTAAATGTAGCCAAAGTTATAATATTATGTTGCAATGTTATCTTTTTACTTGGTTTTTGTGGAATTTATAACTCTAGTCAGATACAGAAAAAATGTGGAACATGTTGTACTGATGCATTTATGACTTTGTCATTACTTTAAATTTCACCTTATTTTGTTTGTGTCTGAAGTTTAAAGGGTGTGTACTGATTTTCGAGTAACTGTTTGTTGTGAAGGAGAGGATATGAGTGATCTCGCGGCTGAGCACTCGATTTGTCCGTCCAAAAAGGAAGGTGGTATACTTGGATGGGTAAAACGGGGTCAAATGGTACGCTCTCTTTTCTTTTTTTGGTTTGGGATTTGCATTGACACCTACAGAGGTCTATAGGACCCGTGCTGTCTTAGCCTCGTTATTCCATAAGTAACTGGGTGATGTAACAATTCCTGGTGAATTAACTGTTATTTTTGACATCCATGTGCAAGTGGAAGTAGTAGAATGTAACCGAGGATAGAAGTAGTTCTACAATGTTTAGACTTTCCCTGCAAATAGAGAATAAAAGACCACTTCAAAAATTGTTTTCAGGTGCCAGAGTTTGAGGAAGCAGCGTTTGGAGCAGAGCCGAATAATGTGGTGAGGTGTAAAACCCAATTTGGCTGGCACTTATTGCAAGTTCTATCTGAGAGGTAATTTCTTCTGAAACCCACCCTCTGTTAGCCACGTTTTATATCGACTGTTGTAAATTTTATGAACTGAAAAGTATGTATTAACAGGGAACCTGTGAAAGATATCCAGGTGGAGGAGCTGCATTCCAAAATGCTAGATCCAGTTTTCATGGAAGAGGCTCAGTTAATTGATGTCAGAGAGCCTGACGAGATGTGAGCTCCTTTCATTTCTCATCTTGACATACTTTTCCTTCTTCGGGTCATTCTCTCAAAACATTTGTAATGCATGTGTATCTGGCCGAGTTTAATTGTTCTGCCATTTAGATACATGTGTACCTCGCACACGTTGATCTTAGAAAAAGGACAAAGTATCAATAGTGGTTTGCCATTGACTTTTCTCTATTTTGTTCCACTACTTGTACCAGAGCGAAGGCATCCTTGCCAGGATTCCAAGTGTTCCCGCTTCGCCAGTTTGGAACCTGGGCACCAGACATCACTTCAAAGATGAACCCTGAAAAGGATACATTCGTCTTGGTATGTTCAGTCTCATCCGCTAATAAATATGATAAGCTTTCAAGAAATTCAGTAGCCCAACTCTTAGATGTAGATCTACTGTATATAACTCTATAGAGCTGTTATGGGTTGGCTATATAGTGACTTAGTGAGGGCTGGGTTTATAAGGCTGTCCCGGTAGATTGTTTTGGGTGTAGATTATCTAGGTGAGAGACTCATAAATGGAAGAAGAATTCCAGTTTCACATTGCTTTTAGATACTCATCCTATTTTTTGTGGTCTATAGAATTTAAGATCATCTGAACAAAGAAACCTCTGATGTTATAACTTCTGAGTTGTGTGGCCTTTGTTTCCCATACAGTGTAAGGTTGGTGGCAGGTCGTTGCAGGTTGCGAACTGGCTGCAGTCGCAGGTAAAAAAGCTTTTCTGCTCCTCATGTTAGTTTGTTCATTGACATCTTCTTGATTTGTTTAATGGATTGTTGTTTTGTTCCTCAGGGCTTCAAGAGTGTGTACAATGTGGCTGGTGGAATTCAAGCCTATTCTCTCAAGGTTGACCCATCAATTCCCACTTACTGAAATTGCCCCCCATCAGAGAGATTTTAGAGAATCCTTTTATGTATCCTAAATCGAATATATTGCAAAATATATTCGGAAGACTATATAATATATAAGGTTCATTTTAGACATTAGAATATACAAGCAACTCCGAAATCCTCCAGGAAACGCTCTCAACCTTTTGAAATAAAATCCTAAAATAAATAATTATAATATTGCTTTAAATAACAAAATTACAGACAGGCTTTTGGTTCCTAAAGTCCCTCCCGATCAGCAAACCCCATATAATCGTTTGAACTGAAGGCCAGCAAAATGAAGAAAAAGGCTTGCAAAAAACAGAAAATACTATTCATAGCCATTTTCTTGCTAAAGAAGAAACCAAAAACCTAAAAGAATAGACAGAGGAAGGAAGAAGAACAATCAAAAAAAAATATCTCTTCCTGGCTGAGAGCTTTACTTCCTCTCCCCTTACTGCAACAATGGGAAATTGTTGCTCTCATGGACGAGATTCAGGGAATAACAAAGAAGAAACCACGCCGGAAAACGGAGCCGGAGCCGGCGGTGCTTGTGCCGGTGCGGAAGCCTCTGTGAGAGCTTCGAAACACCCACCAGCATCTCCTCCTCCTGCAACAAAACAAGGGCCAATAGGACCTGTCTTAGGCCGACCAATGGAAGATGTAAAGAGCTCATATTCATTGGGCAAGGAGCTTGGTCGTGGACAGTTTGGTGTGACCCATCTCTGCACGCAAAAGGCCACGGGGCTGCAATTCGCTTGCAAGACCATCGCCAAAAGGAAGCTGGTGAACAAGGAAGACATTGAGGACGTGAGGAGGGAGGTGCAAATAATGCATCACTTGACGGGTCAACCAAACATCGTGGAGCTTAAAGGAGCGTACGAGGATAAGCACTCGGTGCATTTGGTCATGGAGCTTTGCGCCGGAGGAGAGTTGTTCGATAGGATCATTGCGAAAGGGCATTACTCGGAGAGAGCCGCTGCTTCGTTGCTAAGGACGATTGTTCAGATCGTGCACACTTGCCATTCCATGGGGGTTATTCACAGGGACTTGAAGCCTGAGAACTTTTTGTTGCTTAACAAAGATGAGAACTCTCCTCTCAAAGCCACGGACTTTGGGCTGTCCGTGTTCTACAAGCCAGGAGAGGTGTTCAAAGATATTGTGGGAAGTGCTTATTACATTGCACCAGAGGTCTTGAGGAGGAAGTATGGACCAGAGGCTGATATTTGGAGCATTGGTGTCATGTTGTATATCCTCTTGTGTGGTGTCCCTCCTTTCTGGGCTGGTAATTATATATGTTTCTTGATTCCTTCTCTCTCTATCTATTTATCTCTCAAAAACAAAGGCATTTAAAGGTTTTTGATCATTCATGTTTTTTTCAGAGTCGGAGAATGGGATTTTCAACGCCATCTTAAGCGGACAGGTTGATTTCTCAAGCGATCCATGGCCAGCCATTTCACACCAGGCAAAGGATCTGGTTAGGAAGATGCTAAACTCTGATCCTAAACAAAGATTAACCGCCGCTCAAGTTCTCAGTAAGCATCTCTTATTTCAAAGAGAAAACGAAAGAAGCTCCTGCATTATTTCATTGAAATCATTTTAACAATTTTTTTTTTTATAAAGACCATCCATGGATCAAGGAGGATGGAGAAGCGCCAGATGTTCCTCTAGACAACGCAGTGATGTCAAGGCTCAAGCAATTCAAAGCAATGAACAATTTTAAGAAAGTTGCTTTACGGGTAATAAAATTTATTCTCCTCAAAAATTTGTGACTCTTTAGTCCTATCTCACTGGCCACATCAATCAACAGGTGATAGCTGGTTGCTTATCAGAGGAAGAGATCATGGGGTTAAAAGAGATGTTCAGAGGAATGGACACAGATAACAGCGGAACAATAACTCTTGAGGAACTAAGACAGGGACTTGCAAAGCAAGGTACAAGGTTGTCTGAATACGAAGTCCAGCAATTAATGGAAGCTGTAAGTCTTTTCCCTTGTTTTTTGTGCTTATCTATGCTAACTTTCTATTAAGATGCCAATAGAAGTGATTCTTTTTTGTTTGGTATAGGCTGATGCGGACGGTAATGGAACAATAGACTATGGAGAATTTATAGCAGCAACAATGCACATCAACAGACTCGACAGAGAAGAGCATCTCTACTCAGCTTTCCAACACTTTGACAAAGACAACAGTGGGTAAGTCTTTAGCACGAACAGTTTACGATATTATTAAGTTTGAAACCAAAAGCAAATGATGGTCTCGTTTTCCAGATATATCACAATGGAAGAGTTGGAGCAAGCTCTGAGGGAGTTTGGCATGAATGATGGCAGAGACATTAAGGAAATCATTTCTGAGGTTGATGGAGACAATGTAAGTCCCTTTCACTTTCATATTTCCCTTAATAAGCACATTACAAACAAATCTAAAAAGCAAAAACATTTGAATTTTGTAGGATGGGAGGATAAACTACGAGGAATTTGTGGCAATGATGAGGAAAGGAAACCCAGATCCTAACCCTAAGAAGCGGCGTGAGCTGTCTTTTAAATGACCACTCTTGAAAGGGACAAGTCAGAAGCACATAATCAAGAAGAAAAGTAGGCTTGGGTTGCTCATGATTCAACTGGAAAAGAGAGAGAAAGAGAGGACAACTGTGGAATTAGGGAAGTGTTTCATGTTCATAAATCTTTTATGCTTGTCTACTACTGATTTAAAGTTTTTTTCAATCCAAATATGTGCATTAGTGATGTTCGTTAATACTACAGCAACCGCTGAGAAAAAAAAACATAAAAGGCATCATCAACATCATATTTTGGAATCCGATCGAATATGAAAAATTGTCATCACAAAGTACATCTTAAAAATATGTCAAACGCTCATCCGTCTAGATTCATGATTTAGCCATTGTAACTAGAATCCTAATTGTAGATTACAAACCGACAAAACAATCAAACAAAGAGCAGTGACTTGTCATGCGAGAAAGTGAAATGCAGACGTTAAACAATCTCAAAGCACTCTCCATTATATTCTCCTCTTCGAAATCATTTCCCCATTTGTGATGTGATCACCGAGTTACGCTGCCACAATGTCCGTCCTAATAAGGCACTTGCATGAACCGAAAGGTAACTGGCATTTAACCTACAAGTGCACAAGGAACAATTGAATTAGGTATTTAAGGAATCACCCACACGAGCTCGAATGTGTAAGAAAGAAAGTAATAAGAAATTTACTTGTCTACATCAGGAATGGGCATAGGATCATATAACTCTTGCTCTGCCCCTGCAACTCCACCCGCTGCAGAGTTTGCAAGTTCTTGTGTACCGTCTCCCTGAAAAATTGTCGACTATGAAGAACAACAAGTATCCGCATATTGCCAAAAAAAAGCTTTTGACGTTCATTTCTTTACCTGTTGGGGATATTGGGGATAGCCATATCCACCATATGCGTACAAGGATGGGTCTTGAGTTGTCGCATAAGCATATGCATCATAGCCTTGCCCGTAACCATAATACCCATTCCACTGATTCGGATCTGCTTGTGCAACGTAACCATCCTACAACAAACACCAACGACATTCAGTAAACCAGCGAGTAAGATAAGGCTCTACATCACACCAGTCTAGGTTACAACAAAAGTTTTCACCTGTCCTGGATTTTTACTCCAAGAGACGCGAACTGGCTGTTGACCAATCACCTGGCCCTGCATTTTTTGAATGGCTTCTTCAGCAGAAGGCCTGGGGTCATTCAAAAGTCAAAATTTTAGTGATCTGATCAGAGCTATAAGTAAGCATACATGACAAAGCAACACATGGAAGCAATCACAGGTGAAAGTTTGAGTTTTACTGGATGGTTTACCTGGTTTTGAATTGAACATAACCGTATCCCTTTGTTGCAGGTATCTTGACATATATAATCTCTCCTAATTGGGAGAATGCTTTCTTCAGCTCTTCCTCTGTAACATTTGGGTCCAAATTGGTAACTGAAACCTGTACACATAACCAATGCATGAAAACAATAAGGAGAATTCCGAGAGAAAAAAAAGCAAAAGCTTTTCAGATAAAACTTACCGTTGTACAGGTGATGTCACCTTCAGGTGGAAGCACCTGTCCTTGTTGAGCAACGTATGCTGGGGCTGGTGCTGCAATTGCAGATGGGACTGGAACTGGATAAACAGCTAGAGAGAGAACTCCAAGTTAAGCAAATGATTTCTAAACGGTATAAGAGCTGAACTAAACAAAACTAGATTAACATAAATCAAATCCCGAGTATCGTTCTCATACCTTTGGTGACATACTGTTGCTGCAGACCGACGTTTTTTTTAGGCGTTGCTGCGCTAATACGCATAGGCCTTGTTGAGCAAAACAGCCCATTCATTTCAGACATAGCCCTGTTCCTTTCACTTTCTTCTGCAAATTTTACAAATCCATAACCTTTTGATCGTCCAGTACTTGGATCGGTAACAACCTTGGCACCTCTAACAGAGGAATAGTGAACGCGGAATGTCTCTTGAAGGAGGTAATCTGTAACATCTGGCGCTAAATCTCCAACAAAGATAGAATGATCGGGTCCGGCATCTACTTTCTGTCCTGAACCAAAAGAAGCCCAATTCAACCGGAAAGTTACTTCCGTTCCAGGCATCTGTGTCCCGTTGTACGTCTGAAGAGTTCTCTCTGCTGCTGCGTGAGATATAAACTCTATAAAACCATAACCTTCTGGCTGGCCTGTGATCTTGTTGCGTATTACCTTGACAGAAACGAGCTGCACATTTATGGATACAGAGATCATTATAATGTGTATTCAAATATCCTTACACACTAACTAAAGTAAGGCTGATCATATAACATCTGAACTTAAGAGCTTAAGATATAAGGATATAGATTAGAGACTAACAACACTTCTTACTCGCAGGAAAGCCTATTGTGGAATCCAAGAGGAGTTAAGAAAATAACAAACGAAAGGAGAAACAGTGAACATCAAACATGGTGAGAGCCTTTTGAGAAAGAAGAAACCATAATAAGACTCAGAGGTTTTTCATTGAAGAACAAGAAATAGGCCAATTTTCATCGAGGGCACCAGATATCTAACACCATTAACATCCCAAAAGTCAAATTCTCAGCTTTTATCTTTTCCTAAATGGCAAAGAAGCCCTAGAAAATCAGATACCAAAAGGTTGCAACCCAGAAAAAAATCGAGAGCGGTAAATTGGAAGCATACAAAATCACACAACACGCAGAGAAGCTGAAGAAGGAGTGAATAGTTACCTCGCCGGTTTGGGAGAAGCAGGAGCTGAGGTAACTCTCGTCGACCCAATACTGCAAATCACCAATCCAAAGTGTTCGTACTTCTTCCAGCGTCTGGGGATGGTGATAGCCTTGCGGCTGCTGCTGCTGCATCATCGCCATCGTCTGTCACTTTTTCTTCACTGGGGACTTCACTTAGCGCCAAAAACGTGACCTAATAAACCTACGACGCGCTACGCTATAGTCGAGGCGTCGGCCAAATATCCCGGCCGATCTAAGTTTTTTTTATCTCTGAATAATTTTGGATTAGTTTACTGAATTAACATTGGTTGCGAAATTAACAAGTACTTGGGTGTATAAAATTATACTACATTTTTAATAAAATAAATAATTGTATTATTTTATGAATTTTGTTGGTTTTTTTACTAAATCAATTTAACTTTTTTGTCTTAACTAAATCAATTTAACTGTTTACTTATTTTAAAAGAAATGATTAAAAAAATTGTTGGTTGAATTTTTACAAAGTTAATTGTTTTAAATAAGACTTAATATTATTGGTTTGTAGATTTATTTTCATCCACTGATATATTTCTTTGTGATTTATAGACACTAAAATTTTACCCGAAATTTATTTGGAGGAGTAAAATGTTACGAGTTTACACAAATGTTATATATGTGATTTACATATAAAATGAATCTTTTCGGGTCTTTGTTTTAAGATGATGTAACCTACGGAATGTCTACAAGTCACTGAAAGTGTTGTTACTGGGTGCACATAACATATTGTACTTTTACATATATTTTAAGAAAATAACACTTTGCTCAAGTTGATTGATTGTAAAAACAAAGCGATCGAAATTGGTACCAACTTTAGAGGAAGAAAAGCACCAAGCATGTTAAGTGTTAATTCTACCGTTCCAAATGATGAGAACATAACAAATAATGCGTAATGCCAGAATGATGAAAACAAAAGGTACAATAAGCAAAACAGGCGAAAAGAACAGAACAAAACAAAGTTAAGAGATGAATTTATTTAACATTATTGATATAAATTATGATAACTGACAAGTTAACTACATGTTCAGCTAATTTTATTACACCATTTTCAGTGTTTTTTTTTTTAAAATCCCTGATCAATAAAACTAATACAACACTCATTTCAACATTTTTACATTTATGGCTATTGGCTAATTAGGATCATTCACAAGAAATGCTCGTTGACCATAATTTATTTTATTAACTGTGTCTGCCATTTTTTTTCCTCGGTTCCATGCACAAAAATCCGCATATATATATATATATACTAGGTGGTTGCCCGCATATATGTATAGTTATAATATTTTTGATATACATATTTAATTGTAATATTTAAATATTAATTAGTTTTTTTTAATATTTGTATGTTTGTATATATGTTTTTTGCGTCTTACATAAATTTGCAAATACATATATAATATATTTTAAGTATATTTTTTTTTTTTGATTTATTGTAAATTAAGCTGAAATAGTTTTTACTATTTTCACTATTTTTACTTATTCTTAAAAGCGAATAGATGGTTGACACGCATGTGCGGATATACAACCACGTCACTACACTTAGAATAGATAAAAAAAATTAAAAATATAAATTCTATAATAATTAAAATGAAAATTAGACTGTAATCAAGCTTAACAAAATATATGCGAACTTTTTAAGTGACTTCAACTAATTCTTAACTAATATTTATGTTTGTACGCGTATTTGTAAAAAAATCCAGATATGGCTCTTATGTGTTAAAAAGTTTTTAAGTGACTTTGTAAAACAAAGTGCGAGAAATTTATTTTTACATACTTTTATTTTTTATTTCTTGTTCATATTTGTTTCATCTTACTTTAATTTATTCTTTCGTTCGATTATTTTTTATTTCATTTATGATTTCAGATTTTTGATATACAATGAAAATAAATTTATATATATTTGTGTGAATATGATATAAAATTTTATTTTTATTTAAAATATGATAAATGATAAGATGAAATGGTAACATAAGTTATGTACATTTTAGAAAACAACAATAAAAAGATGATAAAAGTTATAGAAACATATATGGTCCTATTAATATTATAAAATAATAATTAGTATATACTTTATTCATTTAGTAAATATTAGTTTGAAAAGAAAATTAATTTTAAATTATATTTTTTTAAAGAATTTCAATAAAATTTAATTTTTATTTTTTTATTTTTAACATTTTATTCTTTAACTTATTTTTATCATGATTGTATTTTGTATTATTTAGTAATTTGTTTATTTAAAACTTGTTTAGATGTTATTACTATATTTTATAAATTAATATCTTTCCAAAATAAAAATATATCATACTTCAAGTATTATTAATATATAGAATTTGTACTATTCTATTGAATATTTAGTATTATTTTTTTGCTTTTATATGAAATTGCAATATATATATTGTTGAAAAAATTTGTAATTATATTTTATGAAATTATGAATATATGTAAAAAATTGAAATTATAATAATTATTATTTTCTGTTAATTTAAATTTGTTATTTTTAGTGTTATAAATAAAATCTAATGTATATAATATATTTTTGTTTTAATTTTACCTCAACCAATCAAAACAATTCATTTATTTTAGGAAGTTTGACATGTCACATTTACATGTCATCAATTAAAAGCATTAATTTTAGCTATAATGTTGACAAATCAGCTATTTTCAATAATATTACTTCTCAAATAATATGTAATGAATATATATATATATTGATTTAGGTGAGTTTTTCTTTGCACCCGTGTTATTGTAAAAACCGTATGTCGCTATATTCACACCAATTTACAGTAACATCGTCTTCTAGTTAGACATAAACTCAGAAATCCCCAAATTAAACCGAATTACATGACGATACAACATGTATGTAGATAATGTGAGAGGGGTTTTGGAAAATATGTTATCAACTTATGATGGTAGTACAATTAAATCATATAAATACGTGGAGTAGAAGCTCAACAACATTAACCACATATGCATATGTTTGGCTCTAAGTGGATGGATGCATGTGCTTCTTTGCATTGAGAAGCGTTTAATTAGTACGTGATCAAGATTCTATAATGTGGTCAAAGTCAAAGCTCCTGATCTACACTTTGTTTCTCTTATACACTACAAACTAAAATATTTACTTCTATGTGTTAATGATAACCAATAATGTCTTCATTTAATTATTTGGGTCTCTTCATTTTATTTTCCTTGACCATCTTGAATCTTGATGTTATATAAATACAAGCACAGTGAAATTCAATTATTTTTATTTATGGGGACCTCTTCGTTACAAGTTACAACACCTTGGTTTTTGTTTCTTATACTCCTTCTGTTTCATAATAAGTATTATTTGGAGAAAATATATCTGCATTGTAACTTGATGTATCTGGATGTGTTTTAAGTTTAATACATCCAGATATATTGCAGATACATTTTTTCTAAATAACACTTATTATAAAATAGAGGGAGTATATTCCAGAGATGGAGATTTCGATTTCAAGTTTACTTCCTTTTCTGATTCAGTATGGCCGGTTAATTCACTTTAACAAAATTACAGGTAAACTCAAACCAAAATTAATTTTATTTCTTTGTTTTTCTTCGGTTTAAATCAGTTCAACTGATTTTACAATATGTCCAAACAAGTATGATTTGTAAATTGAAAGAGGGACCCGGTTACATAGTCTTCTCAAACTATTACTAACAAATGATGAGTTAATAAATGGCTGTGGCTAATGATTAGTCGAAACAAGTATTGAAGTATATAGGGGTAGGTTTGGGATTATGTATTTTGCGTTGCATGAAAATGGACAGTTAAGATTTTTGGTAACATCGCTGTCTCTCTCTTACTCTTCTCAACGACAACATTAAATACTTGCTTCTGTTGTTGAAAAATTAGAAGAGAATTTGAAAAACTAACAAAAGAAGCATATTGTACTACTTATATGAGTGTAATTAAGGAGTTAAACAACAAAAGTAATAAATAATATTGGCAACGCTGATCACTACAAGTCTACAACAATCTGCACCATAGGTCCATAACTAAAACGGGTGGTCCAAAACCAAGACCAAGAAACCCGCGGCTCAACTGCTCAAGGTGCCTCCAAGTTAATATATTGAGCTATCATCATTTTTGTTACTCTGAGTAACCAATACCAATTATTGTAAAAAAATTTACAATTCGTTTTTTGGTAAAATGTATCTCTTTCTGGCATCTGAGTTACAATAAAAAAAAACATTATATTTGTATTGATAAAAGAAAACATAACCTTGTCCTCTGGATCCGATTCAGCCAAAGATCTTGCTACTAATTAAACACATGTCACAGTTAATTATAGGATTGTGTGAAGATAATAACTTAATGGTAAATTACTAACTTGTGTGTGCGAAGAATAGAAGTTTATAGATCAGAATTCAGACATTACATAGACTCTCTCGTGTTTGAGTTGTACTTGTTATCACATGCCAACGACACGAAGCTCATGTGAGGACATGTGTTCACTGTTCAATTCTCTCTCTCTCTCTCCTTCAGTCAAACCCCTCGATCCCTCTTTCAAATCCATATCTACAATATTTTTTAAAAAAATTCTTAATACTATAGTCTATACAACTATATTTAATTATGGAAAACAAAAAGAAAGAATGGGTATTTTTATAATTCAGTGCCTCTCCCTATCAATGTGAGTAAATATTTTATAAACAGTACTTTGCATGTTCATATCATCTAATCTTCATCTTCCGTGGGTTCTTCTTCTCTTACAGCTCTGTAATTTGTCTGCTTCTTCTGTTTCCATCTCAACGTGTCCATGTGGTCTTACCTCATTTCCTCTCTCTCTCTCAATTTTTTTTTATATATTATCCTCATCATTACTTTCTGAATCTTCACTTCTCTCTCTCTCTTTTTCAATCCCTCTCTCTCTCCCAAAGTCCACTTTCTTTGTTTGTGTGACTTCATAACTAGGAGTCTAGGTCCATTACACTGTACGATCATGGTATCAGCGGAAACGGCGACAATGACGGAGGCTAAGATGATTTTCATGACGGAGGCGCCGCCTTCATCGTCAGGGCCTCGCATTTCATTCTCGGCGGATTTGTCATCATCAGATAGCGACGGAGACTTCATCTGCATC